AAGAAATGATCGAAGGGGGGGGGGAGGCAATTCCTCCCCCTGACTCTACAAAAAATGTGATTCTCATAGATTCTCCGATCCTGTAACCACATTATATACACCATCAGTATTGTATATCAGTGCTTGAAATTAAAAAAATATATATTATTAATCAAAATTGTTGAAATTTAGGTATACTGGGTGTTTCTCAAGTACGTGCAAAAAATTCAGGAGCATGTTGCTAAAGTCAAAATATGAAGAAAAGTTCGTACAAACATATGTCCGCAAGTAATTCGTTTCTGAGATACAGAGTGTCAAAGTTTGATTGTTACTTCGGTTTTTGCGAATAAATTCCAAAATATTCCTGATATTCGAGTGAGATAGCAAATTCAATCGAATATCACGATTATTCTGAAATTAGAGAAGAACTTGCTGACATATATTTATACGAACTTTTCTTCTGACTGACTTTTGACGTCAGCAACATGCTTCTGAATTATTTACAAGTACTTTAGAAACACCCTGTATAAGGAAACAAATGGTCCTTTAATGTAAAAATTACAATAGACTGATGATAAACTAAAAAATTGAAGTGAATCAGGGAATCTCTGAATTATTTTGGTGAATCAAAAAAATGAATCAGTATCCCTTGCTTCCAAAAAAAAATGAGGTGATATCCACCTGCTCGGGTAACTTGCAGACAGTATCTTGCATTTCTTATTGTTCTTATTTTCACCGTACAAAATTTTTGTTTGACTTTATTGACCCCCTTCCTGGTAAACACTGCGAAATGGAGTTGTTGTCACTCTAAAAGAATTCTAACTCTCAATTTGAAGGCATTTGACCTTGAATTCAAAAAATATTCCGCCTGCGGCGCCTTTTCCACATTGCACAAATGTTTGCTGAGTTTCTTACCCCCCCCTGGTATTCTTCTTATCATATAGCTGACCGATTTTTCGTAAAAATATACAAAACCTCATCCAAATAAATACAGGGTTAGTCAATGAAACTGGACGATTTGGGGTGGGGATGAAAGATGTTTCATCTACAGTAACTTCTACAAACATGGTTATATTATCTTGAATTTAAAAAAAAATGTTTCCATATTTGTTCACTTGAATCTGAAATTATCAATATGTAAAATGACCCCCTGATAATCAGTTGCCATTGCATGCATACGAAAGGCTGACAGTTCGAGCTTTGGATGCTATAGAACTAGTCTTCGTAATGGCTTGATTCAATTTGTATCTCTGATTGACTTATACAAAAAGGTCTATGGAAAAAAACAATAATCTATGGAGCTATTTTACTGCTACATTGTTTGAATATAAAAATTTCAAAGCTACATTTTCAAAACATTGAAATTATACTGAGAATGTATTTGGTTTTGATTTGATGATATCAAATTGCACTGGAGATCGCTCATTTTCAAAAATGAACATTATACAAAATGGGAATCGAATTGCGATGGAACAAAACCATCTATCAATCAAAGCTATTCCTACTCCACAATGAGAGTGATTTACTGATTTACTATATTTCAGCAAAGATTTTTAACGCTAAAATTCAGTTTCAGATAATTCTTGTTTCTGACTATATATATTTACATACGTTATTCGAACAATTTACATGGTTCCGCAATAAATTATTGATTATCATTTCATTTTATTTTATTTGTATCCCTTGGAGCGCACGGAAGGTAATAATTAGGTGCCAGAAGGAGTCCACAATTTTGTTCTCCAGGATCTCCAGACCTTCAAATGGTAAGCCATGTGGGTCCTGCCAGGCCAGTGACTTCCATCCCCACCACTGTGTAGGACGCTGCATTGACTAACCCTGTATGCGAAATATTCGTTTAGTTGTGATATTTCATGAAGATGTATTCTTTTGTAGACTCTCAACTTGCAATCTGTGATGTTTGAACTGGAATGCAATAGGGGAATCACAAACTACAACGAAGAAATAGTTGATGAAGCGAATGAAACCTCCAAGGATGAAGATCCAGGTTCTCCTGTTCCTGGATCCAAAAATATACTGCTCAAAGGGCAAATGAAATACATCAGAGACATCAATGCGATAATCTTCCTTTGCAGTCCAATGTAATACTTCGCATTTTTAATTTACAAGCTTCAATTTTGAATTTGTTGTGTGCTTTGTTTCAGCATAAATGACCTTGACGACCTCACTGATCAAGCACTTTATTTGAATGATCTCAACCCACATGGTTTGAGCAAAGAAATGGTACTGGCTGGTTGGCAACACAACTCCAAGTAGGTCCAATCACTCCTAAAATCTGAGTAAGACAATGGTAAATTCAAGATCAGTTGAATGAAACATCCTTCCATCTTGCTTCCCCAGCTATGTTCTCTGCTAGCTAGTTTTCTCTCAAACAGGTCTCTCCATGTAGTGGTCGACGGAGTTTCATCTGACTCTCGTATCATAAATGCTGGTGTTCCGCAAGGATCAATTCTAGCACCAACACTATTTCTACCTCCATATCAACAATTTGTTGGAAGCAACTTCATGTCCAGTACATAGCTTCGCGGATGATAGTACCCTCCATACCGCCTTCTCTTCCAGGGCTCCAATACCAGCCAGGCAAATCAGAAACGAACGAGGGAGGAATGTTCACAACATAAATATGGACTTGGCAACAATTCTCGAATGGGGATCCAATAACTTGGTAGATTTCAATGCAAACAAAACACAAGCATGCCTTTTCTCTAGAAAAGCCGATCTCACTGTGCCCAACATAAGCTTGTCAGGAGTAACCATACCTTTGACGACATCCATTTCGATGCTTGGTATTACTATCAGCAATAACCTTTTTTGGGAAAATCACGTGAGATCAATTGCTAAAAGTACATTCCAAAAACTTGGTTTTCTGTTTCGGGCCAGGAGTTATTTCACTTCCAGTCAGCTGCTTATGATCTATAAGGCACAGATTCGACCTGTCCTGGAATACTGTTCCCATATTTGGAGTGCAGCACCCAAACATACCCTGAAACTCATGGATTCTGTCCAAAAAAGGGCAATTCGTCTCGTGGGTGATGCCTCGCTCACAAACTCACTCACTTCTCTGGAACACCGTGGAAAAGTTGGTGATCTGGCTCTATTTTATAGATATTTTCATGGACGATGCTCTTCTGAAATATCAACAATCGTTCCTCCCTTGGCACGAGGAATATTAAATCCAGAAATCCCTTTTCGTGGGAACCAGAACATAAAAAAAATCCTGTTACTCACTTTGTCAAAAGAAAATACGTACAAAGTGTTTCCAAAGGTGAGACAACTTTTTCAAAGCGTGGTAAAAATATGATTCGCCTTTGAAAACACCTATATCGTGAAAGAGTAGAAGTCTAAACTTCCTATACGACTACCTCTTGCATTTTAGACTGGAGGTGATGTTTGAAAAAGCGGAACAGAGATCGGATGAGTTGAGCAAAAACTATGAACTCCTTGACACGTGGAAGCAAAGGGGGGACGAATTGTTATACTCTATGATTCCGAAATCAGTGGCTGATAGACTGAGATCAACGAAGTCTTCAGTCAACACTTGTGAGGTAAGTACCTCTTGAGAATTAAAAAATATTGTTATCAAGAATTTGGTGGCCATATCATCGTTTGTGAAGTTTTTTCATTTCAATTCACTATGAATTTTCATTGAGTAATGGCCAAGTAGGAAAAATCCAAAATTATCAGCATGTACTTATTATAATTATGTCTCCGAAATTATAGATTTTGGGTATGGAAAACGTAATCAGCACTAGACCTCATTTTTATAATTGAATTAATCATGAGAAGACAAAATGCGATTTCTAATTGAAAAAAAAGAGATTTTCACTGTTCCACATTCACTTTCTGGAACCACTTTACATTGCACCCTGTGAATTATTCAGTGGTTGTGATTATATATAGTGTTATCCGTTCAATCTTCAATATTCAAGATTGAATCACTGCACACCACTAAAAATTGTGATCCACATGAAAATTACGTATGTTTGATAGGATGCGTTTGCCTTTTTTTCTAGAAAAACTCGAATGATGTATAAATTTGAATCAAACCCATGTATAAGAGGAATTCAGAAATGTTTCTGGGGAAACCCAAAGATTTCATCGTCCCTACAAAGTTTTATAATCATGCTACTTTTTGCAGATCGTGTTAAAATTAAGGTATACCCTGAAATTTTCATTTCTATTTTACTAGGTACTATAGCTGACCCCGCAAACGTTATTTTATATTATATATTATTATATACATTATTTCTAGAAAATATTATTTCAGTTGAATTTTCATCAACATACTCACTATCATAATTTTATTATTTTCTACTTCTTTTTAGTTTGGCTAGCTATAAGAGTTTCATTGGACCAGCCATCTTGAATTTCCTATAATATTGACGAAGGAATCATAATCCCCGATCACGAAAACAGCCATAGTTACCAATTTTGAATTGAATCGAATTATGATTACAAAACTCGTCCGCCATATTGGATCTGCCATCTTTAATTTCCTTATTTTAACGAATAAATCATTATCCCCGATACTCAAAATCTCTAGATAATAATTTTTAATTGAATCAGATTATAAGTACAAAATTCGTCCGCCATATTGGTTCCACCATCTCGAATTCCCAAATTTTGACGGAGATATCATAATCTTCAATCCCGAAAAGTCCTAAATACCAATTTTGAATACAATCGGATTATAATCACAAAATACGCCATATTGGATCGGCCATCTTAAATTTCCTAATAGTACCGGGTATCCTATGCCTGTCTGCTGGTTCTAAGCCAAATCGGTCTTGTAGTTTCAGAGACTATTCAATACAAACAAACAAACAAATATTTCCTCTTCATAATATTGATATGGAAATGACGACTTTCAATGCAGATTATCATTTATTTTGTCAATTAAGAAAGAGTGATGCTGAATTTTGAAAAAATTACAGGCTTTCGAAGCTGTCAGCATTTTGTTTTGCGAACTAGTCGGTTTGACGTCTCAAACCGTCAAGGAAACAATGGCAGTAGTGACGACTATGAACGCCGTTTTCTCTTGCTTCGACGCCCTTTTGGACAAATTCGAGGTCTACAAGGTACCGCGATTATCGAGGGACCGCTCGCCTTGTTGAGCAGCGTTTATTTCGCTTGCAGGTCGAAACAGTCGGGCAAATATACATGGCGGCCAGCGGCGCGCCAGAGAGGACGTCTCTTCACGCCCAAAATATTTCGGATTTGGCCCTGGAAATGTTGAAGGCGATCAAGAAGGTTAAAACTCCGGGTATTACTGAAGTTACACTGAAAATTGGTGAGTCACTGACAATCAAGAAACTTTGAAACTCATGGTTAAGTCTAAATTTTTAACAACTTTGAATTTGGCTCAGCATTTGAAAAATCAAAATTGGTTCTTAGGAATAACCTCCGAACAACGAACCCCCCGGAATTTAGTTCTAATCGATTATGGTTATTAATTTCCTCTTCGAAAACCTGAACAATACAGTAATTTTGGTCATTTTATTCAGTGACACGCCAAATAACGGGTTTGTGGAAACTTTTTTCCTATTTTTTCTAGTACGACAATGGAGAAATCTCTAATATTTTGAGATTTTTTCAATGTCCTGTTCAATTTTGTTCAAAAAATGCTCAGATATTTGACCAAATTAGTATTTCTCAACTACAGAAGGAATTTTACTACCTATGAATTTTGTTGGAAATATTCTGATCAGCAGGTCCAATATACAGAAGGTTATCTGTATTTCAACAAAATTGAACTGGAAATCCAATAAATCGACAAAAAAAAAAGTGTGGAACATCGAATGAGAGGGCTAAGTGAAGAAACTGGATCCTGATGAATGCAAACATATAAACTGTAGCTTTTTTTATTCCAGATTTGTTTGTAATTTTCTCCTCCTTTTCTCCTCGATCGTCTCTATAAAATAAAAATATGATTACTATTTCATTATACGAGTAGTTAGGACAAATCAGATAATTTTCCCCAAAATGTCACTGCGTTTAAAGAATTCTTCTATCAGAGAGCCTGAAAGAAAAATTCATTGGCTTGTCAGTGACAATTTGTATTGAAAAAGGTTTGAAGAAGAGAAATAAAGGTATATGGAGAAAATACCAAATTTTTACTTATCTTTGGACGATTCGGAACGAATCTGCTCCCATTTTCAATATAAAAATTGGATTTTTTGTATTGCAAAATTGCATTGCATTGCAATATTGTAAAAATTCTATATTTTTCTCATGTACCTTTATTTCTCTTCTCCAAACCTTTTTCAATACAAATTGTCACTGACAAGCTAGTGAATTTTTCTTTCAGGCTCTCTGATAGGAAAATTCTTTAAACGCAGTGACATTTTGGGGCAAATCATCTGATTTATCCTAACTACACGTATATTAAAATAGTATTCATGTTTTTATTTTATAGTGACGAGGAGAGAAAATCCCAAAAAAATCTGGAATAATGAATGTACCATCTCCTCGATTAACCTAAGGACAGTATTCAAAAATTTTGCTCTTTTTCATCAGTGCTTGATGATGAGTTTGGCAGTTGCTATACAAAATATATATACACTGCCCTGCAAAAAAAATCTACATTCTTGCACTTGTTGAGAAATTTCACTAGAATTCTTGACAACTCAGGTCTACTCTTGTATTATTTTGGAGAAGTTCAATCCAGACTATGCTACGGTCTGATTGGTTGGGGTTCCTCTCCACATGCATATAATGTATTTTTATCTCAAAAGCGAATTATCAGAACAATTGCAAAAGTACCACCAGTTGAATCATGTCGAAACTTGTTCAAAAAATTCAGAATCTTGCCTCTAGCAGGTCTTTACATCATGGAAGTCTTGGTATTCGTATACAAAAATAGAACCAATTTTGAGAGGAATAATGCTTTTCATGATTACAATACCCGCATAAAAAACAATTTTCATCTGCCTAAGACACGATTATCTCTGCGACTTCATTCGTTTGAGTCTATTGGACTTAGCATATAATCTTATTCCAGAAAACATCAAATATGCTCCTTCTGAAAAATATTTCAAACATAAAATAAAAAATTTGCTCCTTGACATCAGTCCCTATACAATTGACGAGTTCTTTTTATTTTTACAAAATTAATGTATCATTTGGACATGTAAATATTGTATGTAAGTCATTTTATCCATTTGTTTCAATCCTATGTATTATTGTGATGTGTTAGAATTGTGTACCTTTTGACTTATCCTATTGCTCTTATGAGCTCTTTAATGGATGAATAAAAACTAAACTAACTAAACTAAACTAAACTCTGTATAAGCTCAAATTGGTGATTCAGCCTACAGTCTGAAGAAAAAAAATACTAAATTTTTAGTGACCGCTTTTTTTGCAACTTAGTGTATATTCATAGTCGTTTTTTCAGGAATACATTCAGGATCTGCTGTTGCTGGAGTGGTGGGTATGAAAGTTCCGAGATATTGTTTTTTTGGCGACACTGTCAACACTGCTTCTCGTATGCAGTCTATCAGCGAAGTAAATCTAGATATCATTCTTTGATAATGTTCTGACAGATTTTTTTTGTAGCCTGGTAGGATTAACATAACATACAACACAATGAAACTTTTGCCAGAGGAGAAGTATAAAACTGAGAGTAGAGGAATTGTCAAAGTAAAGGTAAATAATTATTTTTCAAGATGCATTGATACGAAACTATACAAAATCGACTGCAACGGTTTACTATTCTTTTGAAATGGTTTCGGGTTGAAGTTTTACTGTTTTACTGACATCATTATTAGAATTCAAGAAAGAAAACTCGAAGTCGTCGAGTTTTCTTTCTTGATCATTCCACTCCACTTTGAGTATGGACTATTACAGAAGATTTTCAGAATTCTTCGATTTCTTCACAAGGAGAGATACCAATAACTCATGATGAAATTGTAACTAATATTCCTAAAATATCAGATTTTCCTGTCTTCCTATTAACAAATAATTTCACATTGATAATCTAAAGAGAAAATGAAAAAAATCGAGTTAAAGACAATTGAAATCATTGAAATTGAACTTTGGACAGGAAAGGAGGCTCTTACCTCAAATTTGATTTTGAGTGTTGATTTTTTTTCAATGTGTGATGTTATTTCAAAATCTTATAGGGAAAAGGAAATATGCAAACCTACTGGTTGCTCGAGAATGGATATCCAAAGGCAGCCAAGGTTGATCTCCAAAAAACGTCATAAACGCAAGAAGACAATCCATATAGGTACAGTGTGCAATGAATTACTATTCCACGAGTATAGAAAATAAATATTTATTATATAATTAAATAATTAACAGTAGTTCAGTTACAGTAGCACGCATCACGGGTATTACTTTTTATCCAAGAAACGTACCTATTTACCCTGGTGTATACTCCAGGGTAGTTGGGTTGGGCACACCCCTCACCCCAAGAAACGATACCTGAAAAAATAATTCGAGAATAAAATGGGTTCGAAGACCCATCAATATTTTGGCAGAAACTTACCAACTATTTGATGAAATGACCCATTCTTTACATGAAGAGGACCGCCACTGTCCCCCTGAAAAATTTCATCTAAATTTTTGAAGGTATTATAATATTTTTGTTAGAGCACATGAGAAAAAATTGGATATATCACCCAAAAACGTAATATAACAATTTTGAACTGTTTTAGTAGTATGTTATTAAACATTCTCGATAAAATAATCAATGATTTATTTGGACATCAACGTAGATATTGTTTATTGTAATTATTATAATATTTGGAAAAGTTGCTGCAATATCACCAATATGATTGAGGTCCATCGACAAATTTAATTATAGTCTTTGGCATATGGTCAAAAATCACATATAGTACGGATATTCATTGATAATCTTCTTTTGATAAATCATGCAATATTATACATATAATCTCTGAGAAATGTTGCAGCAATGTTGAATATTGAAGACATCGAAGACCAAATTTTAGAACAATTTTCGACAAAATAATCAATGATTATTATTTGGACATCAACGTAGATATTGTTTATTGTAATTATTATAATATTTGGAAAAGTTGCTGCAATATCACCAATATGATTGAGGTCCATCGACAAATTTAATTATAGTCTTTGGCATATGGTCAAAAATCACATATAGTACGGATATTCATCGATAATCTTTTTTTGATAAATCATGCAATATTATACATATAATCTCTGAGAAATGTTGCAGCAATGTTGAATATTGAAGACATCGAAGACCCAAATTTCAAGCATGGTATACAGATGGGAATTCGAAAAAAGATCATAGTAGGTATATCAAATACAGATTGAATATTGCATATTATTTCTGCAATATTGTTTGAATATATTTTCAAAATACAGGGTGTCCCTCCGGGAACTGCATCGATCAATATATAGAAAACCATAGGTGGGCCGAATTTGAAAATTTTCGGGTAAAATATTTTGAAAATTGTGGCACTTCTGATGGTTGCACCGGAAGTTGACCCCAACTTTGTTATTTCAAATTGGACACCCTGTATATTATCAAGGTTTCGAATTTTACGTATGATTCTGAACATGGTTAATTCATAATGTCATATACCCAAGTCTAACTGTTTTCGAAATATTTCAAATTTTAAGTTGAAAATTGCGTTTGCAGGCCGAATTTTTTTTTTTTTTTTAGTTCTGGGAATGATGATTTATTTTCGATTGTGTATCGATTTATTCCTAGGAGAGGGCCCAGTTCAGTAGAATTTCGATATCAATTCGATTACAAATATTTTTCGGTCTGCAAACGGAATTTTCAACTTGAAATTTTAAATATTTCGAAAACAGTTACACCTGGGTATAGGACATTATACATGAAACATATTCAGGATCATCAAGTTGGGGTCCACTTCCGGTACAACCGGAAGTGCTACAATCTTCAAAATATTTTAGTCTGATAGCACTTATCAACAATAGTGAACTCCCAAATTTTCAAATTCGGCCCACCTATGGTTCTCTATATATTGATCGATGCAGTTCCCGGAGGGACATCCTGTATATCTGTAACAACAGGTTTGAGGAATGGGCAACTATTCAATAATTTTGAGAAAAAATTGCGAAGCTCTCTAGAAGAATAAGCTCGATTCCGTCTTTGGGAGAGATTGACATCGGAATGATACTTTTTTACATACCTGACAAGAATCTTTTTGTCCATTTGGATATCCTGCGCACATCATATTATCTGTTATCCTGTTGGAATAGCCTGTTTTTTTGCAGTCGATGTTGGAAATGATTGGAACTTTAACTTCTTGCAATTTACTAGATGTTTGACCCTGTGCTTTGGTTGCGCCCCATCCAGTCACAATACCTACAACATAACAAAATTACCATTATTTTCTACCTGGTAGACAATCACTCTAAAAAAGACCAGATTTTTTTTGCCAAATTGTTCACCCTGTAATTTTCTTAATTCTTCTCCGATTTTTGTGAAATTTCGATCTATCGTGAGTTGATATTTCGCAAAGGTAACCTGAGTTTTAATGTCCGAGAAAAGCTGATAGCTCGATCAGTATACAGGGAAAAGCGAAAGTTACTATTTTATCCTTAAATTCCAAAAACTGGAATATAATTCTACGATTTGGTCAAAATATCACCAGAATTGTTTTTTTTTTTTTGTAAACTCACCTGTGAATCCGGTGAAACTTTTTCCAGTTGGTGGTAGACAGACAGGTTTCAGTCTGCCTGTCATAGGCACCTCTTGTTCCAGATGCAAAATGGCCACGTCGTTGTTGTAGTTGCTACCACTACCATATCCCCTATGCCTGTAGATATTTTTCAACTTCCTCGTGATTGTTTTCGTTTCAAATGCATCTGATCTATCATGGTCCAAGAACACTGCTGTAATTTTGTCCTTATTGAACCTAAAGCCAAAATATCGCTTGGGAAACAGGGAATGAAAGGGCACTTATTTCTATTGCTATGAAAAAGTTCTGATTGCTGTTTGATACTGTAAAATAGGCTTCGTAATAGCATTTATAAAATCAAGCTCTGTTGCTTTGACGTGAATGTAATGATATTTTCACGATTTATAAAGTTGTCTGGCAGGAGAACAACGCGTGGGAAGTGCCTGGCAATAGTATATTCTCTTTCATGATAGGATCCGATTTAACATAAAAAGATCAGCTTTTGTGGAAATGATGTTTTTGCCAGTTTTTTTTTTCGTACTTTCAACACCCGGTATCTTTTGAAAGCCCATCCAGTACTGAAGATTTTCAACCCCCAAAACGATTCCACCGAATAAGATATAACACACCTAGAAAATATCAAACTTGTTGAAATGTTGTCTGGTGGTCGCTGGCTTTCAGTCCATAGAGAACGATTTCTGAAATTCAATTGCCTATTCTGAAATACAATTGATGCTTTCTGAAATTCAATTGACGCTTTCTGAAATTCAAATGATACTTTCTGAAATACAATTGACACTTTCTGAAATTCAATTGACTATTCTGAAATACAATTGATGCTTTCTGAAATTGAATTGACTATTCTGAAAAGCAATTGATGCTTTCTGAAATGCAAGTGACTATTCTGAAATACATTTGACGCTTTCTGAAATTAAATTGACGCTTTCTGAAATACATCTGGAAAAGGAGTAGAAGTACATAATGTTTTGTGGTCATAGGTGTATCTCATTATGTGAGATGACAATAACTGTCATTTGCTGTTGTCAAATTAATTATTCACTAAATCCAATAGAACCCTGATGTGAATATAAATGTTCGAGGTCGACGAAAAAATGTAATATGCACCTTGGCGAAAAACATCAATTTGCATACTCGCGACTATATTAGACAGTTTTTCGTCCTTGGGTCATAAATACCTATTTTAATCCCTCCAATCTGGCTACAAACATTTCGGATCGGTATTAAAATTGCCACTACAGTCTCTAGGTGTATAAATCTACTATTTCTTACCCGTTGACGCAATGGGCTGCTGTCAAACAATATTTGTTATTAATCAGAGTGGCACCGCAATAGAAACGATTGTTATATAGAAGGGCTGTCATCCAGGGGTATTCGTTGACCATTGTTTCAATGCCTCCTACTATTCTTATATGCTCATATGTTTGACCGCATCCTGAAATAATTGGGAAAATATACGGTGGGTGACAAGTTATAACGTACCACGCTCTATAACTCGTTCATTTTCGACAGTGAAGAAAAAAAATTAAAACAGCCTCACAGTGTGCTTTTTCACTTATTGAATAAGAGAATAAGTTTTTACTTCCTGAGAAAATATACAGGGAGCAGCAGAAATTGTAATAATTTCAAATTGAACATCCTATATATTTCCTCACCATCGGAAATATCTTTCGGAAAGCTTTTCAACAGATGATTAGAGAAGAAAAAATAACTCCTTGTGCGGCTGTATTTAATTTTTTTTTCCTCTTTCAAAATGAAAGAGTTACAGGATGTGGTACTTATAACGTATTGGACAATAAAAAATCAAATTTTCATCATTTATCGAGAGATTTTACAAGGTGTCCCCGTATAAATGTGTTTACAAAAACTCACCACATATTCCTCAGACCTTAAAAATCTGATGCAAGCAAACTTAACGAAGTACAAAGTTGCCTAGTTTTGGCGCTAGATGGCTCTGAAGCTACAATTTTCATTCATAACTTTGAAACGACGGCTCATGAGATTGTACTCAAATTTGGAACGTTGTCAAAGTTTCATTGGGTAACAAAACCCATATCATGATTTGGATGCATAGAGTAGAGTAGAGAGTAGAGTATATTCATTTGCACGTCATAAAAACGACAATACTATAGAAATACATCACATATCATTCCATGAGCGTAGAAGTTGATTTTTTCAGTAAATAAGCATCTAAAACCCCTACGTCAATGGAAAGGAAGGGATTTGAATGTAAAATTTGCATAGCGTAACTTGTTCGATTCGATTTCTATCATGGTTTCGACTAAATTTGAATTTTGGTAATACAAAGCATCAGTCAACACTAAAACAATTAACAGATGTTTCATAAAAATTAATCGAAATTTTCACTATTTCCACGTATACAAAGAATTATAAGACTAAAAAAATGAAAATGTGCTAACAGCTATTTTTCGTTGTTTTTTGTACTGAGCCGTCTAACGATCAGAATGAGCAATTTTGTACTGAGGTGAGTTTGCTTGTATCCCTTTTGTTCGTCTTGTAAATCTTTGTATATATACGTGAAAATGATGGACATTTTGAACAATTTTTATTAAATATCTGTTGATCGTTCAAGTGTTGACTGATGCATTCAATTACAAGAAATTCAAATTTTAACGAAATCATGAGAGAAATCGGATTTCATCAGGAGTTCCTACCATTTTCGTAGTAGCAAAAAAAGTACGAAACCTCAATTTCATATTCAAACCCCCGTATTTTTATTCACGTTGAAGTTTTATATGTACAGTTACTGAAAAAATCATGATATGGGTTTCATTGCTTTTGGCTTCACGGAGAAGCAATGCCAACATACCAAATTTGAGTAAAATCTTATGAGTAATTTCAGAGTTATGAAGCAAAACCAATCTGAAAACTATAACAGTCATCTAGCGTCAAAACTATGCAAATTCCTGCTGAGGTAAATTTGTTTGTATCGAATTGTTTTGGTCTGAAGAATATGTGGTAGGTTTCTGTAATGATCTTTTAGGGACACCTTGTATGAGTCCAAAGTTTTTTTTATATTTTTTCACTCACTGCAAGTTGGGCAATCCTTCGGGGGAGTGACAGTCTCATCAGTAGGGGCGTTCGGATCAGGTTTCTGAACCCCCACCAATCCTAAAAACCAATCGATTACATTTGCCTTTTCTGGTCTAGAAAAAAGCTGGTCGCTCGCATTACTTGACAAGTTTCTCCTTATCGTTAACGGTTTCGATTCTATGGTGTTCTCCATCACCATATTGTCGATTGTTTTCATGGGTGAGCGGATTAGTTTGCTGCCCAGCCAGTACGTCAATGGTTTCTTAGATTGTTTCGAAAGGTTCGCTGAATGCTCCTCGATGAGTTTTGTGTTTTTCGTGATTATCACATCGTTGGGGCTTTCCAAAATCGATTCCGGTTTGTAGAAAGCCTAGAAAAATCATGTATATTCATAATAACTCTTTTGTATAAGCGAAAAAGTTCGAAAAAAAAGTGGTATCCATCAGAATTTTTCGAATAATAATATCAGTTTGCACCTGATATCATTGTTGGCAATTGTTCTATATTTTATTATGTAATTTTGTTCTGTCACTTATAAGAATATTTTCGTATACTATATGTTGATGTTGTAAGTTTTTTCGTCCCGAGCAAAAATGTGTAAATTTTTGAGCATTAGATAAACGTGAGACCGTGCATAGGATCATGGTTTTTCAAGTACACCCTAGCAACAAATGTCTGCCCTTGTGCTTTGTTTATAGTAGGTAACAGCAAAGCTGAACTTGACAGGAAACTGTTGCTTTGTTATATTGCCATATTGGATCAGCCATCTTGAATAGTTTTAATTTTGACGAAGGAATCATAATCTCCGGATGAAAAAATCATAATGATGGACCTCGAAACCCCCATATACCAATTTTGAATAGAATCGGCTCAGGTTATTACAAAATTCGTCCGCTTTATTGGTTCCGCCATCTTGAATTTTCAAATTTTGATAAAAGGATCATGATCTCTACGACCCCAAAAACCCCCAGATACCAATTTTGAATAGAATCGGATCCTAATTACAAAAACCGTCTTCCATTTTGGTTCCGCCACTTTGAATTTTCAAATTTTAACGAAAGAATCATAATCTCCGACCCCGAAAACCCTCAGATACCAATTTTGAATAGGAATCGGATCATAATAATTATGAAACTCGTTCGCTATATATTGGTTCCGTCATCTTGAATTTTCGAATTTTGATGAAAGAATCATTATCTTCGACCCCGAAAACTCCCAGATACCAATTTTGTATAAATTCGGATGAATATTACAACAGTCTTCCGCAATATTGGATCCGCCTTATTGAATTTTGAAATTTTGAGGAAAGAATCATAATCTCCGACCCCAAAAACTCCCAGATGCCAATTTCGAATAGAATCGGATTATAATTACAAAACTATTCCGCCATATTGGATCCGCCATCTTGAATTTCCTAATTTTGACGAAGGAATAATTATAATCTTCGACTACGAAAACCCTCAGATACCAATTTTGGATAGAATCGGATCATAATTGCAATATCCGCCATGTTGGATCCGCCATCTTGAATTTCAAAATGTTTATACTTAGATAGATAGTAGGGATAGTATATATAGTATATAGCTTTTTGAAAGCTGTCAAAATGGTCTGCCTACTTTGTGTTCATTGGTTAATTTTTTTTGTTTTTTGTTTGTGCTTATTGGTCACATATCCATCAAAACAAACCCCTCAGAAGTGTTCAAATGTTTCCGTCAGGTGGGGCGACGTGTCATTTTGTATCGCGATAGCCGGAAAAGTCTACAGAAGACCCTGTATAAATGTTTTGCCAGTGAGGTGATATAAAATAATGACGGTAATCTCGAATGGGTAAAAAACTGAGGGTAATGAACTAATAAGTATAACTTCTTAGACAATGATCACAAGATTGTGCGAAAAACAAATAAGTGACGTGGGTTTGATGAGAAAATGATTGGCCATGATTTATACGTTGATATAAGTTATAAACGAATAAAAATGTAACTAGCGAATTCCACTTCTCTAGATTTTTTTCAACGATCATTTCTATAAATGAAAATATTAATGTTATGGCAGTATTCTTTTAGTAAGGACGAAAAATAAAATGATTTGCCTCAAAAGTCACTATTATAGAGCCTAAAAATCCCAAATCAATAGTTCGTCACACTTTGTTTTAAATAATGTTTGAAAAAGAGATATGCAGGGTGATTCCGGTTTCAAAGTACAAACTGAAATGGGATATAAATCTCATCATTTTGATCAAAAAGGTTTATATAAACATTATAATAATTCATAGTACATTATTTGCTCATTTTTTTCCTTTAAAAAAAAAGGTATTTTGGTTAATGGTGTTTTTCAATTCGAGGAAATAAAAATTCATTTTTATTTCAATGAATCCAGTTGCATTGTTAGGGAGTTTGGGAATATTATACAGAAATTAGAATTTCTGATTTTTTTCCGAAAATATTGAATTTTTTTGGGATATCGATAATCCAAGCATACCTTCCGCAAAAAATATCCATCTCCAGAGATACAAGTCACCAAAACGAAAAAACACAACACTCTGCGACCTTCCACTGTCATCTTCGCCGAAGAACTCTCAGCAATTGACGATGATGGTCTTCCATTGCAAACAACTTTGATGCAACCAGTGGCTTGCCTATAGGCAAGCACATATATTTCTACGAAAAAAAAAAGGATTTTCCTTTCGAGTGGTAATATCTGAAATAAGAAGTAAGCGAGAATGAAAAAAACTTATTTTTCAAAAATATATCATTATTTGTGGTTATAGCGTATTTTGATTTGTTTCATTTTATTTTTAATTGATTCATGCTCGTGAATGCGGTGATTCAACGTTCTATACCTATATCTGACCAATCTACAGGGTTACTAGGAATATGTGCGTTAGCATTATTTAAAAAAACATAGCGGAATAAGAAATTTTCGCAGAAGTTACAAAATGAAGCTAATTAATCAGTCATCTGCCTTAAAACACTTGGGAACCCGATCTTCACCCCTAAGAGTGTTCTGAAAAAAATTTCAGGGAGTGAGGGTGGCTTCAACCCTTCTACGATTCCTTTCAGGTTTCTTTGATCACTGAGAGAGAGGTTATCCTCTGAAATGAACTTTTGTCAAATTCCAACCAATTTATTTCTGAGCAGTGCACGAAAATATGTTTTATGTAATCTTTGAACTCGTCTCACAGACAATTTTTTTATATAAATAAAATGGGTCCACCAAATTATTAGGAAAAGTATTACTCGTGGTAGCTCTGTGTCCCAGCAATTTTGGGACACCCTGTATTTAGGACAAGATCCACAATGAATCAGATTGTACCTACATACATTCACATGATTTTTCCACCTTTTAATAGGCCTGTTCGTTTGTGCTTGCTCTACCTGGTGAACTTGATTTTTTTCTATGACTTTCTCTGTATACATCATGCCATATGAACAAAGACAACCATGGGAAAATAATCAGCTTTAGCAAATTTAGTAATACAAACGAACAGGCCTATATTTTTGATGAACCTTCCCAACTTATTATATCTGTTCTATCAGCAACTGCCAAGTCTTATTGTGTTATGTATAAATGAAGCAGATTTTTTTATTGATCTTGCAAAATAGGTTACAGTCTATAATTTTCATTATTATATCTGATGGTAGGATGATCCTCTTGAATCTCATTGTCTATTGAAGAGATTATTAATTTTTGAAGACGCATGGACTTGTATGCAATCAGCTCAATCCCCTTGTGGCACCTTCATCCTTTATAAGTTACCTACGCCACTGGATACGCCGGTCGAAAGTGACAAAGAAACGAGAAAGAACCAACATAATGTAGGTTTCGAGGTGGACATGCCATATAAATAAATCCCACTCTCATCACTAATCACAAAAATCGCGAAATTCCACCGTTTTTGCTCATCTACAGGGCGTTTCATAATTAAAAGGTAAGGCCGCCGTCATTCCTTGCTCTCACAAGACTCTCGAAGACTTATTCTGAGGGTTGCTCGTAAGGGGGCAACCGAATGACGGATAGAACAATATTTTTTAAAGACGGCGATAATCCTTGGGCGATTTCAAGAAAATGTCTTCATATAAACATACAGGGTGCTGGAGACTTTAACTGGAATACACTCGCTATACTGGCGGGGGAGTGAATGATTTTTCTGAAAATTCGCGAGAAACATCACGTTTAAATGTATTTACCTACATTGGACGAGCACTATGGAGAATATATAACCTTTCAGGGGTAGCTAGAATCAACGCAAAAATTGTTTTTTCAAATGCAACCCTATGGCTTGCGACCCTTCATTGGAAATCTGGTTGAAAGAGGAATCCAGCGTACTGATCATATTTCAGTTTGCGAGTACGTTTGGGGGACGCATAAAATCAAAATATAATTTCGAAGTTTGATATATTTTCAACATATTTTCATCAAAGTTTCGACTTTCAGTGAAAGTTTTATAAAGCATTTCCATCACCAGTTCGCAATAACACTTTGTTTCAAACTGTAATACAGCAAAAAAACTAGGTAAATTTATTTTTGCGGCTCTATGAAAACACTGGAATTCAATAGCAGATATAGCAGTTGAAGCAAAAAATTACCATCAAAATTGTTCAACACATATTTTGAGCAATTGATACGTTGCAAAAAAATCAATTTCAAAATTACATTCCAATTTTATGCAACTTTTAAACACATGAAAATCTAAAATTTGACTAGTATGCGATGTCGGATTCCTCTTTCCACCAGCTAATGAAGGGTCACAAGCCAAATAGGGTTACGTTTGAAAAAATTATGTTGAGGGTGGTTTCAGCTACTCCAGGAGGAATATATTTTCGATATTGCTTGCAAAAAATTGGGAAATACATCAAATAGTTGACGTATGTCAGGAATTACCAGAAAAAATATTCACCTCGATCCCTGCTGTTGAAACAGTTGAAATCTCCACACATCATTATAGATTCGCTTTATATTCGAGATATAGGGTTGTCGAAATTTCATGAAAGTTTTTTTCTATAAAGCCTCCGATATGCTCTTATACTGATACTGCAATGATCAAATCTGACCAATTTATCAATAAATATTCAACCTGTATCGGTTGCATCATATTATATGTGTACCAATACACAAAATAAATGTATCTTGATATTTATAATAGATTATTTTATTTCATTCCCACGCTTTTATGTGAAAAAGAATTCAATATTATAAATTATGCGTATATGAGCCTGGCATCTGAAACATTTGGTTATATTGGCTCAAATATAACCAATTCTATTCTGATTCACCCTGTATGTGTATATCGATAATATATGGAACAGTCGCAATCTTCGTGGAATATCCGAAAGTGAGTGGGAAGAACACAGAAAGTATTTTTACCGCTATTTTTGCGTGGCGCATGGTCCTCATTATTATTCCGTATCTCTCCAATTAGTGAAATTAGTGCGAGCTCTCTGAATCAATAATGAGCACTGAGCAACTAAAATAAAAAAAATTAAATAAATGTAATATGTCCGCCACTGGTTCAGTTAAGAGCAGATAGTACAGGTAGCTATGGCCACACAGAAAGAAGTGCTCAGTGGACAAGAGCCCAACAGAATTGAAGGAAAGAAAATGAGAAGAAGACTTTTCATTTGACGTTGACAGTGTTGACACTGTTGACAGAACGACAGAAGTATGTATACTTTTTTTTATTATTGTGGTTTGTGGTCGTTAAAATTGTTGATTATTAATTGCAAATGCAAAATTTGAATTCAATAAGTGATAGTGATAAGAATACCGGTCATATTTTCGGTTCAATAGTTCCTAGTCACCCTGCACTCGTCGTAATTCGAATGTTATCCTAGTGTCTTAACCTCAAAATGTCTTTATCAATAAATAAAGTTCAGCAGTTTCGACAGCCTCCCCTACAATACATCCGCCAAAATGAAAATCAACCAAATCACGCTGCAGGTATTATCCAACAAAAATAATAACTACCTCCATCCACTAATTTTTTCACCTTTCAGGTACACAACTGCTGGGGGGTATATTTCAAGACTCCCGGCACGTTTGGCACGCCAAAGGCGCTTCCCTGGAAGTCCGTGACACCAGAACAGGATGCAAAGTCGGAGCCTGGATGTTTGGGTCTATCCTGAAAGACTCAAATACCAAAATAGTGTGTGTAGAAGAGATCTCAAGACCCTATGGAAGATTATCTCTATTAGCTGTTGGGTTGGATTGCACCATCAGTGGTGGTATCATATGCTTCTTTGATGTGTTCAGTTCAAAGGTTGTAAGAGCCATTCAAATAAATGAGAAAGTAAGTGATCAAATATGGTATAGAACTCCTGCTAAGCTTTTTGTATTTTTAGATATCTGCCTTGCACATCATAGATCCAGGCATTGAAGACCTGAATCTTCCAGGTCCTTTGAGGAATTTTGATGGCATTCTTTCTATTGGTACTAAAGGTGGACATGTTTTTCTCATTGATATTTGCCGTCAGATTTGTGAAGAATCTTTGCATTCACCTATTAAACATGATGAGCTGAATCCTTGCCAGCTAGTGTTGCTTACATCTAAGAACATCACAAGAATTGAACAGTACAAAGAAAAGTCTGTACGTGACAGTAACCACTTGGCCATACACTTGAATGCTGTTTTGGACAGCCAGACAGAACATTTCACACTTAAAGGTCCTGAAGGTGATGACAGAATCCATGTGAATAGAGAAGAAGTGCTTACCAGTGGTCTTTATTACTGTCCTCAGCTGACCTCACTGTTAGTTGGCTACAATTTTGGGGCATTCCAGCTCTGGAATCTCACTACATTACAATTAGCTTATACTTCGCCAGTCTGTGATGAGCATTTGCCTGTTGGTAGGTTTGCTTTGCAAGAGCCTGCTGATGATCCAAGAGCATTTTGTTATATTTGGGTGTCTTATGGAAATACTGAGCTTTATCAAAGTGGATTGCCTCTTGCTGCCATGTATTCTGTTTGTTATGAGTCCAAAGAGTACCATGAAGGTTATGGGTATCTGTATCAGGATTTTCGGTATTGTGTTGTAAGATTTCAAGTGGAATTGGGGCCCATGGATGAGCACAGGTGAGTTTTCATTGTGGTATTGAAATACAAATGTATTCTTAAATGGGTTGGTACTGATTTGGAATTGGCAGCAGTTGGGAGTCTTTCACAAAAACTGTTTGACAACCTTTTTTCTCATTTTTTTTGGAATGCATGTTGGTAGTTTATCCCATATTTTTGTGCACAATAAAGTTATATTCACTTGTTTTATTTCAACATGTTTCCTTTTTACCTATACCTTTATACCTACACTACATATTCACAAAGAGTGGTAAGTTATAGGAACCTAGATTATTATGAAATAGTGATTTTTCAAAGGTACTATTTTAAATATTTCATATTCTCACAAAATTATTTTTCAACATTATTTTTTCGGCAACCGACCAGGTGTTTACTTCCGGACGCTTTTTCTTTTAGAAAGTAGTATTTTTCTAGCATAGTCTGAGAAGTGCATGCAAGTATCACATTGTGTTGTAATTATGAATTTTGGTTCTTGGTTGCAATTATCACAATAAACTATCTGAATCAACAGCAATAGTGAGTTTGAAAATGTTCATATGCAATTTCCAATGTAGCTGTTAGTAGGTATAGGTATGCTGTTCAAATTTTAGTATTTGATACAAATAAGAATTGAAATGTTCGAAATTTTTCTACAAAGAAATATAATATGGTAATGTTTCTCATTGATTTGTTATTCTAAATGGTTGCCGAAAAAATATTGTACACAACACGTCCAAAAACAGTATTTTTGGACTCGCAGATTTCCAGGACTCTGCCTAGAGTTTTCTCTACTCGTCCAAAAAAACAGTATGTTCGGAATTGTTATGTAAATTACTATTTCTGTAACAGATACTGTTAAATTTCATCAGATTTTTCGATTTATTTCTTCGTTTTGATTATTGATTAACCAACTTAAAAAATAACACATTTTACTGAAATTAACAAGAAAAAAGGAAAACAACAATATGACAGTGGCATAGTGATTCATTTCTCAAAGGGTCGAACGTATCACATTGTTACTCCACTGGTAGACATTTTAAGTCGACCTATCATGTAAATTATCTCGAATTTGTATAGATAAACAGTGAAAATGAAATATTTTTTGGAAACCCTCACCCTGTAGCTCAATCAATTATTCCATAGATTCTCATTGATTCATCAAATCAAATTATGTGACGTGGAAAGCTAATCCAAAGACTGTGAAGCATAAAAAAAGACAAATATTTACGTAACCCTAGTATTTCAATTTTCTGAAACGAAAAGTAAAGGAATAAAAGGGTGTTCCGATGTTCAGATTAATAAAATAAATATTTGATGTAGTTCACCCTGTATGTGGTATGAAATTGATTTCCAAACCACCTCTGCAGAATCCGAGAGAATATACTCAACACGTATAGAATCTTTTTAAAAATAATTTTGTATTATTTTGTCACCTACTATACTTTTTTTCCATTTATTGCTTATGCCCACCTACTCTCACAAAAACTTGAACCTCAATCCCCAATTAATTTTGTTCCAGACACTCCGGCGCCCCGAAAGGAGGCTTCTGCCTAGACCTCCAACCCATCACCAAACTCCCGCCCAGCAAAGACCCCAACTGCCCCGCCACCTCTGGCGATACCCTGGCCCTCTGCCTGATCACCTGGTCGGTCTGGCACAGCCGCTCAGAAACCCACACTTGCGCCCTATTGTTCGACCTCAACCAGTGGTACAAAGAGCAAATGCCCTCCGTCGCCAACTGGAAAGACTGCGCCAACTACATGCTTCGACTGAGCCCCGGCGAGCTGACATCGGCCGGCAGCAAGCCCGGACCTGTGCTCGCTTTATCTGTGGATCAACAGACCCTCAGGCAGTTCATGGGGGTGCAAAGGCTAGAAGAGCACTTCCACCCCACTGCTTTATCGTTCGATTTGTGGATGCTAAAGGAAAATGAGGTTATTTCGGTGCATAACGAAGGAGTGCAACACCTGTTGCTGTCGCAGATCGAAGCAACAGGTCCGCTTTGCCTGTTGAAACCGAGCAATATCGCCCGGCAGGTTGTGACGATAGGGCTGCAGCCGCTGTTCGTGGAGGATTTTTCTAGCAGTTGCTTGGATGCTCAGCGAGAGGTGATTTTGAACGTGGGGCTGGAGCATCAGTTGGTTAGCTGGTTGTGCAAGTGCGCCTCGGAGTGGGCGAATGGGAGTTTTGCCTCGGCTGGATGTTCTTTGGAAGCTCTCCTCAGCTGGGCTTTTCAAAGGGCTGTGACTCTGAAGTCTAACTGTGACAGATATTGTGCGCCTTTGTTTGATTATTCCCAAGTGCAGCTAGATGGTAATACGGCTAATCTTTTGAATTGTTGTATAAGGCAGATAAATAACTTGTGCACTCTTTACTCCTATGTACTGACGAAGTTGGGAAACTTTCTGGTGTATCCTGAAGCTGTCGGAGAGCAACATAGGAGTCTACAGATGGTGTCTGTTTATTTTGAGGTAAGGGAGCTTGGAACCTTTGGACCTTGTTATTTGCACTAACGAGATGATCCACCTGCATGTAAAATGTTGGAGTCGACTTTGGCCTTAGTTCGTAGGCGGCGATAGCGAATTTCAGCAAAATATGGCCGATTTGCCCTTTACTCTCGGAATCTGCTCGAGTCCATCTATCTGTAAGATGCTGAACTAGCTGGGAATATCCTTCATTCTGAAGCAGGGTAATCACTAACTCGGATATTCTGACTTTTAACCCCGATGCGATATTCCTTTTTGCATAAAAACATCTAAAAATAAACAGAATATATTCTGCATTACCGATCCTTATCCTTCGCTACTTAATTTGTCGCTCATAAATACTGCCCCGAACTAAATAGAATTTTTGGCTTCATTGCTCTCATAAGGATGATTAATCTTGTTAGTGTAAATGATCAAGGCTTTGGTACACTGTTTCACTACACACCAAAGTGACACTAGTTCCATAAACAAATATTTAGTAAGTGGTGCAACTGTGAAACGTTGAGAAGTCATTTCAGTACTTGACTTTTTCCAGGTGCTCCAATGGCTGGTCAACATAGGCCTCCTCCCGGAATGTCCGCCTTCCACCTACCCCCGTCAAGACAACTCTGACAGAATCAGCGCCCCCTATCCTGTTCGAGACCTCGTCAAGTTCTACGACGAAAAACGTGCCCAACTGAGAAGCTCAGAAACTTTTTTCGACGACGAAAGTCTTCTGTTCATCGACAACCTGGTGGAACGGAAATGCGGGGGCCCTAAGTTGCAGAAGCAATGGCAAGAGGACGGTGGCACTGGGCTTTATCCGCCCCCTTCGCTGCAATCGCTTATCAGGGCTTATTTGATTGAGGGGGCTGGTATCAGCCACAAGCATTCGCTGGTGATTTATCTTTTCTTGGATCTAGCGATGGCTCTCGATCAGAACGAGTATTCGGCTGTCATCACGTATTTGATCAAGTTTCCCGCTGTGTTCAAGGTATATTTTTCTCCCACTTGTACTTATCCAAATATAAGGAAGTTTCCTTTGAACGACCTATCAGAATTATTATTCAACTATTTCCTTCAAGGTCAGCACTAGCAGCATCAAAATCACTCAAGCGTTCTGGCAGCTGGACCACGGGGACTTCACCACAGCCCTAGAACACCTCCTGGACCCTTTTGTACTGGGTGAGGACCTCCAAGACTGGCACCATTCGGTGATTATGCGCTCTCTTTGCGTCCAAAAACAGTACAACTTCGCTTTGTTGTACTTGCAAACTCTAAGACCCCCGATGACAAGAGAAAAAGACGTTATGACCGCCATATCTTTGTTTGTTGCCAACAAAATGCTCGACGAGGCTTTCTATTTCATGAAGCAGCACCACAACAACAACGCTGAAAGACTGCTGGCGCATCTCTTCAACGAGTGCAGAAAGAATGATACTCTGCACGACTTGTTGTACAAGAATCTAAGCTCTGCCGAAGAAAAATCCTTCATTGGGTTCCTCAAAGGCTCAGCTAATCCCGCTTCTGACGAGCTACAGGTGTTTTACTACCTGTTGCGCTCTAGGTTCTTAGAGGCGTTCGATTTCCACGCCGGAATGGGGCGGGGCAAGCCGGACAGGCAAGGTCTGATTGGCCAGAGCAACGTGTCGAGGGCCGATCAGGTTGTCAGGATTTTCAAGTCGCTGCTGCCTGACGTCAGCAGAAAGTTGGTGGATTACGTGAGGAAGGAGAAGGGGAATTTGTGGAGGGAAGTGCAGAAACCGACGCCCCTATCGGTCTTCGTTCACAATACTGAGGAGCAAATTAGATATAAGTCGACGTTGATACGTGCTGCGCTAACTAAAGCTAAGCAGACCGATGGTTATGATATTTCCAAGCGTTACTCTGAAGTCATTACAGAAGATACTCCATTTTTGAGGACACCTAAGGCTTGCAAGTCGATCACGAGGTTAGCTACGCCTGTCATAACCCCCAAAGTCATAGAACTTGGAGAGGAAGACGGGCCTTCGCCTGCTAAGAAACTAAAATTGAGTCCCAGAACTCCAACTTACAGTCCCCATAGCAAACTCAATACCTCTGTGCATTCAATGATGCTCACTCCCATCGTGAAAAGAAAAACATCAGTACAAAAGGCGGATTTGTTCGAGATGCACACTCCACAAAGTATCCTCAAAGGGAAAAACCTGGCTAGATACACCGCTGAGTCTTCGGTAAACGAAGTAACAATCGGCGAGGACCACGACGAAATAGCACGAAGCGAATTTTCGCCTAAAAAAACTGGTCTGCAACCTAGAAGATCCCTTTCCAGAACACCTCGTCCACACGTTCAATTCGATATAGCCACCAGAGCTTCTTCGTCTTTCAGCGACCAAAGTAGCAGGATGATGGAAACCACCTCTCTGGAAGATCAGATACTGCAGGGGTCTTCAGTGGAGGACCAGATCCTTCAGAGGTCTTCCCTTTCATCTAGGGACATTAGCGCCATGGTTTCCACTAAAGACAACACCAATTCGACCTCTGAAGAGACCTTCTATTCGCCTGACAATTCTGTCAGTGAGGAGGTGCCACAGGAAAAAGAAGAAGAAATGGCCCAAGTTGTTGAAGACAAAAGGGACTTGGAGCTCAAAGGGGATGAAGTGAATGGAGAGCCTGTGATACAGTCTCCGAGAGCTAGAAGAAGCTACAAGAGGTCTTATAAGGAAATGTCTCCTGTCAGGTCGAGCCCAAGACTGTCAAAACAGCAGGATCAAGTTTCGTTGAACAAATCATCATCTACAGAGCCTTCTCAAAGTGAAATACCGTCTATAAGTGACGAATCAGTACAATCTCCTAGATTGTTACACAAAGTAAAAGGAAGAAAATCGCTCAGTAGACAAGTTTTGGAACACAACGCTTTTTCCAAAATACAAACCCCCGTGAGGGCATCGTCAGAGATTTCAATTACAAAAACAGAGAAAACCGTCCTGGTAGAAAAGACCCCTAGTACTTCAAAAATCACCACTGTTGAGTCTACGTTGGATATTTCAGATGTTACTAACCTTTCTAACCCCCAATCCCCCATTAGTCAAAAGAGCCATAATGTTACCAGCAATATCTCGAGAAAAAGCATTTTGGAAAGTGATGTATCTTTCGACAGTGATACCACTATCGGTAGTGACATATTTCCGCAAGAACAACCAAAAAGGGATATCCCAGAGATACCAGAATGGCTCAACGAGTATGTAGCCTCTCTACAGGCAAGAAAGAACAAAATCGAGCAACCCCCGCCAAACGAAGAAGACATTGAATCACCTGTTGATATTGAGGAACCACCTGTTGATATTGAGGAACCACCTGTTGATATTGAGGAATCACCTGTTGAAATCAAGAAACAGTTAGAACAAGAACTTGATCCTACCGAAGCTCCTCCCCGAGAAGAAGGCAGAGTTATTGAAGTTGAAGGAAATGAACAAAAACTTGATAATGATGCTGAAAGACCGATCGACAAGGAGAAAAGTAGGGAGGTCATATCTATGGAAATCTATGACGACCTATCTTGTGGTAGCGAAGCATCATACCCAGAAGAGAAGAAGGAGGACCACAGTCACTTTGATGAACTGGAACTGAATGTTTTTCAACTTGCCACGCCTAATCAAACGCAAAATATTGACTCAGAAAGTTCCTTTTTCAATGTGCCAGATGCAGACGTGGCTTTGATAGTAGATTCGCCGGATAAAGAAGACCAAGCCATAGTTATCCTCTCGAGTGAAGAAGACACTCATTCTTACCAGTCCAGCTATGAAGAAGATATCAATGTCTCTTTCGAACGTAACATCCAAGAAGAAGATTGCTCCACTGATCAGTCGACTGATAATGACGAACGCCATGAAGATATCGAACATCCGGAAAATGGTATCAGGGAAGATCTTGCTTGTAGTAGCAGTTCAACTGAAAAGTGGGGTTCCGAAGACCGAGAAGCAATAGCAGAAAACCAAGAGGCTGATTGGTCTGTAGGAGAAGATCAGCGGGTGATATTCGAGCAGAATGAACCTGCCGACGGCGAAGAAAATGACAGTTCTAGTAGTAGTACAACAGAAAAGTGGAATTTTTCTGATCAAGAAGTTAATGAAAACTCGAATGCTGAAAGTTTAACAGAGGAAGAACCAGTTAGGGAAGTAGAACCACAAACAGGAATCACAACTGAAGTTGAGGAGTTACAACAAGATTTTGAAATGGAGGATGCTGCTGTACCAGTGGCAACTGAACATGAACCATCTGAAGTTGGAGAACCAAAACAAACGAAAGAAGTAGAAGAAAATGATACAGGTGAAACGAATGAAGAAGCAAAGTCAGCAGCACCCGAAGATCAAATCTCGGTAGTTGAAGAAGCAACACATGTTCCAGGAGAAGATGATGAAGAATCGAAGAATCCAAATGAGGAGATAGCAGCTTCACTTTTGGCATCTAAAGATCAAACTATGGAAGTAGAACAAGCAGAAGGAGTGGATGATAATGAGACACATTCGGATATTAAAGAATTTAATGAAACAAATGAAGAAGCACAGTCAACTGTTTCACTTATTGAAAATAGCGATAACAATGTAGAAGTAATGGAAATAGAGAAAACTGCAGATGAAAATGTAGAAGCAGAAGGTATTGAAACACAGCTAAAACCTATGTCTGTCATTCTTCATAATAATTTAAGAGAGCATTCTATTGGGAAAGAAGAACTATCGACGAATACGACTCTGGCAAGTGACGATTCAAAATTAGATAGAGATGGTAACAGGAAAAGAAACCAATCTACAAACACTACAATAAATGAAACAGTAAGTCTTATAATTCTCAGTTCTATGTAAGATAAACTCGAATAAAACCATAGATAATTATACAGCACGCTGTAGATAGGACACTGTAATGTATTCATTATGGGCATTGAAGCGCTCTCTGATGGCTTGGAAGAAACTAAATTGAAGAGAGACGAAACTGAGTTGAAGACAAGAGCATATCTTTTTGGCGCGTATTTTCAAAATTCAAATTTTCGATCTAGGCATATCTAGGTATAAATGGTCACGAATTTATTCAGAATACAGAAAAAAATCATAATTCAATATAAAATCCCGTGTCATTTGTAATCTGTATATTTTTTATATGGCCAATCAAGATTTCTTACTTACTTCCTATTATAATTCATTTTCCTTATTTTAATTTTATTTTATAAGTGATATAGAAAACAATTTATTATTGAAATAATTCATCTCTTTCACAAACATGTCAATAACCTATTTGAATGTGATACAATTCAAAATATATATGAAACAATACATGAATCATAATTCGATTTCAGTATGAAATAACTTTTTTTTGTAGGTTTTATTGTATACTCTGGCATTTTTAAAAAATTTAGAAGTATTCTGTGGAAGCTTCCTGAGATCTTTACCACACAGGATGTTGCAAAGTTGTCTGCGATAATTATGCAAGCATATTTTAATTAGCCTGTGACAATTTTTTTTGTCAGCAAATCATTGTGTGAAAACGGTGTTTACTTTTCAAAGAACCCCAACACCAATGTACTGTACAGTAAATAGCCACCATCGCAACACACAAACCTCGTCCAAACTGTGAAATTGTCTATGGTTCAAAGAAAAACACTTCTGAAATCACCATTCACTATTAAAGATCAAATTTGAAATATTGAAACAAACTCTTCGACTCACAACAAACAACACAGGAGAAACTAGACAAAACTTCACCACACCCGAATTTCTGTGGTTTGATATTTGACCTCAGCGCACTCTGTCGGTTTGGAAGAAACTAAATATGGGATCTTGGGATCACAACACGCCCATATGAGTGTCTTATCTACAGCGTGCTGTATAATTATCTATGAATAAAACTGTCTATTCACTCATACACAGAAGCAACAGTAAATTAGATCCGAGTTCACAGAATATACTATAAATCAGACCCTAATTCACAGATGATCATTCACAGATGACACTATTAATCAGACCCTAATTCACAGATAACACTAATTCATGGATACACGAAACACGTGTCGAGGCGTTAAAAAATCGGTTTGGTTAGTGGTAAAACAGTGTAGTGTATTATCGTGCCAAAGGTTCCAGTCTTCGATATATGGATACCATTGTAAATCAGATCGTAATTCATAGATAGCACTGTAAATTACACCTCAGAATCCATGGTTTCTATCACTTTTCAAGGATTCCAGTGGCCCTAAACCAGACCGGCGAGACCTCAAATCGTCCAAGGACTCCTCTTCCGACACCACCGTTGAGGGCGACTCGGCAGCCCACCAGATCCTCGTGACGGCGCAGGTGCACACCGAACCGCCCATCCGAAGGGTGACGCGGCGCAGCAGCCTGTTGATGACGCAGGGCGAGGGGGACACGACGCCCAGTATATTCGATGATACGCTGGTGGAGCCGGGCAGCATGGACGTTTCTTCCAGCGATGACCTGATTGGGGCAGGTAGGGAGAAGGGTGGAACAAGATCATTATTTTTCGTTGGGTGGAACTCATATAATCTGTAAAAAAATGCATATTCACAGTGAAACTATGATCTTCTTCAACACAGTTGAATCTTATTCGATACATTATTTCTTTTCTGTATGGAATAATCTATAAGTATGAAGTACAAAATATTGATAAAGAATCGTTTCCAAGGTTGCACCAATTTTTAAGGTTCAAAAATAAAAAAGTTCAAATTACGAAATTTAATCATAAAAAAAAATTAAGGAGTCTGAAATTAACAACAAAAATATAGGCACTATCCGGAAGAGAATAAGAATCGCCACTTCAACGACGTATAATTTTTTTTTCTGAATGGATTATTGAAATTTCTGCATCATCTAGGACTTCTAGGAGAAACTAAGAATAATTGCTACTGTAGAAGCATACTAATTTTTTTTATGGGGAGGTCTGAGCACAGAACTCAAAGACCTAGAAGGCTAATGCATGTGTGAGAAATCGCTGAAATCTGATACAACCAGTGTGCGGCAATGGTGATCATGCGCATATTGTCGGCAACATTCTCAGTTATATATTTTTATACGCAAATCCAGTGGCGGCTCGTGACTTTCATGACAGAGGAGGCTGAAAGATATGAGATTTATTGCCAAAAACAAATCTCTACTCACCCAAATCAATAGCTTTAATGACATTCTGTTTACCGGTTAACCTGAACTCAATACTTGAAGAGATGTATTCCTGTGATTCGCAGAGTCTATCCAATCCGCGAGCCAAATTTTTCAAATCACTATATCCTAATCGCCCCCAACATGACGACTTATCGGTTGAAAATAATACGCAGTACCAACAAAATAGCTTATTCCTTACCTCAGATCCCGTCAGCCAGATATATTTGTTTTAATTATGAGAATTGAACACGTTTGTTTTTCACAATCAATTTATCTTCATAAGACAAAGCACTGAATGGGTTCACCAAAAAGTATTCCACTAAATCGCAATCGTTCAAAACACTCATTTTTCAGAAATTCATAGAGCCCCTAACCATTAACCCAACATAAACATAAACAATGCCTGCAATTCGCGACGCAACACGACAAACACGTGCTATTCGGGCATTTGCATTGCGCGAGTAGGTTGGGCCTTGTGAAGGAGTCCAGCCTCTAATACATGTTGCCAAGTTGAATATTTTCGCGTGATTTGCAGACTTCAACGTGTGATGCGTGGGCAAGCACTATTGCCAATTCAAAAATATATACCTAAAAACAGGAAATAAATTCAAAATCCATGTATTTTGTTTTTCCAACTGACTGCATAAACTATACTTTGTATGCCATCAATGTTATTTCCGTATCTGATATCACAATCACTTTCATTGTGTTATTATTTCACAAAATCCCATCTTTTATGAAATTTCGAATTTCTTTTACGAATTTCGTATATATAGACTTTTTTAATTTCACGCGGAATTTTATCATTGTGATCAAATAACTCTGAAGCCGCCCCTGGCATGGTCACGTCTCTACTGCGCATGCTCACATTTGTCGTTCGAGCCACGTTAGGGAACACTGGAATAGAACGATATTGGCCTTCTAGGTCTTCGAGTTCTGTGGGTCTGAGGTGAGAAAAATCGGAATTTCTTCAGCATTATGTAAGTCAATTTCATTCCAAAGTGAATTGAACAATATTTATTTCTTTTAGCCGAATAGATACATGGATAGAAAATAAAACACGCTATTATAGATATAGTTTTTTCCGAAAATTTCCAATTCTCGGATTTATTGTAGATCCTCGGACACCTACCCGGATGAGTACCCGGACGAGGAGATCTTCTCACGGTAGCGGCGTCATAGATTGCCAGTCGAGCACTTCGAAGGAGACGGTCGTCGAGCCTAAGGTGGCAGCTCTGCTCAGGAAGACCAGAAGCTCGAGCGTTGACGATGTGAAAACGTACTCCAGGAAGAGGTAAAAATTAGGGAGAATATATAGTCAGTTGAAGCACTTCGCTTTTGAGCCTCAAACTGTAGTCACGGTCTTCGAGGACTTGAAACGAACCGACAGCGCCCAACGTATGGTTTTTGCTGAGAAAGCCAGCTATATGCGTTTATTGCCAATAGGAGCACTTCCGGAGGCTACTGAAGCTTTATTGGCCAAAATTTCCCAATTTCCACCATGGATTCTTCCATTACGACCTCGAATTGGTCTACATGATTTTTTTCAGATTTTTAATAGGCCGAATAAAAATTTTTATTTTTCCTCCTAACCGTCCTATACGAAAACACGACCGAGGCACCTTCGGATGGCCGAAAGTGCCGGAAAACGGCGGAAATCCACGCGAATTATCACTTTTCTGAAGGAAAATGAGCTGCTGAATCGAATGAGACCGAGAGCGAGTCGATAGGACGAATACTTTCCGAGATATCGGCACCGAAAGCCGGCTGTATGCGTTTATTGCCAATAGGAGCACTTCCGAAGGCCAATAATCCTCTATCTTCCAGAATTTCCCGATTTCCACCATGGATTCTTTCATTACGACCTCGAATTGGTCTACATGAATTTTTTCAGATTTTTAATAGGCCGAATAAAAATTTTTATTTTTCCTCCTAACCGTCCTATACGAAAACACGACCGAGGCACCTTCGGATGGCCGAAAGTGCCGGAAAACGGCGGAAATCCACGCGAATTATCACTTTTCTGAAGGAAAATGAGCTGCTGAATCGAATGAGACCGAGAGCGAGTCGATAGGACGAATACTTTTCGAGATATCGGCACCGAAAGCCAGCTGTATGCGTTTATTGCCAATAGGAGCACTTCCGAAGGCCAATAATCCTCTATCTTCCAGAATTTCCCGATTTCCACCATGGATTCTTTCATTACGACCTCGAATTGGTCTACATGAATTTTTTCAGATTTTTAATAGGCCGAATAAAAATTTTTTTTCTGTGACGGGAAAAAAGTTTGGCATTTCATCCCTGTTGGCAGGTTATAAAATGTCACTTTTCATAAATTACTTTTTTCCCTTGGGAAAAAAGTGAGTACTTCTTTCCCGGATATATATCACATATATATACACTGTTGATGGCTTTTGTTGTGCTATAGTTCCGAAAAATGAGTCAATAATACTGTCTCCGAGAAAGAACTGCAAGTCCTCTTATCTTCCATTCGACTTCGCGGTTACGTATATTGCTAAATAACCACTGAATTCGCAATTTCTTGAAATAAAATCACGAAAGTAGACTGACAGAAGTGACATCAGATATTTGATTACTTCAAATGAATGATAAAGATGCCTACAACGCGGTGTCCCTACTGTTAAAAAGTTATAATTTCACGTCGATAATTTTCAGATATCAAAATAATGTAATATCTTCTCAATATTGATTCGTCCTTTCTTCTGTCACAGAAAAAAATAGTGTATTATACACGGGAAAAATATCAGATTTTAGCTCACGGTTTGTTGTCTCCCTCCGCTACGCGTCGGGAGACAACACAACCTGGAGCTAAAATCTACTACTTTTTTCCCTTGTATAATAAATAACTATTATTTTTCCTCCTAACCGTCCTATACGAAAAAACGACCGAGGCACCTTCGGATGGCCGAAAGTGCCGGAAAACGGCGGAAATCCACGCGAATTATCACTTTTCTGAAGGAAAATGAGCTGCTGAATCGAATGAGACCGAGAGCGAGTCGATAGGACGAATACTTTTCGAGATATCGGCACCGAAAGCCAGCTGTATGCGTTTATTGCCAATAGGAGCACTTCCGAAGGCCAATAATCCTCTATCTTCCAGAATTTTCCAATTTCCACAATGGATTCTTTCATTACGACCTCGAATTGGTCTACATGAATTTTTTCAGATTTTTAATAGGCCGAATAAAAATTTTTATTTTTCCTCCTAACAGTCCTATACGAAAAAACGACCGAAAAAACGGCGGAAATCCACGCGAATTATCACTTTTCTGAAAGAAAATGAGCTGCTGAATCGAATGAGACCGAGCCCATTTTCATAAAATGTACAGAGAAATGAAAATCAGAATTTTGGAAATGGTCCGTAGGTCCCTACAACGCAGCAACTCGGTGGACGAAAAACCCCCTGCAACAAACCCGGTGAAAACGCCCAAAGGCAAAGGTAGGGCCCGGTCCGTCGTCCACATGCCGGCCATCTCGGAAGAGGGTAATGGGGGCGACAGGGGCAACAAGGCGACGTACGCGACTTCCAGACGCTTGACGCGAAGCCAGGCCAGCATGGTCAGAGACGTCGAGGAGGGGATCGATTTGGGGGATGGGGAGGAGTCGGATAAGACGATAAAGCTGGACTATATCGATCCGATCGTGTTGCTCGACAAGGAATCTTATCAAGGTAGGAACAAAATTTCGAACCAAAAAAGGGAAGTGTTGTATGTCGTGCAAGATAATTTATTCAAATTTATACTCATAGCAGAGCGCTTTCGACTGTTAAGTCATCATCAGTGCATACCTGTAAGTAAGTAATCTGCTCTTAGCTATTGGAAAGAAATTGGAAATTAGATTTTTTTTTTTGGAAATTTTTAATATTGAAAAAATGATTGGTGACTTGTTTCTTGTTGATAAACTCTTGATTTTGAAAAAGACATTATCATAAAATCGAAATTTGGAAATAGTAAGATACGAATTTGGAAATTGATAAAAGTGAGGTTACTTACTCGTCAGGTTAACAAGGAGATTTGTCCATAAAAATATCTCTGATCCAGTTTAAAACTAACGACATTATGGTAAAATACGGTACAAACATATTAAAATATTTCGCAGAGTTGCAAAAAAATACGATTTTTCTGCAACCGACACAAAAGTCGTTCATTTTGATACCAAAATTAGCTCTTAAATTGACGTTTCTATTACTGACACAAAAATAGGTATGTTGCTAGGCAACATATTTAGTTTTTAGGAGCTGAAGTTGAATTTTAGTTCCTGGGAGCTAAAGTTGAACTTTGGCTCCTAGGAACTAAAAAGGTTGTACTGGACGTCATCAAGAATAAACAACATTGTAACGGTTGGTTATTTGGGTTGAGACGCATACCTGATTTCAGCAGATTTGGCATTTCATACCCATGCTGGAGATATAAATACACCTTATTATAGTTTAGTATTGGAATTATAAACATCTCAGTTGAGTATTTTTGTTTTGATCAGGGAAGCCTTCAAGATTCAAATACTTGCTTGATCTGTATTTCATTCGTTATTCTCGGGATGGATAACTTGTTTTTGAATAATCACGGCAAGCAATAGTTTTTTGTCTCAAACAACGATATTGTTTAGCTTCATTTGATTATCAAGTCAAACACAGTGTAGTATGGAGAGGAATGAATAATCACTATTATCATTGTTGATATGCTCGGCTTCGCTAAACGCTCCGCCTCGCAAATGCAAAATTCGCTTGTCAAACAAAGTGTCACTTTTGATCCTAATAAAACAATCTACTATTTTTTATGAAATCGTGATTTTTTTGTTTACTAATTATCTGCCTTAAATATGGGAATAAATCACTTATTTTCATCATTCTTTTCTATCCGATGGATATAATAATAATAATATAATATATCGTCTTTATTATTTCCATACATAAAATAAATAAACATCAATCTTATCTTATAAATACTATAAGTGGAAATAAAGGGCGAAGTTCATTTCCTGTAAATCAAGGATTTCCAGATAATGCTCTTCCACTTAACCCTACGGAGTGGTACCACAGATCACATCTGTGGTGGTACTACAAGTAAACCACTCTGCTGACAGATGGCACTACCTGACATTCTCGAGATCTAGCAGTTGAATAGGTGGTGAAAAAATTCCTCTCAAGTATGTCAGGTAGTGCCATCTGTCAGCAGAGTAGTTTACTTGTAGTACAACTCTGTAGCGTATAGACGTAGGGGTCTGTACGTGTGACTATAGATGGCAGCGCCATACAATGTGTGTCGCGATCTCTGTATCCTACCTTAGAGCTTTGCCACTAGATGGCTACAACATGACTATAACTTCATGTTATACCCTGCATATATTTCAATCATTATAGTCTGAATCATTGTTGATAAAACTTGAAATATACCATACTTGAAACATTTGTATCTTTACTCAAAAAGAAGATATTGACAGGGATCAAGAACCATTGTGTTAGCGACTAGCCAGATGCCGGACGCCCTGTACCATTAGAAGCACAGAGCTACAGTTAGTGGTTACATAAGGTTTAGTCACCTATCTACAAATGACTGTATCCGATCAGGAGGCATTTAGGTTGATTCATTCTTATTTGAAGCGTTGTAAAGAATACATTGTGTTAAGTGTTGATAAAGGTGGAAGGTTTCAGAGGGACTGATTCTGTTCTGTCAACCATATACCGAGCAGTGCTGATAATTGTATTGAGAAGAGATCACACTTCAATTCAAAACATGAGGAAACTAAATTTGAACAGTTACTTTTGCCACAGCACAGTGAGAAGTTGAAGGTGAAAGAGTAACTTTTGTTTTCCCTGTATAATAATAACGCCATATCTACGATATAATCGAAATTCCACCAAAATCGGAAGAATCAAAAAAGTTGAAGGATGATCAATTTGACTGAATTTTCTTCTGAACGTTTTTTCTGTCGTTGAGTTACTTATACTTTGAGTTATATGTAGGTTTTGTTACTAACATAATTATAAAATAATGAGTAATAAATATCTATGAACTACTACAGAAACATCAGTAGAAGTGAACATGAATAATGAATCAGAGGATATCACAATAAATCACCGTTCCTCAAATATGAATGAATATCATTTCTATTTGAATTATTTTCCTTGTAGGGGAACAAGATCCAGAAGAGAAGAAAATCTACGAAGGTTCCTCGCCTTCCAACAGCACGGTGAGCTCTTTCACCAGACCGGCTAGAAGAAAAAGTAGATCTGTTTCGGTCGCTTCCGATATTTCCCTTCCGCTGTCGCCGACCAAGTCTGTCACTCCTGAAAAGATAACGACAAGAAAATATGGATCAGGTTAGAAACTATTTTCTCGGTTGATTTTTTTGTTTAACTGTATTCAAATTCTGCAAGCTGATAGATTTTTGGGAAATATTGTTTATGTTTTGATTGCATTTACAGTATGTCTCACTGAGTTAGAACCATTTATGGAGAACAACTTTTTCATTATTCAGTGTAGGAAAGTTACACAATACCTGTATATGCAGACATTTTTTGATTTTACAGGGGTGAACAGGAGAGTGAGGAAGCAGTCTGAGACGAGTTCGGTGGTGTCAGAAAAAGCTGAGCCCGCGACTCCATCAAAAAGGACTAGAAAGAAAGCCGAAGTCACTGACGTCGAAGTTCCAAAACCAAGAACAACCAGAAGTAGGGGAAATTCTGTTTCTTCTGCAAAGTCAGGTATATTGAGTTTTTAAGTTGTGGATGCGCTAGGTGTTGATGATTTTTTAAAATTTTCAGATTCATCAAATTCACCTAGAAAATCTTCAAGAAGTAGGAGAGTGATTTCTGCAAAATCTGATTTACCGGAAATCACCGAAGAAAAAAGTATTGATGTAAGTTGATGAAAAAAAAAATAACACAACAATGTTTTTTGTTCTCTAGTTCAACCAAGTATCTTGTGTTTTTTTAGGTAAATGTAGCACCCAGTCTGAAAAAACAAACACGGAAGCGAAAGTCACCCTAAACAATTTTTAATAATGTAAGAGATAAATAAATGTATTTTTTATCAGTGTCCAGGATATTCTGATGGCATTTTTGTAAATAAATATGATTAAAGTTTTGGCAGCTTTCCACTTCGTTTGCAATTAACAATGGCAATTAATGATGTTATATCCATTGTTGATATAATTCATTGTTTTGATTGAAAATTCGAAAATTTCATAAGAAATTGAGGCTGCAAGTTCTTGAATTTTTTTCGTCTTGTTTTATACCGTGATTTCTATATACATTTGCGCCTAACGGACATAACATACATATTCATATGACCTACTAATTCTTCTTATTTTATTTCTCAATGAGCACAGAATACTTATAGCTATGACCAACAAGGAACATAACCAAACAAAAGAAGTTGAAGAACTTTTGACAGCTGACGTTGATGGCAGATTTTGAATGATAATAAATTTTCATCTGATAATTTGAAAAAATGGCAAGTTTGGGGCATTGCGAATCTCCCGGCTGCACTAACTCAGCGAAGTTACAATGCCCCACTTGCATCAAGCTCGGCATCCCAGGCTCCTTTTTCTGCTCGCAGGAGTGCTTCAAGAGCAATTGGAAGAGCCACAAGATCATACATTCATTAGCCAGTAAGTAAGGTTAGGTAGGTATGGAAGTGCTTTTTCCAATGGATTATATTCTATACTAGGCTCTTTTGATGCCTGTGCGTTCACTTCTTGAGCACAAGCACAGTTTGCTGTCTCAAGAAATTCATCAGACTATTTATATTTCACTAGAGGGCGAAAATGTTGATGGTAGAAAAGATGATTTATACAACCCCTGGCCCCACTATAGCTTTACTGGTAAGCTGAGACCTTTTCCATTGAGTGCAAAGAGGGTTGTACCAGTAAGTATTGAGAGACCAGACTATGCTGACCATCCACAAGGTTATCCATTGAGTGAACAAGCTGTCAAAGGGTCTGGCCTAATAAAAGTACTGGATGATGAGGAAATTGAAGGTTGGTGGAGTTGACAATCAAACTTGTTTTTTGGCTTCAAGAACGACTTTTTTTCATAGGAATGCATGTTGCATGTAAACTTGGACGTGAGGTGATAGATGAGGCTGCCAGAGTGTGTGATGTTGGTGTTACCACAGATGAAATTGATAGAGTTGTTCATGAAGCATGCCTTGAAAGGGATTGCTACCCCTCCCCCCTCAACTACTATGAATTTCCCAAGTCATGCTGTACCAGTGTCAATGAAGTTATTTGTCATGGAATTCCTGACCAACGTCCTCTCAAAGATGGTGATCTTTGCAATGTTGATATCACGGTAATAAAATCTATGATTCTCTCAGTTGATAGTGGTGAAATTTTGTTATTTGAAGGTGTACCACAAGGGCTTTCATGGTGATTTGAATGAGACATTTTTTGTTGGCAATGTCAGTGACAAGCATAAGAATCTGGTGAAAGTGACTCATGAGTGTCTCATGAAGGCTATTGAGATTGTCAAACCAGGAGAAAAATATCGGGAGATTGGTAATGTGATCCAGAAACATGCACAGGCACATGGTTATTCAGTGGTTAGGAGTTATTGTGGTCATGGAATTCATAGGTTGTTCCATACAGCTCCAAATGTACCTCATTATGCCAGTAAGTATATTTATTTTAAATTGATACCTTACTAACTCATATGAGTCATATGTTCAAAATTATAAATGATATTGAATTGAAAAATCATATACAAATAAATCATATATATTTTTGATTCCATATTTTGTAATATAAAATCCCAAATAGTATCAAGTTATTCTCAGGGGTAAATATCCTTGGAAGTCTAGTATGCACTTCACTGTAAGTGAATGAAAGTATTTTGCAGTCACTTAAAAGTCTTTGGCAGTCACTTGAAATACATATTTGGGAAGTCTTTGATAGTCATTGAAGGTATTTGGTAGTCTGGTGTACACATTTTCAGAGTAGATTTACCCCTGGAGAAAATCAAATCATTTCACTGCTACCAAATTGAAGTTGAAAACTCTAAATCAGATTCTACAACATGTTTTTCTGTGAGAAAATCTATCACTCCTCAAAAAATCTAATTCAATTCTTCACCTTCCTTTCTTCACAGAATCAGATAAGAGAGAAATAATGGCATTATACCTCAAGAGGGACCAATAGGAAAAAACCTGTTTGAAAATACATCAAAAAATCAGAACCAATTTCTCACCTTGAATTTTTTACTAGTTTGAGAATGGAGAAAATATACTCACCACAAAAACTAGCTAGATGATTATGAAATATTGTATGGATCTGAATTGAAGTATATTTTTGTTTGTAGACCATGAATGACTGCTATGGAAAACCCACCTTCTGTAATCATAACCACTATTTTTCAGTGAAATTTATTGCAGATAAGACTTAACATAAAACACTCCTTATTTGCTTGGAACATCACACTATAGTATCTCTCATAAGGATATACTTTTCAATCATCAATCTTTCTTTCATTATCATAAATCATATAACCATACAAATAAAGTCACTATGTATCAAGCATCGAACATATTGGTCCTTCGAGCCGGATCTTTTCAATTCAAATCTTTAAGACTGCCAAGTTCACTGAGCAGCACTGAAGAAAACTTGGCTGGCCTCATCATTGCTTTCATAAGGATGGTTCAAAATCCCTGTTTTTCTTTGGAAAACCGCGCAGTGGGGTTGATGAAGGCCGGAAACGTGGCGCGACGAGATGTAGACGGGCAAGTGGACGGTTGTTCGAGCAGACGCTGCTGGTCCACAAAAAAATCTTCGGAATAAGTTTCATGATAATAAACATGAAGGATCTGAATAAGTATATTTTTGTTTGTAGACCATCAATGATTGCTATCGGCCTTCTGTAATTTTTACCATTATTTTTCAGTAAGATTAATTCAAAATAAGAATTAACATGAAAGATTCCTTATTTGCTTGGGACATCGCACATCGCACTATAGTCTCATAAGGATCTCTTTATCTACCACCATTCTTCATTTCATTATCATATATCAGATAATCATACAAATACAGCCCACTATCTATCAAGCATCGAACATATTGGTCCTTCGAGCCGGATCTTTTCAAATCAAACCTTCAAGACTGCTAAGTTATTCACAAAGGTTACAGAGCAGCAGTCGAGATTACCCGGGTGACCTCATCATTGCTCTCATAAGGCTGGTTCATCTTGTTAATGTAAATAACCAAGGATTGCAGTAAATTTTCAAGAATATTCAAGATGGCAGACGAGTTTTGTAACTATGATCCCGTCTGGGGGTTTTCGGGGTCGGAGATTATGATTGATGATATGGCGGATAAGTTCTGTAATTTTCATGCGATTCAATTCAAAATAGGTATCTAGGGGTTTCTGGGGTCGGCAATTATGATTCTTCTGTCAAACTTGGAGAATTCAAGATGATGGCTCCAATATGGCGGACGAGTTTTGTAATTATGATCAGATTCTATTCAAAATTTGTATCTGAGGGTTTTCGGGGTCGGAGATTGTGATTCTTTCGTCAAAATTTAGAAATTCAAGATGGCGGCTTCAAAATGCCGGTTCAATTTCGTGATTGAGGTTTTTTCTTCAGAAAATCGAGCCGTGGGGGTGATGAAAGCGGGCCACTCGTTCACCATCGAGCCGATGATCTCGGAGGGAACGTGGCGCGACGAGGTGTGGCCGGACAAGTGGACGGCAGTGACGGCGGACGGTATGTGGTCGGCGCAGTTCGAGCAGACCCTGCTGGTCAACGAGACGGGATGCGAGATAATGACGAGAAGGAGGGAGAGAGACGGACAGCCGCATTTCATGGACAAGATGGGGTAGAGGTTCGGGTTCGCTCAAGGTATCACTGAACTATCAACAACGAATGGAAGGACAATACTAGTTCACAGTTGAATTGGGAGAATGAACAAATTTTCATTCCTATATATAGTTTATGAGACTTCATTAAACACATATTTTTTATTTTTTAGTGCGATCAAATTTGTATTCAGAAAAAAATCGTGAAGATATATTTTCAGCTCCTCCACCATTTTCATGAGCTAATAATGCGAACCGTTTTACGCCAGTACAGACAAGATTTATCGGTAAATGCAATCAAATCTAATGATTCAGAAAATTTCGTTCTGACATCATAGTTAGCCATGGTATTTGAAATGACGTATTTTTTAAAAATTCACCCCTATACCAAATACCTGATGAAATGGGAATTGTAGACGAAACATATATATTAGAAAAGCATAATAATTGACGATTATAAAATTACGGGGATATTCAAAATGACAATGATGCTGACAGCTCTTTCTTGAGGTTGATCATTCTAATTTGAATTCTTGTAGAAAGGTTGAAGAGATATTTCAATTTCTCCAAGAAATTGATAACTTAGGTCTGGCAACAGTGGTGGAAACCTGATTTACACCATTCGTGGTAGTCAAGGTCATCATCTGACGTTTCAATGACATAAAAACTACGGGAAAACATTCCTAACTCCTGGCTCAGATTGAAAGTTAGACATGTTTTCAAGTAGTTTTCATGTCATCGCAACGTCAGAAGATGACCTTGACTACGGTGAATACACAAACGTCTCTTGCCAGTCATTCAATTAGTAACTTGCTGCCGAGCTGCGGAAAATTTCAAGGTTATCAGAAGGTTATAAGGTATCATGAGGAAGGAAAATATCGTTTCTGCATGAAAAAGGAGACTACTTCTGACCTCTCGGCCTAAATCAACCTTTTTCCTTAAAAAAAATTACTTGAGTGAAAAAAAAATGACTCCATGCAGGGACTTGAACACGAGCCACCGCCGAGAAAGTCAGATGGACATCCCACTGAGCTATCAAGATATTCGAAAGTTTCATCTACGGAGAAATATCATGTGTGTTTTGAAAAATATACTTTTCAGGTAAAAGGTCCATCTAGGCTGAGTGAGGTTAAAAGTTTCTGATAACCTTGAGATTTACCGCAGCACAGCAGCAAGCTACTTTTTGAACGACTGGCGAGAGACACATCATTCCTTCAAAATTTGTTGGTGTAGCTTCACGACAAATCAGCTGATTCATGGTGTGGTGCTTTTTACACAGAAAATCAAACGAAAGAACCAGTATTGTCCTTCCATTTGTCGGTTATAGGTTAGTGGTTGGTAAATTTCCTCCAAGTGTTTCTGAACATCTGTTTATGAAAATTGAAGATAGAAATCTCCTTTTTGTTTTGGAATAATAAAAATATGTTACTTTAAATTTTTTATTCAGAAGACAAATGTAGTACATACCTATAAATGGAGCATTTATTTCGTCTGAATTGTCATATACTCCAGCAATTTATATAGGCCTAATAGACCTGGACAAAAAAATCATAGGTCCGAAAATACCTCGTTCCTGCTATTATACATCGTTTTTATTATTATCTTGACTATCATCAATACGATTTTCAGAGACAAGCTATTAATTAAATTTGTCTTGTCATTTTTTCAGTCCATTGGGCCAAAAGGAACAGTTTTCATGAAAAATTATATATAACGCCAATGCTTTTTCCAAGTTTTGATTTTTTTAAATCTATAAAAAAATATAACATTGTTCAATCGCCAATGATAGTCTTTCTCCACATTTTCGAATTTTATAGCACCAAAACATTAAAAATATTAAATCAACAGGAAGGAAAAAAATCAATCAATGTTGGAAACAGGCCCATTACAACCGCACAATATTGTTTACTAAAAATATCACAAAATACAGTACATGCAATGACTATTATAATATACAGGATGTCGTCTTCCTCCTCTAACGAAAATTGGGAATTAGACTTAGAGGAAAAATGTATCACAGAACACCCTGTATACTAATTATAGTAATAATAATGAATAATGTTGAATTATGTATAATTTGAATATACGTGGATACACATAGTAGGTAGTTCCACCAATCAGAAATTTAGAACAATTTCCATTTCCAAAGAAGCCAATTCATATTGTTACATACAAATAAAGCGCGTCGTCAAATTTTGACGTTAGTTCAGGACTACTCAAAAAATAATCGCATACAATTCGAATTTCAAAGTCTCAAACTTCCTGCACAATTACAAATCGTGTCAGTTAAACAGAATAATCCCATTTCCATAGTAACCAATTCATATTGTTACATATAAAGCGCGTCGTAAAATTTTGACGTAGAACTACTCAAAAAATAATCACATCGAATTCAATTCGAACTTCAGAATATCAAGGTTATTCGCGGTAGCCAAGGTCATTAGATGACGTTGCTATGACATTGAAAATTAAGGGACAACAAGTCGAGCTTTCAATCTATGCCAGGTGGCCAGCGTAGCCTCGTGGTTGAAGCGTCAGTATTCTATCCACGATCACAGAAATTTTTCTGATGGCATAAGAAAGTGTTTGGGTTCACACGTTGAAAGGTAAGACCGCCGTCTTTTGAGGGTTGCTCGTAAAAGGGCAACTGAATGATGGATAAGAACAATTTTAGTAAGGATGTTTTCCCGTTGTTTTGAAGGTCATCACAACGTCATCTAACGACCTTGGCGACCACGAATGCATCTCAAACTTCCTGCTCAGTTACAAATCGTGTCATAGAATAATTCTTCCGCTTCGCGGTCAGATTATTTCAACTGATAAACTGACACTCTGTACTTATAGTATTACTACACATAATACCTTGAGAAAATTAACAGTAAAAGAATGATATTGAAAGAATTAGTATACCGGGTGTTGTGAAATTCGATCGACAATGCAAAAATAAAAAAAGGCGTTTATCAAGTACTTGCGAAAAAAACAATAGTCATTTCTCAACTTCAACACCCAGTATCTTGAGAACTGAGCACTTGACCTCATGTCCTTACCTCAATGCTTAAAACAACACGAGGACTATCACATGTGTAGCATCGTCGGTCGAACTTCACAACACCCCGTAGATTCTGAAAAAAAAAGCGTTCACAAAGCTATGAGCAGTGTAATTTCATCATGCCCTTTTGAAACCTAAAATTACACCTATAGCGAATTCCATTGGTAAAACTGGCTTGCACTAAGTGCATATTTAGTACTCCATTGGAAAACTCAGTGCAACAATAGGCGAGTGGGACTAATTTCTTTTTATTTCTTACATAGAATCAGCGCTCAAAATACCTTTCAGTTTCATATTTTTGAAGAATTTTTCGGTCGAATCTTAAATCATCAATAATGCCACGGTAATTTTCAAACGGCTAGAAATTAACCGCCAGTAGAAACTGGCGCCATGATTTTGTAAGTAGGGGCAGACCATAGCACAGTTGCTATGTGTTGAAATACGATTGGGAACTTCAGAAATAATAGTTATTCAATAATTCATAAATTCAAAATCAAGTATGGAGAGAATCCCACCGCTGCCACCATGTCAAAAAGTTTTATTTGCAGACTTTATAGTCGAGGATGACATTAATAAAAGTACTTTATTTATTAGCAGTTGTATTTTTCTGTTGCTTTTTCAAGTCCCGTCGACTGTCTGCTGTCACCGTCAATTGCTTGTCGGTTGTCAATGTCGTTGGTTGGCAGGGGTGCCAACTAACTATGTAACAGCAATATTCCTAAGTAGCCATAAACATTCAATTGTCTCAGAATGTTCCCTTATGATTTACGGTTTATTGCTTGATAATAAATTTGTGTAAATAATAATTATATTAATTCACACTAGAGGACATTTGAATCGGTGAAATGAGCTCTGAAATTCAACGCCCATTCTCTCACGAGCTCTAATAGGTCCTGCGAAGTCAGTGCTGGAAACATAGAATATGAATAGTTTGAAAGCCAAATTGTTAGTGGCAATTTAATCATCGTCATCAAATAGTGATGAAAAGTTGGAGATTCCAAGAAAATAAAGGCGATTACTTCCCAGAATGCATAATTTTGTTGAAAGTGTTAGGCACTAATTCAATGATGAAGAGGTTCTTATTTAGAAAAAGTGCTCAAAATTTATTCTATGAAACATCTACTGTTTTCAATTGAAGTTAAGAATGACTTTCAGGATGCGGACAAGTTATAAACAAAACCAAACCTGAACAAACCAACTTTCCGATTCAACCTCCAGCAATAATTTCCTATTCCATTAGGAATGCACCAATTCACATATTGGAGAGAACCAACGTAGTGCGGGTTTACAAATGGAATTCGCCACTAGTTTCCCCTACTTTACGAATTTTCCTCGAATTTTTCACCCATCCCAGATACCATATCACCCTCACTAGAATCAAGTTGTCCTCCCCCTTTGGATGTCACCATGCCTTCATCGTCCTCATCATCCCCCTCATTTCCCCCCGATTTTCCATCATTCTCCTCCACCTCTTTCTCAAGATTCCTCCTACACATTTTCTCCACATCGCCGATATTTTTCGGAATATCCTCGTCGCTGGAATCTTTCCCGTTCTCCTCGTCGCTGCTGCTCGATCCGGACCCGGACTTCCGGAACCTGTTCCTGGAATAACTTTCGGGCGACTTGGAGGCCGAGGGCTTCGGGGTGCTGCGGCGCTTCTTCTGGTTCTTCATGCTCTTCGCTATCACGCGCTTCTGGTGGTCCAGCTGCGGGAACAGATCTGCGAAAAGCAGAAAGAATAGCGCCATGCCTACGTCAACACCTGAGTGTTGCTTAGAGAACAAATATCACGTTGGAGAGTTCATCAAATAGTATATTTCATTACGAGTCTGGAAATAGGGATTTTTCCGTGCGTGTGTGACTAATTCTTCGCCTCACACGGGAAGTCATGCAAGCACGGAAAAATCATTTCTGGACGTGTAATGAACGATATTTTTTCATATCAATTGAACATAACATGAAAAAGACACAAAATGAACTTGAAACATTTTCATTTTCACAGTTGTAGGAATAAAAAAACTACTAGACCTGGATTTTACTGGTAATAAATTCGTGGTGGCATGTGCCGTTTGCTCTAGGATATTATCGGGAATTTCGGGATTTTCTTCAGAGTTCATTTTGTCAGCATAAATTTGATTGACAGAGAATGAACAATGCTGACAATACAGTGTTTGGTATGTATGATCCGTTTCCATGATTATTCTCAAAGTTTTTCCGTGCGATAGCCCATCTTACAATATTACTAATATATATCAAAACAAGTTGATTTTAAGGAAGTATAATGATAGTATATTACGTAATATGTGTTGTAAGAAGCATATTACGCACGAATGGAAAAGTAACTCCATGAGTGCGTAATTGCTTTACAACACGCATTACATACTATACTTTACCTACTGCCATATAGTTCTGGTTTTCTAGCCTCAGTTATGCCTTGTGCTTTTTTGCCTAGTAAAACAACTATTGACAAACAAACCAGACACATTGACAGACAGAAATATGATATCATAATGGTTTCTTTTCTTCTTTTTGAGGTAGAGGAACCCAAAAAAAGTCTGTAAAATCATAACAGAAAAAAGACAAACATGTGAAAACATTCAAATTTGTGGGAAATGTCCAACAGACCAACTTTTCTAGGTGAAGAAGTAAATACACTTGAAATCATGCTACTTCAACTTTGACAAACTATGGACTTATTCCTTTGTGTTTCTAGGTTTGTTCAAAATTTCCCATGAATTTGACGTTTCCTTCCCAATTAGAAATTTTCGTTCGCTCGAATTATTACCAGAGTTTTAGAAATATTGACTAAGGTGATTGAACGCTCACTGTGAGATATTTCCAGAGCTTTCTTGGCAGCATTCATTTCCGCCTGTTGTATGCTGTGACCCATGGCGCTAGCTAATCTCCTGCCTCTGAAATACACGGCAACAGTGTACACTCTCGTGTTTGTCGGGCCTTTACACTCGATCACCCTATGAATAAGAAAATGTATGTACAATCGATATTTCTCATTTCCTACAAGTTGCATTTGGAAAGATTATATTTTTTATAAAAAAAAAACAATTGAATTTATTTTTTATACTCACTTATAAACTGGGATGTCTGGTTCCCCGCCATCCATCGTTCGAAGGGTCAAGCAACACTGTTGCAATTTGGATTTTGGATCGTTCCAATCTTGGTTCATGATGAAATCTTGCAATCTCGGAAACAGAGTCACTTGGCAGAATACTTCACAAAATTCCATACCCTAAAATGGGAAAATTGATTTATAAAACCATTTTGAAGAAAGTCAAGAGTTTTCCGGAATATAAAAAGAAGTTCACACGAACAATGGTCCAGAGTTGCTTCAAAAATCCTGCTATCAAAACCTGAGACACCCAATATACAAAAAATCATGAAAATAAAATGAGTCCTTCTACTCAAAATTGTAAAACTTGAGACACAGAGAAGGAAACACTCATTTTTTCTAGTGTTCATTTATGAGAATCAGATGATAAAAAAATACTTGCTTGATCGACATAAAGGGCCCCAATGAAGGCTTCCAACAAATCGGCCCTGTCTTTGGTCTTCAATTCCGCTTTCGGATTATTATAAACGGCATATTTGGACATGTCCAAATCATCACAGACAACCGCTTGTGTCCTGTTATTCACCAACGAACTCCTCAATAACTAAAAAACAGAAACAAAATATCAGAGTTATGTATACTGGGTGACCAAGTCTCAATGACTAATAATCCAGGAATCCATAAAACTCGATGAAATTCTATTATCCCTCTATAGTCTAAATGAACATATTTCATCAATCATATGGATGGAGTATTAGTCATCAGAACTTGATCAACCTGTATATTTTTCAAGTCGATTGTGATTTTTATTTACCGATAGATGTCCTTCGTGATGTTCTGGGAAAAACTTGTATAAATATTCGGAAGCTATGAGCTGTAAGACCGTGTCTCCCAAAAACTCGAGCCTCTGATTGGAACCCATTGTCAGGTTGGTATAACCAACGCTCCGATCTGAAATTATACAAGGTGTTAACCAAGTATATGACCAGACATCAAGGGGTAATTTTTCTGTTGATTCAAATTCGAAAATTTCACATGAAGGACGTTCTCCCCAAGAAAATTATTATAATTTATGTCGTTAGCAAAGAGCATGAATTTGGTATTATTACCATTAATTTTCAATAGATTTCCAGAGCACCATTCATGTATTTGATTTACTGAATTGTTAAGAACTTGTACCAAAACCGCAGAGAGAAATAAATTAAAGTTTAATCAGCAAACAAGTTGATTTTACAGTTTCCTGCTGCTTCGACGATGTCATTAATGTATATTAAGAACAATCAAGGTCCAAGAACACTTCCCTGTGGAACCCCATGACTATTTTCTATCTCTTCAGAGAATATATTATTAATCCTTAGTTTCTGTTTTCTGTTATCCAAATAATTAGCTAGCCATTTCAATGCTTTATCTTCGATGCCAACACATCTTAGTTTTTCAATCAACCTATCTCGATCCACATTTCAAAAGCCCTTCGAAGGTCAAGAAATACAGCACGGGTCATTTGATTTGCTCCTAAACTTTTTTCCAGTCATCCAGAACACATTGGAATGCTGTTTCACAGCTATACTTACTTCAAAAACCTGACTGAACATTGTTAAGTATTCTATTTTCCTCAACAAAGCCCACTAATTGTTCATAAACTGTCTTTTCGAGAATTTTTTCAATGGAGCTTAGCATATTGACTGGCCCCAAATCAGAACCATTGTGTGGGTTTGCAACTTTTGGAGTATAAAAACTGATAACATTTCGAGAAAATGAATTAATTTATTCACTTTTGCCCCAGAATTCGATTAATTTCCCAAATGTGTTTTACCTGTGAATGCTCTGGCCAGCAGCCTGATGTGATTGAACTCGACGTTGATGGACTGCTCGAACTTGACCAGACTCTGCAAGAGTTCGAATTTTTCGATCCAGTGGCGGTCCCCGAGGGGTTCTTGCTCTTGCAGGGGATGGGCGGGAATGTTTACCCAAATCTCGTGCAACTCGGGTTTGTCGTGCAGAAACGTCATCGAGAACACTTGGTCTGCCACCTGAAATTATTTTCCACTTCAAAAAAGTTTGAACTTCGGGTCAGTTGTCGCTCATAATGGAAACCTAGTAAGTAGGCGAAAAAAAAACTGCGAAAATTGCCCTCATTGACCACATTTTCAGTAAGCTAGTGACCTCTATTCCGAACTAAGTCATTCAATTATACTGATGAACCCAGGAATTTTTCATATTCCTGTCAAAATCCACTTTTCTGTCAAGTTTGTTATCAAAAATTTCTTATGTTCAAACATTTCAAGAACTAAAACAAATAATAAGGAAAGCATGATAGCAATGAAAAAATTCTCGATTCATTGTGTTATTTGAATTTAAGTAGGAACTGGAAACTCAGTACTGTAATTTTGCTGTTTTGCAGATGTGCACCTGTGGTCTTTGTTGTGGCTTCCACCAGAATATTCAAATTTGGGGTTTGTTGGGTTCCCTACTAAAAAGGTTTTCATTTAGAACGACAATAGCATGCGTAAAATTACTGAAAAAACCTCAAGAAAGCATCAATTTATATTGAAATAAGTGATTCACACCTCAATGGAAAAGTTTCCTATATCGAGATTTTTATCTGACTGTGAAGTTTGTAAAAAAATAATATATACGTATTTTTTCTTTTTTTCGTAAGATCAACTTTTATTTCAGAAAATAATAAATAAAAGAGGAACTTGGCCCACCGTACCTATGACTTACTTTCTGGAAATTCACATTCACACAGTTAAAATGCGATTCCCTGTGCCAATACGACATTGCCGGCATCATCAATATATTTAGATTTCCGGAAATTATTCTTTCAATGCATAATAACTATATTATCATAAAAGCAATGGGATATAATAGGTTCTTCAATCCTACTTTATCAAGTATTATTAATAATTCCCATGAATCTCTCATTGGCTGAATGAAGTTGATTACTAATAGAGATAAATTATGATATTTTGCGATAGTATCTATAATTTTAAACTATCGGTATATTTAAATATGTCATTCATAACTTTCTGGGAAAGTTGCAGATTATATCTTGCAACAGCGCCTAATACTTCGAGTCCGTCCACGCCACTCAAAATACTGACAGGCACAACAAGAGGAAGGAGCCATGGGTGTCGGCTTCATTCTCCGTTCTGATCGATGGCAATAAATTAGGAAGAATAGTATCATTGAATGTAGCCGATAGTGATTCATTGATTCAATGATATTTTCGTTTATGATCGAGCTCTATTCAAGATATTTCAATGCATAACAAAACCCTAACCAGTCAGAATGAAGCCAACTACCCACTGCATTCCTGCTCCGAGTGCATTTGTGGTTATGTATGTTTTTGTTTAGCAGTTCTACTTCTTTTATTTTATTCATTCGTTAGCTATTCGCTAGCTATATTCTTCACCATCAACTATTTTCCGACTAGATTCAGAATGTACGTCACGCCCCGAAGATTAGAAATTGCTTTAATTTGAAAACAAAAACGACTTGGACTTTATCGGTCGCCATTATGTACAGCGTGGACATAAAACTGGAGAGTTCCGAACTTATTTGATGAAAATTCATTTGAAGGAAACTTCCCATTCCTCCGTACAAAAACAGCGTTAAAATTACTGGAAAAATTAATTTAAAAAAAATCTTGTCGGCATGGTATGCAACGCAAAAGCAAAGTGTATGTTTTTGCGAAAAATAACAATGTAATGGATATTGAAATAAGTGATTCACACCTCTATTCCTCCGTCCAAAAAGAGGGCGCCCATTAGGGCCTCGAAGCAGTTGGCCATGGCATGCCTCAACTCCAAATCATGGCACAAATCGCTGCCGTGAGCGTATAACATAAACTGGTCCAACTTTAGTATTTTCGCCAGTACTGACAGATGCTGGTTTTGCACTATGGCAGCCCTAAAAGTTTCAAGTGGGTCACATTTATATATCCAAATGAGCAGGTGATTTTATTGAAGGAAACAGTTCCAGAAAAAAAATTGTGATTTGAAGAATATCAAGATTTCAATAGTTTGACCAATGCAAAAAGAAAAAAATATTAAAATTAGTAGTTTGAATCATAGTTACCTGTAGGTGGCGAGACCACCTTCTTCCAGGTCGGGAAAAGAGAAAAATAGGTGAATAGATGACAAAAATTCCACAACTGCATCGCCCAAAAATTCCAAACGCTCATTATGAGTGATGTTCGATTCAGTTTCATGTTGTTTTCCAAAACGAGACATGATATTTATGAGGGTGTTGATACCTAAAATAATAAAACGCGAACAATAGCATGGAATTACTATTTTCTACTAAATTCTCATGGAAAATCATGTGTACCTAAGAAGGATGGGGAAAAAAGTTGAGAATATTTCTCTAAACAAACGAGATTCAGTAGAAAATTATTTGACATGCCATAAGAATGCTGTTGAATTTCTCACATATAATTTTTCTTGAAAAATATTTTAAAAACTAGTCACTACAAAATTTCCGAATTTTGTGGAAATTTTATCATTTGCGAAATATTTCAATCGCTGTTTTCCATCAAGTCAATTGAAAATTGATATTAAAAAACTGTTTTTTTGGGGGTTGTGCCAGTCTGCCAGTTGAAACTTCTATCCCCATTCTCCCTACGTACGCACGATATTTTCCGAACTTAGGGATTAACTTTCGGGCGCTCCAAGCGATAAATAAAATATATATAATTTATTGAAATTCGTTCATGTATCTATGAACAGATATGTTTTCTTGGGGCCATAAAGACAATCAATGATATTGGTGTACCCCACTTGATTGGATTGCATCATTTTTGTCTGAGCGTAAGCAGTTTGTTTGCATTAATTATAGAAATGAGAGAGGAAATACAAATGTCTCATCATCACTTGCGGACGTTAACATGGGGGTGCCACAAGGATCTATATTGGGCCCTATGTTGTTTATCATATATAAAAATGAAATAAGTGCCATTTCACCCAATACCAATTTCATATTATATGCTGATGATGTATCTCTAATAATATCAGACAACCGTGATGACAATATTGCTGCCAAGAGTAGTGTAGTACTAGAATCTCTCAGTACCTGGTAACTTGGTGAGATTTCATACATGGCAAAAAAGTGCAGGACCTATAAATCTGATCGGTGATAATGCAAATCTTCAACAAAAAAAACTGTCACATTTTTAGGTGTCTCTATGTATGAATGTCCCAACTGGAGATCTCAATGCTCGAATCTGGTCTCAAAATCATCTTTTCTTACATTTCTATTGGGGAATATAAGATTCTTATTGAATAACCAACAACTTTTGAACTTTTATTGTAGACCGATTTTCAAGGAATGCAAAATCCTAACTGTCACTGGTATTTATATATTTGAAATGTGTATGTTTGTTTTTAGGAATAAGGAGAAGCTTAATTCAAATAGTGACCTTCAAAATTATCATACTAGGCAGAAAAATAATTATCATGTACCCTTTGCAAAACTCAAAATCAGAGAAAATGCACCAAATTTTTTAAGCACTAAAGCTTTCCAATAGACTACCGAATAATTTGAAGAATATCGTGAGGATCAACTTTTTCAAAAGCCAACTCAATGAATTCTTGACATCATCATGTTACTACTCCCTTAAAGATTATTCAACTTGAGGATACAATAATATTTCACTGTTTTGTTCTCTTGACTATTCCTATATGGTTTTTGTAACTATCAAAAGGAAAATAAAGTTTATTATCATTATTATTATTGAGCAATTTCATAAACAGCCAAAGTTCAGTCCTCTCACCTCTCTTCCTCGTATTCATGTAATGTATCCTCCTGTCCCCGTATTCCGGTTGCCGGATGCCACAATTCGTGAGGCTGTTCCGCGCATGATCGGGATTGGTGCCGAAGTTCTCCCTGTAGGAGGGGTGGGTGAGGGCCAGTTGCAGCAGCGCCCTGTTCTCGAACGTGTACCCGATCGACTGTTCGAGCACGTTGAGGGAGTGGTGGAAGCGCAGGTGGCACACCAGCACCGGAATCAGCATGGCATGCTGAAGATGATAAAAATACGAAATTTTCGACTTTTCAATAAGGTCTTTCCGAAAAAATTGACGAATTTCACGAAATTCGGCAATTTTTTATTTTGGACCCCCTCAGAAAAATAGTTGGTACGCCCCTGACATAATAATTTTGATTTTATTACAAATTGTTGCGAAGAACCTGCAAAATTCTATAATATTTCTACTCTTCACAAGATTTCTTATTTTTGACCCTCTGAAAAAGAATGGGGACGCTACTGACCGTTCAATCTTCATTTTATTTCAAATTGCTCGGGAAAACCTTCAAATTTCGTAAATTTTTCTACTTCTCACAGATGTTTTTTTCATTTCTGACCCAGAGTGTTCAATTTTGACTTTATTTCGGATAGTTTCGAAAAACCTTCAAAATTGCTCAATTTTTGTACTTTTCATCGGCTTTTTCATTTATTTTTTACCCTCTATGAAAGAAGTGAGCACGCCTCTGGAGTTTAGACCTCGATTTTTCATCGAATTTTGTCTAAGAAATTTAAAATTCTCGACTTCGGGACTTCTACAGGAATAAATCTTCCAGAAAAAGAAAAGTAACCTATGCTCCCGAAGTCTCAATTTCATATATTGTTAAGATCTGCAATTTCGTATGTTTGACTCCATCTGAAAATTATTGAGTACGCCCCTGGGGTTGCTATTTCAAAATCATCTCGAATAATTTTGAATAAACTTCGGAATTCCTAAATTTTTCATCTCAACAAAAGAAAGTAATGTAACACACTCCCAAAATCCCGATTTGGGCTTCATTTCATATATTACTGAAAAAAATCACGAATTCCTACAGTTTTTTAGTTTTTACCCCCTCAGAAATGAATAGGTACGCTTATGGAGTTTTTAATTAACGAAATTCGGCAATTTTTCATTTTTGACCCTCCTAAGAAAAAACCAGGTACGCCCCTGGCCTCATACTTTTGATTTTATTCCAGATTGTTTGGAAGAATCTTCAAAATTCCATAATATTTCTACTTTTCACAAGATTTTTTTATTTTTGATCCTCTGAAAAAGAATGGGGACGCCACTGACCGTTCAATCACCATTTTGTTCTAAACTGCTCCGAAAAACCTTTAAAATTCGTAATTTTTTTTTACTTCCTAGCAGATGATAAAAAATTGGATACGCCCCTGGCGTTGCTATTTCGATTTTATTTCAAGTTCCGACTGAACCTCGAAATTCCTACATTTTTTAGTTTTCACGCTCCTGGGGTCTCGATTTCGATTTTTCATCTGATTGTGTCGAAGAAATTTCGGATCGTCAATCTTTTATCAGAAAGAAGTTGATACGGTCCTGAAGTCCCAATTCTGATTTTATTTTGTATATTGTCGAAAAAAATCACGATATTCTGCAATTTTTTCAATATCTACCTCCTTCGAAAATATTAGGTACGCCCATGGAATTGCAATTCTGATTGCAGTTCAGATGGGTTCGAAGAAACTTCTAATCTCCTCCCATTTTTGACCCTCTCGATGGTCCATCGAAACGTGTGGAGAAAATTTCAAAGTTCCCTCTCATTGGAGTGGCAGTTTTTCATCAGAGTGGGTCGAAGAAATCTCAAAATTCTGCCATTTATTATAATATTCAATAAAAAATTGTTAGGTAGTTATTATGAATCGGAAGTAAAATTACTCCAGATTTTATTCCAGATTGTGTCCGAAACATTTAGGGATTCTATTTTTGACCGCCTATAAAAAATGTGAGCACACCCCTGAAACCGCCATTTCGATTCCCTTTTGATGAACTATCTCGAAGAAATTAGGAATTTACTTCAGATTGTGTGGAAAGAATTAAAAATTCTGTCATTTTTCAGTTTTAGAACCATTAAGAAAAAAGTTGTGTAGTTGAAGGCTATGACCGTCAGATGGAGGGTATGTTCCGTAAATCAACTTGGTTCTTTCGGTTAGTAGTTTTCCGATCCGTAAATATGAAATGTTCGGTTGGTTCCTGAAAAAAAGGTTATTTACGGAACTCGGTTGCTGAAAAAGCGGTTGATTCACTGTCACCAGAACGACCGTCGATTTCCACTGGTGTTAGGTAAGTTTGAGTTGACAACGAAAACGTTTTACAGAGGTAAATTGATAATATTCTATACATTTTCAGTTAGGGACTTATGGGTGACATAATTGGAAATCAAATTCTGGCAGAACATGAATGTTTAAAAAATTATCAGAACCATAATTCGACAAATGACTGGCATTCCGTAAATAAACCACAACCGTAGTCACCAGTAGATACCCACTGTCACAATTGTTGGTTCCGGCCCTGAAAGCATTAGTAACCTCGGTTGATTAACGGAATGGAAGAAATTGCATGATTTGAAATATTTTAGGCCACCTATAAAAAACTCATAGTAGAATTAGGTTCGCTCCTAGTGCTGTAATACTTCATGGGATAGTGTCAAAGACATTTGGAAACTCCATTCGTTATTTTTCCACACCAATACCTGAATGATGTCACACATGATCCCGGTTTTGTAGAACCCGTTCGCAGACACGGCCACCGTCACGTCTCTCTTCATCTTCCCCTGAGTGCGCATCTCCTGCAACTTGTTCTCCTTCGCCTCCAGCTTCCTCTTGTCCTCGTACGTGGGTTTCGACATGTTGGCCAACAGATGCCTGAATTTCACGTAGTCCCTCCAAGCTTTCTGGTACCTGAGGTGAAAGTTTCATAGATTCAAAGAATTTCCATCATGTTCTTTTTGCTTACTCTTGATTATTTACACCAATGTCGATCTAATGGGGGAGACCACTGATTTTTTGAAATTACATTATCGTGAACTCTATACTGAAAAACTACCAGCGAATTAATTTTGAAGTTTTTCATTCATACCTAAAACGATGGAAAAAATAAATTAGAATATGTCCATTTTGAAACACACAATTCCTGCACCATTTGAAATTTTGTCAATTCATTGGTGTGACTGGTGCGACGTCTTATTCCCAACACGCCCATTGTCCTTGAACTGACCAATCACACTGCAACACTGCAGAATGACGAGGTATCAGAGAGAGATAGCTACAGCTCGGGACTAATACGTCAGGACTCCACCATCATATTTGGCTGTTTGAAATATCGAATTAAATATGCTGATTTCAAAGCGATATAGATTCGATTCCCTACAACTTTAACTCATAAACGTAAATCATGATTCGTCGATTGAAAGAGGTTTGCACGGATTTCTTCTCTCAGTGGTCTTCCCCATTGGAGAAGCTAGTTTGCTAATTAGTAGGCGAGAGTTATATTGCCGGTTCATTGGAAAAACAATTGCGAAAACGGCCCTCATTGTGACAGTATTCTATACCGTAGAGACATCTACATGAACTAATTTGTTCATTTTATATTCCTAACCTGAACTTTTTTCTGGTTCCTGTCAAGCATAGACTGTCAAGTTTTTAAATGGAAATGTTGAAGCTCGAGGTTGACACATTATCAATAAAAATATTTATCAAGTGGGGAAATAATCTATCTTTACTGGAATGGAAGCAAGAAGTTGTTTAGGCATAGCTAAGCTCGATTTTTCAAGATATTTGAATTTGAGTAGAAACTGCGGTAACATCGGCTGGAACTGAAATATAAAAAAACGTTACTAACTTTTTTGACACGGTAGGGGCTGCTTATTTCCTTCTATATTTTTGATAAGATACTATATAAATCATGAAATTCCGTTATTCCGAATATATTCAAATGTTTTCACTCCCGAAATTTCACTGCATTATGTTCGAATATGCGATCCTAGATTGGTGCCTCAAATTTACATCATTAGGGAAGCAGTCGTGTGTATATATATCACCACTTGGAGTGTAAAATAGAATGCGACAGTATATGGGAGACATTATTCACAGCACCACAACACCATCAAACCCACACTCACAAAATCAGACAGCGAAATAACTATAATCTAAAAGAACCATTATAGAGAACAATTATTGAAAATGGTCAATCAAACTAATGTCAAGAACCAACGTAGGTGATCCATAACTTACAGTGGAGGTGATATATAACAGGAGGGGTGAAAGAACTTACAGTCACAACTCCACCACATAAAAATTTTAATAATGACCAACGGTCATGGACATAAAAAGGACATGTTTCGAAGGATTAATCCTTCATCATCAGCAAATGTGTTAAAAAGAAAATCTGTAAGAAGAAACAATGCTTATGTTAGTCATAAGTGTTGATTATGGAATCTAAATGTACCTACCATTATTGGTGGAAAAAGTTCACATAATGCAAAACATGGAAAAAAATATATATATAATTTTTTTATATATTTTTTTTTTTTTTTTTTTTTATTTTTTTTTCCATGTTTTGCATTATGTGAACTTTTTCCACCAATAATGGTAGGTACATTTAGATTCCATAATCAACACTTATGACTAACATAAGCATTGTTTCTTCTTACAGATTTTCTTTTTAACACATTTGCTGATGATGAAGGATTAATCCTTCGAAACATGTCCTTTTTATGTCCATGACCGTTGGTCATTATTAAAATTTTTATGTGGTGGAGTTGTGACTGTAAGTTCTTTCACCCCTCCTGTTAATGTCAAGAAGTACAAATGCCTAATAACATCACTCAAACTCGCGTTCATTTCGAGATCTTTAATTATAAATTAACTTTTCCTTATTAAAACATCCAGTATAGTGTAGTTTCAATCAGGTCAGCGGAGTTCATAGACGTCAGTTCCTGTAGAATTTGCAAAAACCGCTTACCATGCGATAATACCTAGGTAAGCAATATCGAAAGGTAATGGCCATTCCCATTGCGGAAAATTGCAAACCTAACATAGATTCCGAATATTAATATTACCCGAGTAGATGAGGCATCATTATTAATAATACAAGTCATTAGTAATTGTCACTTAAAAATTGTTCGCCGTCTCCCCGACTTCAATCCTGCTGGACGTTGTAATGTAAGTACTGTTTTTTTCAAGTGTTGTTTTGCGTTGTGTTTCATTTGGTAAGCCATCAAGTTATTTTTCTTTGCTAATCTGCCATGTGGCAAGCACTTATCAAAACCTCTCGTCAAAAAGCCAAGCGAGTAGCTAAGTTACGACCTATAGGAAGGTCAACATCTGAGTTGCGACACGTGGTGGAGGCGCCGTTTGTTCTCAATAATGCCATATAACCTACTAGAACCATCTGAGTTGCCACAATAATAATTACTAGATGCTATAAACTAGGTAGAACTGATATAAATACAACAGCTGAAGAAAATCAATGTACTTACTTGGAAGTACCGGAAGTATCTACTTACAGAAAATACAAACAACAAATACAAACCAACTAATTAATAGATAACAAGCAACACTAGGAGAAACTATAACAAACCCAGAAAAGATCACAATTCAGAGAAAGATAATTCTAGAAATGAAGTCAACAGTCAGCCACTAGGCGTCAAAACTGTCAGGTACCTATTCATCTCTTTTATTAATATCTGTGTTTAGAAAAAAGTAGAAGACAAATTCAACCTAAAACAGTGTCACTGACATTGAAACAAATGAGCTAATGACAGAATTCTACTATAATACTAACTAGCTTTTCCATTTAGATCGACAATGATTTACACTAACAAGATGAACCATCCTTATGGGAGCAATGAAGCAAGAAATTATATCCAGTAGGAGGCGGTATCTACGAGCCACAAGGTGAACTACTTTTTGTTGTGTAGATGTTTTTATGCAAGAAGGAATGTCGCACCGGGACCGGATTAAAATATTTTAATTATTTTAAAGTCGGAATCACAAAGTTAGTGATTTTCCTGCTTTAGAAACAAGGATATTCCTAGATAGTTCAGCAACTTGCAGATCGATGACTATAGACAAATCGGCCGCCTACGAACCAGCCAAGAACTAAGTCCAAATTTGGCTTCAACATTTTACATGGAGGTTGATCATCTTGCTAGTGTAAATAATCAAGTTGCTTACTCAGGATTGCCAGCATAGCTGAGCTGAGGTGGCCTGATGCCAAAGTGTACGATTTCCGGAAACATGTGCTCCCCCTCCTTTTGCAGCTCAATGTTCCTATCCAACTGGTCTACTCTGACAGAACAAGGTTTCTTTCCAGGATAAGTAACCACCATTCCCTAAAGAAAAAAAATGTCCAGTCACGACAAAACCTACCAACAATGCAGTGTTATCAGTATAATACCGAATGAATGGCAAGAATAACGGATTGCTATTAGTCGAAACAACATAAACGTCACATTTTGACATGTGAACAAAGTAATCACCAATATAGGTTTCATTGCATTGCCAAATCTACAGGTTCACAGCTTACCTATTTAGAGTTCCTAAATGTACTTGACACTGCCGTTTTGACGTACATTTAGGAACTCTAGCCTAACCTAACCTGACCTTTATTTCGTCGGCGAAACTCTGCCACTCGTACTGGCTCATCTCGATCATGTGGCCCAGCTGGTCCGCTTCGATCAGGGGTTGCGAGCTGGCCAGCAGGTACTTAAGCACCTCCTTCATGCAGAGGACCTCTTTGCCGTTGTCGGGCAGCTCACGGACGAAGCGGGGCAAGAAATGGAACTGGGGACAGCCGTCTTTCTGCCCGGCCGCCCTGAGGTCGAGGTCAACCAGTTCCAACACCTCTTGGAACAGATACTCCGCTGCAAACCCACAATATTCATCTAGTAATTTATTTATTGCAAATATGACTCCAAGTTAGAAACAAGTACTGGTCTCGAACTAAACAACAATAATAGACACCGCGATTCATTCATGAATCAATGAAATGTTTACGCCAACAATCCTAAACGCTAAACGTGGTTAAATGAATGAAATCACGAATGGTGGGGATAACTATGGAATTATTGCCGCCTTTCTGTCCGGCCGCCTTGAGGTCGAGGTCGATCAGTTCCAACACTCTTTGCAACAGATACTGGACGTTTTGACCAGAAAGATTGTGGGCGGTGATATAGTTTTGCGATAGTGGTGCATTCATTAGATGTTTATTCAAAATGTATCTATAAACTGATATTGTTTATAGATACAGATTTTCTACCCACCATTCGCGATATCATTCATATATCCGTGTTTGGCGTTTAAAATTCTTGGCATATACTTTTCAATGATTGATGAATGAATCCCGGTGTCCATCAAGAAGGCTGAAAACCATGTGAGAAAAGTGAGAAGGTTGGAGTGTTATTTGCAAAGGTGGCTGTGGGTTTGGTAGAGTGCAGAATGGTTTGAGAGGGTAAAAAAGTATTTTTGAGAGTGGAGATGGGTTTGAGATGGTATAAAGTTATTGGGTGCAACGGATAGTGGAAGAGTATTCAAGGGGAAGAAGCAGGGGGTTTGAGAGAAATGAGAACTGTTCGAGAGAGTGGAGGAAATATTCGGGAGATCAGAAGTTTAGTAGGGTTAAAGATCGATTGAAAGAGCAAGAGAAAAAACAAACTCACTGAATAAATCCAGCTCTAAGACAGTAAAGTTCTCCGGAATCTTTTCCTCTATCGACAAGATGGTGTATTCGATATTGAACCGGATGACGCGACAGCTGGGCAACTTCTCCAAGGGGAAATGCGACAGCAAAGAAAATCCCTCGAAGATGAATTCGTGCTCGTCGTGGTGAATTATGGTCGGCGTCTTCACCAGAAAGTTGGTGGGTGGCGATATGGTGATGCGATAGTGGTGCAGCCGCTCCGCGTTGTTGGTGAGAGGTTGACAGGGCTCGAGGAACATTTCTCCGGGGTAGATGCCGTGCCGGATACCGGATTTTCGAGATTTCACCGAGCACCGGCATAGAGGGCCGTCGTTCATCTCCCCATTTTCATTGAACCTACGAAAAATTCAAGGAAGAAATTTACAAAGGTCATTTTCAACCACAAAAGGTTCAAATGTATAGTGTCCCGATAGGCAAGTCAAAGTCTGGTGTACACGTAACTGAAAGTCATTAAATTGGAATTCTTTGTAATTTATTGGAAGTAATTGGTAGTAATTGTAAGTTACTGGAAGTCTTTGGTAGTCATTCAAAGTATTTAGTAGTGATCAACACCTTTATAATTGGTATCTAGGGGTTTTCGGGGTCGGAGATTATGATTTTTTCGTAGAAATAAGTACTTACAAACAATATAAAAAGACTGAATACACGCTTTTAAAAAGTAGGAAATAAATGTCACAACACGTTTTTATAGATACTTATCAACGACACTTTTATTATTTTATTTTCTACTCCTTTTTAGTTTGGCTATCTATAAAAGCGCGTTTCTTTAGTTTCACTCTTTATTCAAAGTCTTTGTTTATTGGGACACAGGTGTACAAATTTTTCTTGGCCCCTCGGTATCAACAATTTTCATCATATTTACTCACCACATTTCAGGATGCAATCTATCAGGATGTTGTTGTTTTCTCTGCAACTCTTCCATGGTGCAATCCTCTTCATCAGTTAAGCTGTCTTCGTCAGAACTCTCAGAACTGCTATGAGACTCAGCTAAAAAAAGAATTCATCACATGACCTATTCAGATAAAATCAATCAATCATTGATTTACTCACTCTTGTGTTTGCATAGCCTCGCCCTATTTTTTCTAGGAGGAGGTTCGTACTTTTCTTTGGTAGCATTAATTTTTCTCGCCCTTGTAACGAGCGTTTCATTGAATTCTTTACAAAGTGCTTCTAGTTTTGGGGTTGCCGTCACCAATCTTATGTTGTTTTCGCTCCGTTCGTAAAAAAGCTCGGCCGGGGTAGATCTAGTCCAAATACTTTTCTCCCTTGCAAAACAAATTCCATTGAAGTCGCAAAAATAACAAGATTGCCTTGGTTTGGGCAGGCAGCTTTTTGAAATACCTTATTCTTATTACATTAATTACATATCACCAGTAACTAGATTGGTCCCTAGTCGGTCTCGGGATCATAGATGCGAGAATTTACGTTTACAGGTATGATTTGTAATACAATATTAATCAATTTGAACAAAGTAATCTGGTTTTTCAGGGTGTTTTGGCATTTTGACGGTGGAACATTTAAAAATTAAGATAATTTTAGTGGTCTGACGATTTTTAAATGAAATTCATGTAAAATGCTATCACGTTCAAGACAGAGATTCGGTTCGAAGGACCAATTTGTTCGATGCTTGAGTGCAGTGGACTGTATTTCGACAGTATGACGATTCGATTGGTATTGAGTTGATGATTGAGAAATGTATGTGCTGTCTTTTCTTCGCAAGAACATGTCGCCATGTTACTCACATGTATTGCAATATGAACCATATTGGGCGATGTACAAGTTCAAAACAGACACGCGACCGATGCCTTGAACATTACCTCTCGACGATATCATCCACACTGAGTTCTGCCAGCTCTTCCAGCCTATCGGTGAGCTGTTCTTCCGTGCTGCAATAGTTGCTCCTCCATTTGGAGAGCAGCTGGTCCCTCTCGGTCGCTTTCAACTCGGGCGCCGTTCTGTCCGAGTGGGAAGACCTGGGGCGAGAAGAAGAAGAAGTTGAGACAGAGTAGGAGGAACCAGTGCTTCCTCTCTTCGATCTGAGGCTGCTGTTGTTTCTGGGACTTCGTTCCCTACTTCTGCTTCTACGTCTTTCTGAACGAACGTAATTTGAAATGAGAACCAATGGGTTGAGGCAGGCATGATTTTCAAAGGACCCCGCTCGAAAACATAGGAAATTGGCTCTCGGTCGAATTGAATGAAATTTTACTATGTCGTTGTGTGTGCTTGGTTTCTGAGATTTAAACCGACAAAAAAACAGTTGTTTTAGTATAAATAAGACAAAATAAGCTATCAATAATCAAAATACGTTTTCGAAGCCTACAATAGAATTAAACTACAGAGTGGGCCTTTGAAAACGAAACAGAGGCTCTGTAGGTCGCCAAAACCGGATTATGAAAAGAATCTGAAACACGTCAACTACGTTTTCGAGGGGGACATCGTCCTACAATATTTTCAGCCCTGCGGCGTTGCCGCTGCTAACGAAAAGAAGCAACAACTTTGTTATTTCAAATGGAACACCTTGTATTTCATTGCATTTTTAGATTCTTCCCGAAGAGCTGATTTCATCAAAGCATCACACTTGAGGTCTAGCTGTAATGGTTTCAGGGATATAAAGTGTTCAAAATCGATATTTTTCAACATTGACATTTTTTTGTGTCGAAACTATTCATTATTGGTCGAAACGGCTCTCATGTCCCTATCTCAACTTGTGATTTACTATCTACTGACATTTAACTGGAACAGATACAGGGTGATCAGAATTCTGAATCTTGAACCACCCTGTATTTGTTTCAAATAAATGTCAGTAGATAGTAAATCACAAGTTGAGATCGGGACATGAGAGCCGTTTTGACCAATAATGAATAGTTTCGACACAAAAAAACATTACAGCTAGACCCTACGTGTGATGCATTGATGAAATCAGCTCTTCGGGGAGAATCTAAAAATGCAATAAAATACAAGGTGTTCCATTTGAAATAACAAAGTTGTTGCTTCTTTTCTTTAGAAGCGGCAACGCCGCAGGGCTGAAAATATTTTAGAAAGATGTCCCCCTCGAAAATGTAGTTGACCTGTTTCAGTTTTTTTTGATAATCCGGTTTTGGCGACCTACAGAGCCTCTGTTTCGTTTTCAAAGGCCCACTCTGTATAATGTTTCAACACCATGTCTCTCTTTCATTCAGTCCCACCTCAATTACGGAATTTTACTTTGGGGTAACTCATCGGCAGCTTTTACTGTCTTCAGACAGCAAAAAAAGGCCATAAGAATCTTGAGCAATGCAAATTATAGAGAATCTTGCAGGTCTCTTTTCAACGTCGGCAACGTCGTACTGGCACAGGAAATCGTATTTTAACTCTGTGTGAATGTGGATTTTCAGAAAGTACGTCATAGAAATGGTGGAGGAGCCAAGTTCCTCTTTTATTTATTTTTTTCTGAAGTGAAATTTAATCTTACGAAAAAAAGAAAACAATACGTATATATTATAATTTTTTACAAACTTCACAGTGAGATTAGAACCTCAATATAGAAAACTTCCCTATTTGTTTTTTTTTTTCGATTTTACTTACCTCTATCTCTAGACCTCCCCCTGCTTCGACTCCTGCCAGGACTCCTGCTGTGCCTGCTGCTATAACTTGAGCTCCTGCCATTGCGCTCCCTCGACCTCCTGCGGCCCCCACTCCTGCTTCTCGATCTGCGTCGAGTCCTGCAACTTTTAGGGCTCGGAGATCGTGATTTTCTGAAACTACATTAGACCTACTCACTTTCTCCCTTTCTCTTTCCCGACAATAGACGGGAATCGACGAATCGTCCACACAAATATGGGGTTAGGAGTGAAAAATCCAAAGTGGTTCTACTTCCACTGTGTGCACTAGGCTCAAAGAACCAGATCGGTTGCGGGAATATTTGTTTATCGAGTGGAGCTTCTTTATAGTCAGAAGTGGAAATTTTAGAAGCTGCTTTCATGTTTGCAGTTTTTATTTATTCAACAGAAAATAAGAATTAAGCAAAATGAAAAAATGTTATTACTGGTTTCTGAAGAAAGCATTTTTTCATAATGCTGTAACCACGACCCAGTTAACACAGATTTATCCCAGAGATATATAGGAGATGAGCATCACATTCATGACACACATCACATCCGTGACTCGAATTGAGAGTCCCACTGAAATCACAATGACTGCTATTTCGGACCCTTTAGGTCATTTTAAGATTCACATAATGTTGCCAAATGAAACTCACAGTACGTATCAAGCGACTCCTCATTCAAAATATTCCGTTTTGTTATATATATAGACAAGAATGTGAGGTTCTAGTGAGTATCTAATTGGTTGTTAGGAAGCCTCACAAATTCACCTACATTTCAAGTCTCATATCCACATCAAAGATTACATGGGACTGCTTCGAAACACTCATGCAACTGGGAAAGGGCAACAAGTCATACTTATGTGGGTTCCAGAGCATGAAGGAATCAAAGGAAATGAGGCAGCTGATCGCCTTGCAAAAAAAGGTGCAGCATCTGCACTTTTTGGTCCTGAGCCTTTTTGTGGGATAAGCAAATGTCACCTAAAGGGAAAACTTGGGATATGGGAAGAAATTGAAAAGTCCTCCTACTGGAGAGCAACTCCAGGTCAACGACAAGCGAAAAGGTGCATCGACCATTCGCAGAACCGAGCCAAAGAGCTACTCAGCCTCAGCAAACCAGAGCTAAAGCTTATCACAGGCTTTCTCACAGGACATGGCCCTCTGAGGTACCACCTCAAAAAGATGGGTCTGGCGGAGACTGACACTTGCCGCTTTTGTAACAATCCGACCGAATCCGCGGAACACATACTTTGCTCATGTGAAGTATTAGTCCGCCAAAGGCTGAACCACCTAGAACAGGTCTATCTCACCCCTGCTGAAGTGGAAAAGTCAACCGTCAGGAAAATCGTAGGCTTCATCAGAAGTCTAGGGTTAGAGGACCAAAACTAGATAGGGGTAATCACAATAGATCTTCTAGGTCGCAGTGATCGAGAGGTCTCCCAGCCTATACGACCCATCTACAATCTACAAGTCTCATATCCAATCAAATGTGACGAATATTGCGAATGTTTTGTAATACAAAGAGTCCCCCGGCAATACCAATGATGTTTTATTGTAATTCGCATTGTTACCTAGCGAGACATGAGTGTGACATCCCAGGGATGTTTGTGTTCACTGGGAAAGAATATCAGATAAAAAATAAAGTCTTAGGTAACTCTCCAGCATCTTCCATATACACTCGAGACTTTCACCTGGTTAGAGATGGAGACAATCCATACCAACAACAGTCACTCTGCTGTGGGTGCCTGGGGGGATGGAAGGCATCAAGAAAGCCGACATCCTCGCCAAACAGGGAGCCGAATCCGTGTATAGGATATAGGACCAGAACCATACTTTGGGGTCTCCGCAAGTGCGGCCAAAACAACTATCTCGGACTGGGCTGAGGGGAAAAGACTCACGCACTGGTCTGAATTACCTGGACTAACCCATTCGAAAGCGTTCCTGCTTGAACCAACGAAAGAAAAGACCAGGCTGATCCTAGAATGGGGCAGGGGTAACCTACGAATTCTGACAGGGCTACTTAGGGGACACTATCGTCTAAGACACCATCTAGGAAGGATGAGTCAACAAGTGGACTGTCGGTTCTGCTGTGTGGAACACAAAATGGCTGAACACATACTGTTCTTGACCATACTTAGAGAAACTGAGTTTGGGTACACGAATTCATCGCATTCAACCATGAACTTTGTGAAAAGAAGTGGATTGTCAGCCACAATAGACCCATCTAAGGTTGCAGTGAAGGGGCGGTATTCGCCCCACTCAACCTAACCTAACCTAGCCACTTTGCCTGCAGCGCTGCCAAACCTACTGGTTTAAAAGTAGATCTACTGTTTGGTTGTACTGTTTCCTTGTTTTAGGCATGAAACCTAGTGTTTTTTTCGTTAAATCGAAAGCAAAACTTAAAAAATGACAAAAATTCTCGCAAAAATTTCATACAAGCGGTTGTAGAAATTGTGTGGCGTGTATCAGATTGTTGAACCATCAACAATTCACAGCAGTTTTTTATTTTAATTTTGGCTGTTGGCTTCATGCTACGTATCTTTTTTTTCATTCATCCGAATCAATTAAAATGTTTTTACCCAACCTCCTACTAATAGGGGTGGGGGTGGATTTGTCGAGTTTGGTATCATTCAATAGATTTCGTGAAAATATTGATTGTTTTCTTTTCAATTTCTTGTTCTGACGTGCATTTTTCCAGATATTTTAGTGTTGCGATTACAGAACCATCTATCATGAATCGAAGAAAAAATTACCAAACAAAGCTTAGGTAGTAGTAGTATCAATGGATAGATTTTTTATAACCATTTAACAGATTTTTCTTTCAAGTTTTGGTCCGACGCGTTTTCTCGAGATATTCCACAGTTACTATGGACTTTTCGGACATTCTTACTGTAAATCAAGTAATTATGATGAACGCTGATATTCAGGAAAATAATTTCGTGAAATACACAACGAAATACAATTCATTTCAAAATGCAACTATGAGTAATAATCAATACTGTCAACTTCAAATTACTTATTATTATTAAATTAGAGAATAAATACAAAGAACACGGACCATTATATTTCACATAAATTACATGTTGTTGATTTGTCATAAGATATTTGAGAACAGTTAACATACAAGGTGGCATATTTTTTTAGGAAGTACGATAACACAACAGATACTTTTGTAATACCTAGCAAAAGAAATTGAGCATGTCTTTCAACCTTCTTGAGTATAATTCCTGCAAGTTCAGAAACTCCAGAGTAATATTATTGGTAGGTCATAACACTAATAACTTGATAAAACATTCAGAAAAAACATCATCACATTGAATCAAAACACACAAGTCAAAACAACTTGTCCCACTCAATTTCATTTCTAAACACCTCATCCTCCAACCACAAATAGTAATTCTTCTGGAAACTATCGGAAAAACTGACTTCATGCCCCAAAGCACTAGTCAAATTATTATCCACAGGCTCCAACTCCAACTCCCCGTTCTTCACATATCTCCTATTATTGAACCTATCAACGGCAGTCCTCAAAGTAATCTCTTCCGCCTGGAAATCCCAAGGCTTGGCTTCCAGGAAATTCCCGTACGCCCAATCGTCATTCAAATGGTGCCTCACCTTCTGATAGATCAAGCTAACCGTCTTCAAGTTGGACTTCCGGAAGTTCCTGCCCAAGTACTTGGTCTGCATCTTCAACAGCTTGAGGACATAGAGCTGCGCCATCGCGTGCCGCATCTTCAGCGTCCGCTTCAAAATGGGAGCCGATTTGAACACCACCAGCATCATTATCCGGGAGTTCTTCCACTTGCACAGCTTGTTCAGCACCCTGAGCAAATTGATGCTGGAGAAGACGTTCCTCCAGCAGTATTTCAACTCGCATCCTATCTCTATGCCCACGCTGGTCTCGCTCTGGTCCCCAAGCACACAAGAAGGGAAGTCCAGCAAAGGAATATTATTCCCCGCTTTGACATACGTCATTATCTCCTGGTTGAAGAACTTCAAGATCAGCGGAATGCAATTGGCAAACACCAGATGCTGCGACATGAACTCAAACTGGTACACGTGGTTAAGCTTGAAGTGCTTCAGCAGCAACAACAGAATGCCTGAGACAGCCTTCACGATGATCTCCTTGTGCCTGTTGACGTCTATGCCTAGTTTCATGGATTGAAAAGCAGTCAGAGGCATCTCCCTTGGCAGCACATCGCCCAGTATGTAAATAGAGTCGTTGCTAGTCTTTGCTCGTGAAGTAGTCGCTAGCAGAATCTTCAGCAAGCATATCATGTACTGGGGCAAGTTGGGAAACATCGCTTGGTAAAGGACCTCAGCGGGGGTTTGTTCTATCTCATCTGACACCGTCATGGGGCTCCTGTTGACCTCTTCTTCTTTCTGTATTTGGAGCTCGGCTAGGGAGGTGTACACGTGACCCTTGAGGATCCTGATACTGTCATGTATAGGCTTGGGCAGGCCGAACATGGTAGTGTCGTCCCCTTCCAGAGTGTATCCTAAGAACTTTTCTCGCGACAAGTTGAGGAACTGGTCTATCTCTTTCTTGTGGACTTTGGGTTTCCAGGGCAGCTTCAGCTTCAAGTTGCTCTTATCGAACGCGGATAAATCTTGGTGTCTGTCGATGCCGTCTTGGTTTCTGTCGTAGTTGTCTTCGTTCTCGAACATCTCCTTGTCCAAAGTCTCATTTTCCTCGAGGCTGCTTTGTTTGACCAGACTGCGCTTGCGTCTCTGATTTTGGTCTTCCAGCAGGTCTGGAGGGAAGTTAGGTGGGGAAGAAGGGCGCATGTTTCTTAGTACCTCCACGGAATCTTCCTCGAGGCTTGGTAGGCTCGCTTTCTTGCGGTACTCAACTTTTTGGTTCTTCAGTTCTTCCATGCCTCCGAGGGACATGAGGATTAGCTTCCAGAGAAGGAGAAGTACTTTTTTTATTGGGAAATGTGGGGAAGTTCCTCCGCAGAACTTGGTGAGCATGTTGAGTAGTTTGAGGATGAGCAGGTCTTCACTAGGATTATTCATTATCTCTGCGCAAAAGGAGTTGTACAAGTCCGGTAGGTTTTCTCTCTCGCTCCGAATAGCTTCGGTAATGGTACAAAGCACCGAGAGTATAACTCTTAAATCCTCGGAATCGTTCATGGATATGGTGGTTTTGTTGATGCTGATGTGGTTGTCGACTTCCAAGTTGAGCAAATCCACGAAGGCGCTGAAAGTGCCCAGCTTGTACAGCAAGACGCAGTTGTCTCTGGCGCTGGTCAAAACCTCCTGGTCGCTCTGTAGGCCTAGCCAGCCCCCTTGGGCGATATAGAGTATGCACCTAGCGCTTCGCATCCGGGTTTGCGCGTTGCTGAACTCCAGCTGGTCCAGGCATTTCATGACGATGGAGCTCTTCTCGATAGGGCCCAGTTGCCTCCAAGAGACATGTGAGACGCGATAGTCGTTCAGCTGTTCCTCGAAGGATGCCAGATTGGCGTGAAAGTCGGAGTTTTCCGTGTAAGAGTACAATTCAGCTACTTCGTTGGCGTGCGAGTCGCAATTATCGTAGACGAAGTCGAGGTCTTCGGGGCATTCGAAGGCGTTGTTTTCTCTTTGGATGCCCATGAACTCCTTGGACGTGATGAATTCTTTGGGCTTGTCTGAGATGCCGTTGCCGTTCGGGTCCATGCTAGGATACAATAAAATGGGCTCAAGGACCAGATAGCGAAGGGCTGAACATGGATGGTGGCTCTCAAAATGTTTGAGATAACATAGGGTTACCATATACAGTGTCTTTCGGAAGTCTGTGAGCGGTCCCATATTTCAGAAACGGCTCGGAGAAAATTCATGAAATTTTATACAGGATGGTTTTTGATGCCCAACTCATTGGCGATATTGGCAATGTTGCTAAATCAACAGTTATCAACGCTATTTGTTCTCATTGCAATCGATTTTCAAATGGGCTCGGATATAATTTATGAAATTATATACAAGATGGTTTTTGATGAATAAACTTTTTGAGTATTAAATGATTTTTCAATAAAGTATTGAATCAAATAATAGAAACTGAAAACTATCGGACTAAGTGCTCAAAATTTGCCGAACAATATCCCAAGTGGACATGAAATTCCCTTAAAAACTGTTGATTTGGTAACATTGCCAATATCACCATTGAATTGGGAATCAAAAAATTTTCTCTGAGTCCTTTCTGAAATATGAGACAGTTCCCAGACTTTTGAAAGACATTGTATACAGAGAAGTGCACAAATAATGGCCAGGACTGTAACTTTTGAATTATTCGATAGGGTTTTGAAAATTGGTGGGCAGCTAGTATACCAAATGTATCATTAATTGATGAAACAATTTTTGTTGTATCACTTCCGGTTTTACTGGAAACGACCCCAACTTTTGAATTTTGAATGGGAGACCCTGTATTGTATTCCATAATCAGTTAGGGATTGTCATAACGAATTCATGGACACCGGGTTTGATAGGGTTATCTCAAACGATAACGTAGATATTCGCGTTCTGTGTTTCCATATGCTCAATGAGTGTGACAGAGAAAGAAGTTTTGATATTGCAAAGTCACACCCATTGAGCATAAATGGAAACTTCGAACGCAAATATCTTTGTAATCGTTTGAAATAACCCTATCAAACCCGGTATCGTTGAATTCGTCATGATAATCCCTAACCGATTATTTATTTATTTATTTATTAACGGGTGAACCCAGTGTAAAAAAAAAACATGAATATATATAGCCTATACAACATATCACAGACCATTGATTGATTTATACATATCTACACTTTAAATACAATGAAAATTAAAAATAAAAACATTACATTATTGCAAGAATGCGTTTGGCTCTTTCAGTGCCAGTGTTAAAAATGTCCCAGTTCACTCTGTTACTCAGCGTCATCATCCTGTTTATCGGGCTATTGTTTGCATATATGAGTTTCTGAATTGAACGTGCTGCTATAACGTAATCGTTTTTGAGGAACATGAAATTTTAGGGAGGCCAATAATTCAGGACAATCAATCTGATTATTACATAATTTTTGAATAGTGATGATGTCATTGTTGCTTCTACGCTCTTCTAGGCTTTTTATGTTTAGGCGATTTAAAATATTGTCATAATCAAATTCCTCCATAGGAATACCGAGCTTGAAACCAATATAACGCAAAAAACGTTTCTGAACTCTTTCTATTTTCATGATATGAGCTTGGAAGGCAGGACACCACACAGAGCTGCTATTTTCAAGTTGAGAGCGTACCAATGAAAAGTAAAGGGATTTCAATGCCACGATATTATGGAAGTCCTTTGTTGATCGTTTGATGAACCCTAGCATCTTCAAAGCTTTGTTACAGATAAATTCAATATGAGGAATAAAGCTAAGTTTAGAGTCAAAAAGTATACCAAGATCTTTCATAATGTCTACCTTTTCAATGACTACATCATTTAAGGAGTACTCATCATTGTTAATTATGCTGTGATTTTTGCTGAAACGAATATATTTACATTTTGGAATATTAAGAACTAGTTTTTTCTTGTGGCACCACACAGAGAACCTGTCCAAGTCCTCTTGAAGATGATTTGAGGAGGAGGGTCTCTCCAATTTGAGATATATTTTCATATCGTCAGCATATAATAATATTGAACTGAATTTAAAGCAAGAAGATACATCATTAACAAATAAATTGAACAGTAAGGGTGCTAAATGAGCACCTTGAGGAACTCCAGAAGTGATTACAATTTCATCTGACAAGGAGGAATTAATCTTAACTCTTTGCCTGCGATTATCTAGATAGGATTTTAGCCATGCCAACAAACTGCCTCCAAGGTATTTGGACAGCTCAAAAAAAAGCAAATTATGATCTACCTTGTCAAATGCCTTGGAGAAATCTGTGTAAACTGCATCAACACTTAGTCCCTTCTCCAAGGCATCGACAATGTAGGTCTCATAGAGTATAAAAGATTTGTAGTGATAGATCTTTCTTGGCAGAAACCATGTTGTGTTGAGCTGATGATATTTTTGAATTTAAACTTCAGAAAATCATTTACAATAGATTCAAATGCTTTGGGTATGAGCGATATCTTTGTGATTGGGCGATAATGGAATACAATACAGGGTGTTCCATTCAAAAATTGAAACTGGAAGTGATAGAAGAAAAATTGTTTCGTCAATTAATGAGCAATTTGGTATACTTGCTACTCACCAATTTTCAAAACCCTATCTTGAATAATTCAAGATACAATTCGGGCAGTTTTTGGTGCACTTCTCTGTACATACCTGCCTACTTTGCCTAGGTTATTGTGATATTTTTTCTCGATGTTTACATTTCAAATTAGATACTAAATGGAATTTAATAAAAAGTGAGCCTCAATGGCGGAAGTGTCTATGGCTCTAGACAGATTTGAAAACTTAGCCCTTTATAGAAGGTGAAATATAAAATTCTTGCCACAAGGATCTTGAATTCAACAAATTCAAATTGGGACAAATTTATTCCATTTGGTGCTCAAAAAATTATCAGCATAAGTACTCTATACATCTGGAACGTTTCAAGTCCGTGAAAATGCAATGCAAGAAACGAATCCTACCTGAGATCCTACCATCAGGAACAATAATCAAAATAATAGAATTTTCTAGATTAAAAAAATCTGGAGCTCATCCTGAAAGATATATTGGGCAGACAGGTAGAACGTAAAACTACCGTATTCACGAACATCAACAGAGTTTTACAAAAAAACACACAAATTCAATATAATGCTAACCATATATTAGAAGAAAATCATAGTTTTGATGACAATTTCAAAATTTCACGTTTAGAAAATAATGGAATAAAACTCAATCCTTATTATTTGAACTCAACTCTGAGTAGGAGTATATCACAAGGATTTTGTTGAAATCTCATTATTTTTGAAGTTCTTACATTCACATGAAGTAAGGCCAAGTCAGTCAACTCAAAATCACCCTCAAAATTATAAAAATAATTCTACAATTCATTTATATTTTGTCAATGTAAATGAAAGTACCAACACAGCTTGATTATGTGCAAAAAAATAGTATCAAAGCATTAGGTAAAAACTGCAATAATAAAAAAGTTATACTTACTGATTGATCAACTAAACTGAATCTTTTGAATAGATCATCTTCAAATACATAACCTGGAATACCACAAAAAAATGTGAATATACATTTCAATATATTATTGACACTGATATAATAACTGAATGGCACATCTCACAAATATCATGTGGGTGTGAATAGAATGTTATTCATCATAATGTGTTTTCTGATGCCCAATTTTGTTCTATTCCATGCCATGGGTACTGAAATGAAAAACAATAAGATCAAATTTAACATATTCCAATGCTGTTGGTGTCACACCAGCAAAATATTGTTAAAAGTGTCCTTACCTGTGTTCCAGCATGATGCTTTTCTTGATGCATTCCTCACACCAAGGGAAATATACTGATCAAACCAGGTACCTTCTTGTTTGAAAAATACAAAACTGGTGTCAAATAATTCAGCATGTTGCCAAAGTTGAAATAAATTATGGTGAGAAAATTCAAACCATCTGGTCAAAGTAGGCAGGTTTTGAGCACTCAACACCCATACATAGCTTGTACTAACCTGTCTGTAGATCTACTAGGAGCCTTGCCTTCTATATCACCATCAACGTCATTAATTTTCGCCTTGATGTACCTGTAGTTCTCTAGCTCCTTGACGTAATCGTTAGGAGGAGGTGCCCCCTGATACTGTTCAAACTGAGGAGGGTAGTTGCCGTAAGCGGCGAAGTTTGACTGAGGGACAGGCGGGGGCACGTTGTAGGCTACCGGCGGTGGATAACTGGAGACAGGCTGATAAGGGTAGGGCTGATTTCCGAGTGGTTGGTACTGCTGTTGGGGCCACTGGTTGTACTGGTTGAATTGGGGATGGTTTGCAGCAGGAGGGTAATTATAGTTGGGAACAGTTGGTGGTGGGTAGTTGTAGTTCCACTGATCCCCCATCCTTTATTCGGTCGGTCTAGGTTGGAGCATTTTCGGGATGTAATGGCTAGTTTGCAGGTGAACGAGTATTCTACGAAACACGGGCATATTCAATAATCTGAGATTTGATATGAACGAAATTACCTTTGATTTCTCACAATTTCACATAAATTATTAAAAAAATTAACCTTTTTTTTCTTCAACAGAACAACCCTGAACAACAGATCAACAAATCAACAGAAACAGAATGACATTGACATGACATAAATGCCAAATTTGCCATTTTGCCATTATTGAATTGACATATGACGTGTCTGCCCTTGCCGAGTTGTGACGTCAAAACTAGAAAACCTGGGTTCAGTGGCGTAGATGGAGTAGGCACACAAAGAAGTACCATATAAAACTGATATAATTCATTGAATAAACCGTTGCAAAAATATACTAGATGTTTCATGCTTCTATTAGTAAATATATATAATATACCACCTGTGACTCATATATATGATCGCTTCAATCTCAACAAAATTTTACTGATCCAATCATTTAGTTATTATAGATGATATCTCAGGTATACGTCAAAGCTATTAGCGATATTTTTTAACAATTCTAGTATTCGATATAATCAGAACCTATAATATATTTAGATATGATGATATATCATATCTAAATCTGAACTTCATTTCAACTAATTCGACAACCTGTATGTCGTATAATTGGCTTAATCAAACTTTCGAACAAGAAGAAATTCTTTGGAATTGTCAATTCTTATCAGAGCAGAACGAACACCTTATCATATAATAGGTAGTTATCTACATAGCTCATATTATTATTTCAACTTATCAGTCGAGTTAAAAATAGATCACAATACAGGAACACCTGCACAATAATAGAACTAGCTGTGGGTCAGTTTTTATCTATCAACATTACCTATAAGGTACTATTTGATTGATAAATTATCAAGGCAATGCTCGAGCGCCTAATCCATTTCATTCCTGAATTATTCTATCATGGATTTTGTCAAATCTATTATGAAACTATAGGTATATGGGAGTGCTACAGACGCGTGTAAAAGACAGTTTTTGAGGCTTCAAAACTTGGCGAAGTATTTCAAAAAATCGAATCAGTTAGAGGGACCTGTTCGACATGATGATCCTAATATATATGCAAAACTAAGGAGCTCAAAACGTTATCTGCACATAAATACTTACATTTGAATTCTATACAAATAATTCCGACCATCAGTGTAATCCAAAACAATCAGATAACAATTAATAATGCATTCAAATATGAATAACGTATAAAGCGTGGAGATATACGGATACTGCCTTTATTCCAGTGAATCAAACCAAACATGATTAGTATACTGCGTTATATTTTATATATTTTGCTATCTCTACCTCTGCTGGTATATTTGCGTAGAAAATGGTTGTTTTCGTATTGGACAAGAAAGGGGTTGCAAACTGCCGAACCGACGAACACGAAAGAGGTTGGACTCCCCGAACCAGAATATGTGAAAGTAATGCATCACTACAGGAGGTTCAAGACCAAAGGAGAGAAGCATTTCGGAATCTATCAGCGTCAGAGCCCGTCTTATGTACCAATAAATCTGGACATTATTAAGAGTATGTTGACGACAGACTTCAACCACTTCAGGAACCACGGGTTCTTTTCTAATGTGGATGATGAACCACTAACAGCAAATTTGTTCAATCTCAATGACGATCAGTGGAGAGTCATGAGGGCAAAATTAACACCAACATTCACGTCAGGTATAGTTCCACGAAATATTTATTTCCTGTCACAGAAAAAAACAGCTCACGGTGTTTTGTCTCCGTCCGCTACTCGTCGGGAGACAACACAACCAACAACCTGGAGCTAACATCTACAATTTTTTCCCCTAGTATAATAAATAACTATTTCACCCCAGATTTTCCGTTGCAGGAAAAATGAAAATGATGTTCCATACAATAGTAGATCGTACTTCGGGCCTGGAGGAGTTAATATCAACTTTTGCAACGGATAAGAAACCGATGGAAGTCAAAGATGTTATGTCCAGATTCACCACTGACGTCATAGGCAATGTCGCCTTCGGCATCGATTGCAATACAATGAAAAACCCAGACTCTGAATTCGCCTACTACGCGAAACAAATTATGCAGCTGGGTCACAGAAATAAGGGAATGATCGGAAATCTCCTGAGAAGTATTCTACCACCTTGGCTGTTCTTAAAACTAGGGTTCAAACTAATGGGTAAAGAATTAGGAGACTTTTTCTTTGACTTGGTCGCGAATGCTATCGAGTACCGAGAAAAGAATAATATAGTTAGAAAAGATTTTTTACATTTGATGATCCAATTGAAAAATCTCGGCAAACTGAGCGACGACGATAAAATTGTTATCAAATCTTCGAATGGAGACGGTTTAACACTGAAACAGGTGACGGCACAGTGTTTCGTTTTTTTCACAGCCGGGTTTGACACATCATCTACCACCATGATGTTCTCTTTGTTGGAGCTGGCTCTAAATCCCAATGTGCAGGATAAACTCAGGGATGAAATCAATAGGGTGTTGGACAAACATGACGGCAAGATTACGTACGAGGCTGTTATGGAAATGGAGTATTTGGACAAAGTTATTGCAGGTAGATAACCTGTTTTTTACCATAATATATAAGATTCACCATGTATTTTCAGAATCTCTTCGTTTGTTTCCTCCCTTACCGGTACTGCCCAGGAGGTGTACCGAGGACTACCATGTACCGGGTACAAACGTTGTGATAGAAAAGGGCACCGCAGTGAGTGTGCCTTTGTATTCTATTCATCACGATGAAGAATATTTCCCTGATCCTGAGAAGTTCGATCCTGAACGATTCAGCGAGGAATTCAAATCTACCAGACATCCATTTGCTTACATGCCATTTGGGGAAGGACCACGAGCTTGTATAGGTGATTATTTTGTCCCCATTGAGCGGCGATATACTTCTTTCAGTTTATTTCACTCTATACGATTTTTCAGGATTGCGATTTGGGAAATTGCAAAGCAAAGTTGGACTGATCTCGGTTATCAAGAACTTCAAAGTCACTGTGAACGAGAAAACTACATTACCGATCAAGTTCTATCCTTCATTTTTGATATTCGTAGCTGGAGGAATATGGTTGGATGTGGAAAAATTGAAGTGAATTTGAATTCAGTTGTGTGACTCAATAAAATAAGTAACTGAATATTTTTATCGATTATTGTATCGATATTGATGTATTTTTTTTTCTTGTTTCCATTGAATCAGTGGGTAATAATAATGAATAATGGTTAAAACAGGGGTATATAAGAAGAAATCGAATTTGATCCGAATCAGATAAAGTTATTGCCCTTTTTTGGTTTATACATATCATTAGAGTATACCTATATGCACATTTATTACTTATTTTGTTAAATAAATTTAAATAGGGCGTGCAGAGATATCATGCAATTTATAAGTGTATGTGAATAATTAGAGATTATGAAATATTTCAGTAGATACCCACTAGCACTAGATCAATATGGAAATCGAGAGATCTACTGGACATTCGGTAGGACTGGCAACTCTGCTGCGGACGGAATTTGCCTATTCCGGTGAATCCGGTGTTGACGGTTGAAGGTTGAAGTCACATTTTTTAAGACGAAGTCAGTGTTCATTGCTTCAACAGGTGTTTTTTTATTTTTTTATGTGATGAAATCTTAAAATCATGATGAAAATAACATTTAAAATGTGGAAAACCTATTTTTCCGTCTATTTTCTAATTTATGTTTTTTCGCCCACGGAATCATATGGACAATATGGTAAGTTATTCATTTATTATTTACTTCTAAAAAACATAATTGATTTTTTCAAAATTTGGGAATTTGAATTAATCTTCAGTTTCAAAATGAACCGATATACATCACAATAAATCATCAGATACATGTATTTTTAACTGTTGATGTTGAAAATTGAGCTAGCTATTCCAAATAGTTGATGATTCAGCCTGTTTTTATCATTCAATTTTGTCAAGAATGCAAATCAGTTTAGATAATAAAACAATACAACAACTAGTATAAGCATCTCAACAACAATAACCAATCAATTGATATAATGACAGTATATGCCTATATAGGTAATCTTTACTGCTGTTAATGCTTTGACTGAGAATTGAGAATGTACTTGATTTCATTCAGGTCTGTTATATTTCTACCTTCTTTATGTTTTAACTGTGGTGTTGATCTTGAAGCCATTTATTGCTTTTTTACCAGAAATTCATAATAATAGAATTCTCTCAAATACCCTACACTATGTGTTGCTTAGTAAACCAAAGCCTTCAAATTGTGCAAAAAAATATAGGTGTAGTTTGGTACAGTTATCAATTCACAACATTGATTTCAGATCAAATATGTACTAATAGTTACAATGAGGAAGCCTGCAATGTGATTTCAGGAAACAAATCTTATGTTTGTACAGAAGAAACAGCTTCTAAGTAAGCTATATGCAGTCCAAAATGTTAATTCAATGTTCATAAAATAAATGAGGCTAATTTTCATTCTAGAGCTGATTGTTTCCTTAACATGGACAAGGGAATATCACGGCTGGCAATTATGGACCCTGAACAATCTTTGTTAGCATCTGCTTTGGTATCTGATAGAGTTATAGTCATTGGGACAGTATCAACAGAAATTCCACCTTACCAAACAGTTGTGATAATTCGCAAGCCTTACAATGGGTTTGAATCCTTGAAGGGCAAAAATTTTTGTCACCCTGGTTACAGTCATGATGAAGCTATTACAAAATATGTGTTAGAAGAGTTTGAATTGAAAATTATCAGTTTGAACAACAGCTTCTGTGATACAGATGAGAATATGACTGTAGCTGAGAAGAATGTCAAAGCTGTTTCAAACTTTTTTGCCAGCAGTTGTAAACCTGGACCATGGACAACTGACAGTGAACTAGATACCAAATGGAGTAAATAACTTTATTATCCTGCTTCTCTATATTAGATACTGATCAATGTTTTATCTTGTTTTAGAATCAACCTATTCCAATCTTTGTGATCTTTGTGGCCCACAAAAATGTGCCACAATTTACAATGTGCCTTTTAATGATACCCTAACGTGCCTTACAAAGAATTCTGGTGATGTAGCCCTAACTACACTGAGACATGCCCAAATATTTTTTAGTCAGTCTGTTAATGTGGAAAGCTTTCAGTATCTGTGTCCTAATGGAACAGTTAGCAGTGGGCTGAAGCCTTGCATTTGGACCAAACAACTTGATCCCCTAATAATAACTGAAGGGTGAGTTTATCTGAAATAATTTAATGAATTGATTTCATTGTCCTACTGTGATTTTTATCTGTGAATAATATTATTGTTATGTTCACCAGTTCTGTACCATAGACACTAATTACCGACTAGCGGGAACAGAGACATAGCAATTAGGATACACAATGACACATGACACTTCTAACCCCCTCTTGCTCAGGGAATGTATCTTTTATCTTTTGACATTACCATATGTACCAGTTCAGTGGATACTAGATTAAGAACCACCGATATAATATATCTTACAAGTTTCAATATATTAGGAGGATTAGAGAACTACTACTGAGTCTCATTTTTCCTCTCCTATCACCTGAAATTATTTTCTAATCGATGTTCGAATTCCAAGATATCCGCTGATGATGGGTGTTTTTAAATGGGACACCCTGTATATTATTGCTTAGGCTCCTATAGGTCGAAAAATATTTTTTTCCTGATTGCCCAGAAAATCCCAAAAAATTCATTGACACTAATTCAGACCCACAATGGAAGAATTTGATGTCATATTTGACAGAAAACTCTACCTTTAGATTTTCAAAATCAGCGGTACAAGCAATGCAGTAGGCTCATATAGGTCAACAAAAATTTTTTTCCTGATAGCCCTAAGAATCCCAAAAAAGGCATAGACACTAATTCAGACCCACAATGAAAGAATTTGATTTCAGATTTGACAAAAAACTCTCCCTTTAGATTTTCAAAATCAGCGGTTCAAGCAATGCAGTAGGCTCCTATAGGTCGAAAAATATTTTTTTCCTGATTGCCCTAGAAATCCCAAAAAATTCGAAGACACTAATTCAGACCCACAATGAAAGAATTTGATGTCAGATTTGACAGAAAACTCTCCCTTTGAATTTTCAGCTATGCAGTAGGCTCCTATAGGTCGAAAAATATTTTTTTCCTGATTGCCCTAGAAATCCCAAAAAATTCATAGACACTAATTCAGACCCACAATGAAAGAATTTGATGTCAGATTTGACAGAAAACTCTCCCTTTAGATTTTCAAAATCAGCGGTTCAAGCAATGCAGTAGGCTCCTATAGGTCGAAAAATATTTTTTTCCTGATTGCCCTAAATATCCCAAAAAATTCATAGACACTAATTCAGACCCACAATGGAAGAATTCGATGTCAGATTTGACAGAAAACTCTCCCTTTAGATTTTCGAAATCAGCGGTTCAAGCTATGCAGTAGGCTCCTATATGTCGAAAAATATTTTTTTCCTGATTGCCCTAAGAATCCCAAAAAATTCATAGACACTAATTCAGACCCACAATGAAAGAATTTGATGTCAGATTTGACAGAAAACTCTCCCTTTGAATTTTCAGAATTAGCGGTTCAAGCTATATATGCAGTAGAGGCTCCTATAGGTCGAAAAATATTTTTTTCCTGATTGCCCAAAAAATTCATAGACATTAATTCAGACCCACAATGGAAGAATTCGATGTCAGATTTGACAGAAAACTCTCCCTTTGAATTTTCAGAATCAGCGGTTCAAGCAATGCAGTATAGGCTCCTATAGGTGGAAATTTTTTTTTCCAGATTGCCCTAAAAATCCCAAAAAATTCATAGACCCTAATTCAGACCCACAATGGAAGAATTCGATGTCAGATTTGACAGAAAACTCTCCCTTTAGATTTTCAAAATCACCAGTTCAAGCAATGCAGTAGGTTCATATAGGTCGACAAATATTTTTTTCCTGATTGCCCTAGAAATCCCAAAAAATTCGAAGACACTAATTCAGCTCCGAAATTTTATGATAGTAGGGTTTTATAGTGACGAGATATTCTTGTATTCACAGGAATGTGACAGATTTTGCTCGGAATTATATCAGAACTCACTTGCAAAATCATGGTATTGAGACTGCTGTAACAAAATCACTAGAACAAATTTTTGCCCTGAAGAAAACTGATAAAATAACACTTCTCGACAATCCCGTCCCACTGAAAACCTATGTAGAAAGTGAGTATAAATAACATTTATTATTCCCAAGAAACATATATGTTTATAGCAGGGAAAATTATAAAAGAGCAACAAAAAAAAAATAGATAATCAGATAATCATTTTTAAATCATATACATAGTACATATAATGTTGTTTCTTCTAGAGACTGTTGAATATAAGTTCTTGAATTGATTTAGGATGATATAAGAGAATCAAAGACATAAGTATTTTTTCAGTTCTTTTTTGAATTCCTCAACACTTAATTTTTTCTTCAGTCTGGCAGGTAATTCATTATAGAGAATGGGCGTGTACACCTTAGTAGAACTTTTAACTCAAACCATGTTTATAATGATCCTTTCATACATAAATAATGATTGACGACATAATTCGATCGAAAAATTAATTGGAATGTTTTATTTTTGGACATAAATAATAGTACCTTCTGAAAACGGACCCTCTTATGACGTAGAAACCTCATCTCGCCATAGTTAAAAGAAAATACCAAACGCCCGACGGAGACTGAGGCAACTGATATATTAATTCTTTCAACTGTGATCTCGCGCTAATTCACTCTGTCAGAAATCATGTATCATTCATCTCTGTCTGGAATAGTCTTGTTTCAGTATTAGGGTTTTGACGTCACATCATCGCCTCGTTTTCAGAGGTCCGAAAAATCGGGGATTTCAATAATTTTTTTATAAAACGTAGGGAGCTCACAGCAAGAAACGGTTTGCGGTGGTGAGCTAGTTTGGGTGAGTTCTATCGAATTATGAAATAATAGTTATTTGTTTAACTAGGCAGCAAAGTAGTAGATTGACTGCCGAGGCTGAATTCATAGCCGAGCGTAGCGAGGCTAGGAATCCAGCTAAGGCAGTCAATCTACTTTGCTGCCGAGTTGAACATATAATTTTTTCTCCGATTGTTCATAATGATATATATCTCTTCATTTTTCCTGTAATGTTCAATTAAAATAAAATTTGATAGAAATCGCAGTTGTTGGAATGGTTGGTTGCTATGGAAATGTCCATAATAATTATAGTTTGACAATTCATGAAATTTCTGACAGTTGTGCGAAAAAATATCGGATTATTTAAATTATTATATAATGGACAGTGATAGCGACCTGGAAGTACTTACTCCTCCAGAAATAAGGGAGGTGGCAAAAAATATAGAGCTGAATTTGTTGCCGGAGAAGTCTCGGATGAAATATGAAGGAAATTATAAATTATTTTTGCTGATACATATCAATCAGCAAAGTAACCACTTTGCTGCCTAGGCAGGAAAAGTAATACTCTGCTGATTGATATGTGTCAGCAAAATCAATATTTGCTGCCAATCGGAGAAAAAATATATACATTTCAAGTATTTCAAAGTGATTTGGTGTCTGATCCTGTAGAGTACTCCGATTACTGGAGATATTTTCTTTCTGATCGATTCAATATGTATCAGAAAATATTTGCCACTGAGAAAAGTTGGAATATTTTTTTAAGCTTTCAGATCTATTCCTAGTGTTCAGAATAACAGCAATTGCAACATGACTCTCAAATGGTGCACTCTTTCTGACAATGCACAGAAGAAGTGTTTGTGGTTACAACAAGCTGCTGCCAATTATGGCCTGAAACCTTCTATTGATTGTGTACCAAACCATGTAGATGAATCTTGTGCAGGGGATATTAAGGCTGAAAAAGCAGATTTTGCTTTTATCAACATCACCTATGACAGTATGGCTAAGCAGTAAGTGAATATAAGTTAGGACACATGTTCATATGAACTTTATTTCCTAAAATATCACAAGGAATCACACCTTGAATTTTTTCGGTGTTATTCAGATACACCCTGTATATTATCAAGACTATGTCCCCGTTTAGATCATTCCTGACATGTTGTTTAGTGCCTCCTGAAAATGTGACTTGTTTCAAATGTTTCTAATGCACTGTGTATGTTGGTCAAACAAGGAAAATATCCGAGAAATGCATACAGGAACATCAGTAACTCTAAATCTTCAGATATTACTAAACCCCAAGAATTTTATCTAATTTTCGAATTTTGTACAGTAGACTTTCCATAATTCCTACCCAAATTGACTATGTGGATCTATTTTTTAAGGAGTGGCTTGGAAGCTATAGCCTACCCTGAGGATGTTGATGCAAAACTAATCTCAGTATTGATTGTCCTTAGAAATGATAGATCAGATATTAATCACTTGAAGGATCTTGAAGGAAAAAGAGCGTGTTTCCCAGAATACGGTGGAAAAGGTAATTGAGATGTGTCTTATATTCGCGAGATTCACGAAGTGGGCGACATCTAGGTTACATAATACGAACTTCAAACTGGGGGAAAACAAACTGTTGTCTATGGATAAAGTGCATAGACTACATTGCATTCAGCTTGCTGTAGCTGTAGTCAAACTTGTCAATGACATAAAGTGTTGGCACTGTTGGTAGTGATGATGGTTAAGTTGGTTAATTTTTTTATATTATTACATTTTTATTAGTTTAGTGAACAGTGAATAACGGGTGAATAATTGGAGATAGTTCGAACAATTCAAACTAATTATGACGAGCAAATCAATTGACATATAAAAGAACAGCTACAACATGTTTACAATACCCAGATTGTCCTGCTTTGCATGAACAAATACAAATCCATTGTTCTACAGGAGTCCCTCTGGACCCCAACTTCAATTTTACTTCATGTGGGGAAGATTTCATCGCCGAAGTTTGTAGACAAAGTGCAAAAATGTGCCTTTTGTTGAAGTCTTCTGCCTCACACAAAATCACATGATTAGCACGGAAAACTGCTTCTTCTTCCACTACTGGTCGGCTTTCTCCATCTGTATAGAGCAAAATATCTGCCAAAAGAACATCTACAACAGGAATTATTAGCGTTTTCGATCGATTGTTGACAATTAATGTCAAGAAATTTAAAAACATCACTCTTATCAGTACACAGTACACAAGCTAATGGCACTAATGGGATTGAGTGAGGATTGAGTTTGTTTTCCCCCAGTTTTGACGTGGCTTTGACATGGAACGATGAAAACCGAGCGCCACCTGGTAACATTGATTCCCGCGAATAGATGATTTATTTTGTCAAAATCCCCTCAATTCTTCAAATATTGTTTGTGCATTTTTGACACAAAAAAACATTATTTTAGAATGGCAAGCGTTCATGGATGCTATTAGAAACAATGGATTGTTGCCGATTAGCTGTGAAAATGACAAGATATTTGGTGATTTTGTGGGTAGCAGTTGCCTTCCTGGTGCCAAATCACGATCTTGTGATTCCGATTTTGAAACTCGCGAAAAGCTATGTGCCCAGTGTATCCCCATATCCAACAGACTCAGTGAGTATTGATGAGAAACATTTTAGGGAGAGTGGTGTTTTTGCTCAGAAGAGCATGTTTTTGGAAATGTTTGTTTTTTCAGCTGCAAAATATTGTAATGCCGATGAAGGTAACAAATATTATACCAGTGATGGTGCTCTGAGGTGTCTGGATGATGAGAGTGCTGATTATGCTGTGATTTCTGTGAATGGTGAGTTGTTCATTCAGGAAAACAGAAAGTGCTTTAAAAACTGGGAATTGACTAAAACAATAATTTTATGAAAATTGAATTTACAATTATTTGGTTTGGTTGGAATTTCTTTTTGGAAGTGTCCCTCTATTCATATGAAATTCATTTTTTCACTAAGGATGTCAAAAATTAATATTAGAATTTTATACGTTGTCGGCTGAAAATGGAGATCACAGGTCCAGAAGTGGAATTTTTTTCTGAACAAATCACAGATACTAGAATTGAAAAAATAGCCGATAATTTTGAATATATCGCGATTTCAGGAAAGCTGAGAAAAACAATAATATTTCGGAATTATAGACCTTCAACTCATATAGCAAATGACTGGTTGTGTAGGGAAATAATTGAGACAAAACCTCTAAATTCTAAAAATCAGGTATACAAATTGAACTGTTGATCTTGTCCTATGGTATATATTGGTAAGATAGGTAGAACAATTCACCACTGATTTATTAAAAATAAGAACAACTTCTTGACATCTGTCACTTATTAGTATCTCTCAAGTAGGCTAGTTGACACTTAATATCCGTCAATTATAACAAAAGTCATATGGCGCTTCTACGCTTTCGTACAAAAGAATAAGAATTAAATTAAAATCTAGGAAAGTTGAAGATTATACCTTGCAACAGCGCCTAATACTTCGAGTTCGACGTCCACACCACTCAAAATTCTGACAGGCACAGCAAGAGGAAAGAGCCATAGGTGTCGGCTTCATTCTCTCCTGACCGATGACAGTAAATTAGGAAGAATAGCATCATTGAATGTAGCCGATAATGATTCAATATTTTCGTTTAGGATCGAGCTCTATTCGAGATATTTCAATGCATGAATAACAAAACCATAACCTGTCAGAATGGAGCCAACTGCCCTCTGCATTCCTGCTCCGAGTGCATTTGTGGTTATGTATGTTTTTGTTTACCAGTTTCTATTCGTTATCTATTCACTAGCTATATTCTTCACCATCAGCTATTTTCAGACTAGATTCAGAATGTACGTCACAGTTTGCCGTCCCGAAAATTAGAAATTGCTTTAATTCGAAAATGAAAACGACTTGGACTTTATCGGTCGCCATGCGTGTACAGGTTGGACATAAAACTGGAAAGTTCCGAACTTATTTTATGAAAATTCATCGAAAGGAAATGTTGGACTAATTCAAGTTTAAATTCTACCTTTTTAATAATTGACAACAAACTGACATAACATAACTCACTATCAAAATACAGAAATACAGGGTGCCACATTACTCCCCCCCAAGTGTTAACGATACACTAATATGTCCTCCGAGAATGTCACTTTTTTCCTAGATCGGTTGATTTCAACTGTAGGTGAAGTGCCAGTTTCTCCTTTTTTCATGTCGTTCTCTAAAAACGCGGGCTTGAGTCGATCAATAGAAACGTTTTTCTCTTTACCTTTCATCGATAGCTTGAAGTATTTATCTGTTTTCTCTAATACATTATATGGACCAGAATAGGGTTGTTCTAAAGGCTTTTTAACTGAATCGGTCCTGACGAAAACAAAATTTGTGCTCTGTAGATCCTTGGATATGAAACATTTTTTGTATCTATCATGATTAGTACCAGGGATCACTTTGAAATCAGCCATTGAATTTCGAAGATCTTCCAAGAATTTTGGGTTCATAACGTTCCTTTTACAATTTGGTACTACCATTTCTCCTGGAATTCTCAGTGCTGATCCATAGAGTAGTTCTGCACTAGAAGCTCTCAATTCTTCCTTAGGCATAACACGGATTCCTAGTAAAATGGTTGGAAGAACATCCGTCCAGCTTTCGTTATTATGACATTTTAGGGCTGCTTTTAGAGTTCTATGAAATCTTTCGATCATTCCATTTGAACAAGGGTGATAGGCAGTCGTTCTAATGTGCTGAAATCCCAATAGCTTAGCAAACTCTTGAAATAGGGAAGATTCAAATTGTCTTCCTTGGTCGGTGGTTACCCTGGACGGAACTCCAAACCTCGATATCCAACCATTATAAAATGTCTTCGCTACAGTTTCCGCTGTGATATTTTCTATTGGAAGAGCTTCTGTCCATCTTGAAAAACGATCAATACAGGTGAGGCAGTAGGTGAAACCATGCGAGGGAGGAAGGGGACCAATAATGTCTATATTTACATGCTCAAAACGACTCTCAGGAACAACAAATTTTCCTACAGGTGATATAGTATGTCGAGTGATTTTTGATTTTTGACATAATATGCAACACTGTGACCAATTTCGAATATCTTTCTCCATTTTAGGCCAAACATATTTGCTCTTGATGAGCTTGACTGAAGATCTCACTCCAGGATGAGACATATCGTGAATTTTCTTGAAAATTGAACGTCTTAGATTATTAGGAACATATGGTTTGTATTCTGCTCTATTTCTTCGAGTATGTCGGAATAATCGAAATCATTTGGATTCTTCAAATCTGGATACTTTTCTCTTATGAAACCTTCCAGAGTTAGTTTCATATCGGATACCGTTCCACCAGAAGGTAACTTGAAATGTTGCAGTACATTAAGCAGTTGCTCTTTTTTAATATTTTGTATAAGTAGAACCATGTTCTTTCGGGGTCACCAGATGTTGGACTAATTCAAGTTTAAATTCTACCTTTTTAATAATTGACAACAAACTGACATAACATAACTCACTATCAAAATACAGAAATACAGGGTGCCACAGAAACTTCCCCATTCAACAAGATTTGTCAACAAGAGTGTGTTTGTACTTATGACAATAAGGCATATTTTGAATTGAATTGAATACCTTGGAGAAGTACGGTATGTTCTTGCTTGTACGAATTCGTCAAAATTTATGCGAATAATGTGTTGTTATTTTGATAACATCAAAATTAGGGAATTAGGGAGAGGATATCAGCAGAGGCTGAAAAAAGAAGAGACTAGACACTAGGCTACAGGTAAGTACATAATTATAATTGAAAATTTCATCATTTCTTCAACGCAGGATGGATACTCTGGACGAATTAATTTTGAAGTATCATTTGTATCGTCTATAGAGCTAATGATGTATCCAGAAGCAAAAAAAAGGGAACAGAATAGTGTGCCAAGCATTTTTGAATGCCAAAAAATGTATGGAGATTATTACAGCCTCGTTCGATAAATGCGACTGAATGACCCTAATCCACTGATTTTTTAAAATGACATTATCGTGAACTATATACTGAAAAACTACCAGCGAATTAAATTTGAATTTTGTCATTCATGCTAAGACGATGGAAAAAATAAATTAGAATATGTCCGTTTCAAAACACACAATTCCTGCGCCATTTGAAATTTTGTCAATTAATTGGTGTGACTGGTGCGACGTCTTATTCCCAACACGCCTATTGTACTTGAACTGACCAATCACGCTGCAACACTGCAGAATGATGATGTATCAGAGAGAGATAGCTACAGTTCGGGACTAATACATCACGACTCCATCATCATATTTGGCTGTTTGAAATATCGAATGAAATATGCTGATTTCAAAACGATATAGATTCGATTCCCTTCAACTTTAACTCATAATATTGATTGTACATCAAACGTAAATCATGATTCGTCGATTGAAAGAGGTTTGCACGGATTTCTTCTCTCAGTGGTCTTCCCCATTACTTTGATGTAACGTGCCTTCAATTTGATGAACATCAATGAATAGTGGGACCAGAAATTAAGAAATTATATGTGACAACAGAACCCTTAACTCCTGCAAATTTTGTCGCATGAGTATGAACGTCGAATTATGTTCGGAATTTAATTTTTTGCGATTCACATAAATTTTGCGGAATTCGTACAAGCATGAACATACCTGTAGAATGTCGGCTGTTGCAGAGGTGGCGCCCTCTACCAACACCTCCATGTACCGCGTGTTGTGTAAAAACGGCTCTCTCGCTCGCATCCCGGGGCTCCTGGTGGACGAAAGGGCCCCTTTGACGGTCATCGCTACCGGCGAGGTGGTGGCTAGGAATGATTCGTCGAAAAGGGATGACATTGTTCTGCTGCTGAGAGAGATAGAGGCGGTGTTCGGGGGAAACCCGGGGGCTGTTTTCGATGCGTTCGGTGTGTTTGATGGTTCGAAGAATTCTCTGCTGCCGGTGAGTAGTTTTTTGAAATGGGTTTTAATTTTTCGACTCGCTTTGTACTGGGTGTCGACGAATCTGTTAGACTTGTAGAATATTGGGTGTATGGAAATGAGATTCGCTATAGTAGGTATACTTACATACAGTGTGACCCACTTCAAATGGAAGCACCACTGTATCTTACGTGATCGTTGGGTAAGGATCCTGAAATTTGTTGGAGCAAGAGATATACCAAAAATGCACTCTATTACCAAGTGGGGCCATCTTCAGTGATATACACTGCTCGCCAACAGCCATGGAACCACCCCAATTTCAGGAAAATGATATTAGGAGTCAAAATAGGTCGAAAATCACTTCAGATTATGAATCAGGACGCCCAATTCACTAACTATTCATATTTTTCCTGGAAAATTTCACTTCTGAAAAATTGAATTTTGTCGTACTTTTTGCGGAAGCACTCCCGTATCTTACTTTATTGACTTTATCTTTGGACTTTCCCTTCCTCCTGCAAATTTCAGAACCCTACATCAATAATTACGTGAGATACGGGGGTGCTTCCATGAGAAGTGAGACAAAATTTAATTTTTCTGTCTTGAAATTTTCTAGGAAAAATATGATTGGTTAGTGAATTGGGCGTCCTGATTCCGAATCCAAAGTGATTTTCAACCTATTTTGACTCCTAATATCATTTTCCGGAAATTGGGGTGGTTCCATGGCTGTTGGTGATCAGTGTATATCACTGAAGATGGCCCCACTTGGTTATAGAGTGCATTTTTGGTGTATCTCTCGCTCCAGCAAATTTCAGAATCATTTTACGTAAGATACAGGAGAGAGGTCATTTGCAATAACAAGAAGGCTGTTCTGAATTACCCCATATGTTATACCATTTTGGAATCTGTATTAAATGGGAAACTTCTTCTTATATATAACTGGTTATCCTTGCGGGGTAGTTTTTGAATCTGTCAGCAGCATTTTGAAATCAACAATTATTTCATTCAATGACAAAACTCCAGGAAAACAACATTTTGCTCAGGTAATTGATAAGAAGTATCACAGGTCATCAAATTATTTCTGGGCAAAGGTGCATCTAAGGGGATTCTTTATAAAAGTGAAAATAATTAATAACTTTTGAACCATCAACAGTTGGATAACAACATATATGGTTAGTTTGACCACATGTCTTTTGATCTATGACTCATGGGACACCCTGTATATTATGTGAAGAAGAGAAGTCCTGCATAGTTCCCTTTTTGAATTTGTTAATGGAACACCTTGTATATTGTAACATTTCTCGATTACTGAACAAATTCTGGATCAGGATATGACAAAATCATTTTTCAATATTGCACAAGATCAAGGAACTTCAACTCAATTAATGTTCTTATTTTTAATCCAATCACTAATGAATTATAGTATCGTCAGGTTCGTCAAAAAAACCTTTTCCTGAAAGTATTTGACAAAGAATGGTCGCCATTTGAAAAATGATAGACACACAAAAGAAATTTTGCCAACTTGTCTTATACTTATCATTCATATTCTGATACTCATGTTTTGACACCACAAAAATATTGTAAAAATGGGAAAAAATCATGAAATTTTCATTATTTTTTCAATAAAATTTGTGAGGTAAAATATAATAAAGTATGAAAAAACATAGTGTGCACGATAAAGAATGTAAATATCGAATTATAAAAATTTTTCGTGGGTTTATATCAGAGATTTACATTTTAGGACACGAAATTAGGCCTAGCATTTGGTGATGATGTATCCATATATGTGAAAAACTTACAAACTTTGATGAAAAACTCGCAGGAGTGCCATGTTCCCATATCCGTTTCTAGAGCCTCATACAATGTGATACTGCCAACTGCTTTGCTCTTGATGGGATTTTTAATTTTAAGATTTTGATTTGAATTTTATGTCCAGCCAATCTACAGCATATCAGTTAATCATTTTAAAATGGATTTTTCTTTATTGTACAAGAAGATATTGTTTTTATTATTATTCCTAGAATTTTAGTAGAGTTAGGTCTTTCTCTTTTTTTCAATATTGTAGGTAGGTACTTAATATTTATTCAATGTTGTGTTAATTCTAAAAGCGAGGGTTGGTTTCAGATAAAAATACTCGAGTTTTTACTGTTTCAGTCTTGAAATTCAAGTGAATGTAGATGGAGTGAAGGAATCTCCACAAAAGACGCAAGTTTCATTCATTTTTTTGTTTCAAGAATCAACAAAAAGCAATGATAAAAATGCGTATTTTTGTTTACTCGTCCAATTAAATGGCTGTGTAATTGAATGTTGAATATTTTGTATATATTTATACTCTCAGAGAATTGATTTGTTACCCAAAGAATTATTTGTATACAATGTGTCTCTGTTTAAATGTGCTCACCACCTCACATGCTGTATAAGGAACACTAAGATCTGATTTAGCTCAATAAATATTATTGAAAGTTATGGATGTTTTTTTCTTTGGTTGTCAATCCAATGTGGAAATCTGAGTGACAGAGCCGGATTGAAAAAATATGAATATGAGGAAAAGGTGGAGGTAGTAAGAATTGATTTTTCGTTTCCAGCACATTATGAACACCCAGTTAACATGATTTTTGGAGAAAATGGAGAGACAAAGCTCTTCAATATAGTGAAGGAGAGGGAAAAAAGTTCTCAATTAATTAATTTTGTCTCATTCCTCATTCAAAGCTAACTCGAAACCTTGAAAAAAAAATCAGCAAAATCCAGTGCAAGTATATATTGACTGTACAATAATTAATAAAAATTGATTACCTACAATATAAATATATTAACTATTTAAATAATGAACATCATCCATATCTCCAAGTAATTTTAAAAGAATAAAACAAGCCAAACAAAGTCAGTCGACCACACTTTATATAAAAATCTTCGATAACAAGTTACCGGTTTCGGCCCTATGGCCATCATCAGACAAGGGTACCTAAAATATTATGTATGACACTAATGAGGGGACAATTTGATAAAAAAACATACCAAACAATATAGAACTAGGAGATGATTGATTGATTTATATTTAGAGTTCCATATTGTTTGGTATGTTCTCTCGAAAAATGTTTGTCTCCTCATTAGTGTCATACATAATATTTTAGGTACCCTTGTCTGATGATGGCCGTAATGCCGAAACCGGTAACCTGTTATTGAAGATTTTTTAATAAAGTGTGATCGACCGACTTTGTGTTGCTTGTTTTTTTCCTTTGATATTAACTCTTTGTCTATATTCCTTATACCTTTAGAACATCCACATTTCAGTTGGATGATTCCAAAAGGGAATCCCTTGTACTGTCTGTTGTGGCTCTCAGGCGTATATACAAGAGGGGTGGGGGTAATGAGGGTAATTGCCAATTGCCAAAATCTCGGCGGAAACTGCAGCATACAAATTCGTTTTTCATTTTGACAATTTAATTTATGTACCTTCCAGGTGCCATAGACTCATGGTATGCCCCCTTTTTTCCTTTGGTTTTAACTATATTTCTGAAATTTGCAACATTGAATATGCTCTTTAGAGGGCACTTTCTCACATTTAAGGATTTTTTTTTTCATCTTCCGGTTTTCCTGGAAATTACATCAACTTTCGATTTTCAAATGTAACACCCTGTATTGCATTCCAGAATCGGTTAAAGATTATTATAACGAATTCAACAATACCGGCTTTGAATGGGTTATTTCAAATGAGAACAAAGATATTCGCAAAGTTTGCATAAGCTCAATGGGTGTGACGGCGCAATATCGAATCTTCTTTCTCTGTCACACTCATTGAGCTTATGGAAACTTCGAACGCGAATATCTCCATAATCGTTTGAAATAACCCAATCAAACCCGGTATCGTTGAATTCCTTATAATAGTCTCTAACCGATTCCATTTGAAAATCGAAAGTTGATGTAATTTCCAGGAAAACCAGACGATGAAAATAAATTCGAAAAATGTGAGAAAGTGCCCTCTAGTGAGCATATTTGATGTTCCAAATTTCATAAATATAGCTAGAAAAACAAAGGAGAAAAGGGGGTATACCCTGAGTGTGAGCGTGGTTTGCCCTAACCTTTCCAGCAACAAAACAAATACTTAACATTTGAAAGCATTTCAACCAAAATGGTAAACAAATATTTGATTGAGTATTTGATAGTGTTGTCATTTTTTCTCAAACTTGCTCTGACAAGAAAGTATTCAATCTGTGGAAATGTCTTGATTCAGAGTGTTCCAGTGGGGAAATTGAAAAAAACCATCAACAATAATGTGATTTACATATTCATTAAATAATCTCACCAAATTACACTCAAGCATTTTTTTGTGGAAGTAAATTTGAAATTTATATTTTGATTTTTTTGCCTTGAGGTAATTTAAATTGCAAGGTGAATAAAACAAACTGCATTTCTGATCAATTTGAAGGCATTTGACCTTCTATAAGAAATTTTGCCTGCAGTGCTTTATTGCTTTTTGTCACCCCCCCCCCCTTGGAAAAGCTGTATAGGCTCCTGATGGCTCTCCACATATAATTATCTCCCTTGAATTAATCATTATACCAAACAAATTTTACACTTGACTAACAAACACATTAAATGGGATTTGAGATACTCTGAACAAAGTCTGCATTGTTATCTGGGTGATTCTTCAACATGTCTTCATTGATGATAGGGATGAGTGTTTTCTCACAGTATGTCTTTTAAGTTTATACTCCTGTGGGAATTTCTTTCCACAATATTCACATTGGAATGACAATTCTGGTTTCTTTTTAATGTGCTTGTCATAATGTTTCATCAGTTCAGATTTGAAAGTGAATGTTTCTTCACAAAATGCACAATCGAAATGAGTAATGGGATGTAGCTTTTGGTGTTTGCTCAAAAGTGACTCCAGTACATATTCCCCACATATTTCACAGACAAATGCTTTTTCTTTCAGATTATAATCCTCTTTAGCCAAATGAGCCTTGTTCAAGATGATATTTCCACATACTTTACACTTTGATGTATGTCTATCAACATAGTGAACTTTACATAGTGGAGGATCCTCTGCTGGTTTTTCTTTTAATTCTACTTTTTCCTTCAGCTTCTTTCCTTTACTGCTTGAACTGTCATTCATATCCTTTCTTCTTCTTGTGGATGTTTGGCTTCTCAACATTCTACCAGAAGATTCAACCTTATTTTGTGAAACATGCTGTTCACTCTCTTCTATGTCTGAAATGTCTTTTGTAGTTTTGTCATTTTCAAGCAGATCACTTATACCCTCAGTGAAATCTTCATCATTTGGAAGTGTCTCCGTTTTCAGAACATTACCATCAATCATTCCTGGATCTTCAAGTTCTTCAAACTCTTGATCTGGATATCCACCCAAAGGTTCTCTTTTACATGGAGAAGTCTGGCATGGTTCAGAATTAGTTTCAATTTTGATTGTATTCCAATGATTTTCATCAATGTCCATCTCAACTTTAACTTCTTGTGTGAGGAAACCCTTCTCGTTTTTGCTTCTCAATTCATCCTCAAACTCATTATCATTGTCTGATTCTATCATGTCTGGCAATTCTTTAATTTGAGGACCATTTGATGATTCTAATTTCAACATATTCATTACCATCAGTAATCAAGGTAATTTAATAATCAATATAAATAAAATAAAAATATAGAAACCCCCCCAATAATCCCAATATAAATATAAAATGATTTTGTTTACAAAGATGACGTCAACAAAATATACTGAGTTTGGTTAAATTGTTCTTCTTCTTAGATTAACATCAAACAACTATCGCTCTATCAATCATCGAATATTGCGATAATGGCAAGGGACTATCAAGGCAAGAGCCATTTGAGTAAGGCCCTTGATTATATATACACTAGTGCCTAAAAAAAACGGATTCCATATCCTCGCCATTAGCTTAGATTTCTGATGATTTCTATGTTTTCTTGCAATTTTGCATTTTTACATTTTTATTAGAATTAGTTTTATATATTCAGTCTTGACTTTGAATCCATGCTGTAAACATAGTGAACACTGAAATATTAAGATTTAGCCTAACATGCCTGATTATAATTTTGCTGGTTTAGAAGATACAGGGTGTTCTAAGCGGAGCTTTTATTTTATTGAAATCTCTCAACAGCATTAATTCAAATTGCTTTGAGGTTGAGGTATTTGTTATTTTTTCACCGATTTTTATTAAATTTTCAAGATCAAATTTCTTGTCAACTAAAAGTATTAGCAAAAATCTGATATCATGGGAATATATATCAGTTAGCCTATATTTCATTGATTTGCTGAATATATAAGAACTCATTTCAAAAACACCTTGTATAGACAAGAAATGAAAGAAAATATCCATACAATTTCTTTTCACTCCACTCTATATACCTACTATATCGATATCGGAATTATTCATACTTGTTCGGGAATTAATCGGTTGAAAGAATGACGTAACTAATTAGTCATTTATTGAATGATGAATCGAACCAATCAGCAGTGTCGTTCTAGACTTCATCGTGTACGGTCGATTCGAGTGATAATAAAAAAAGAACTCGTATATTTTCATATGAGTGTGTGAAAGTTATATTTTTTTAAAAAGTTATATTTTTTTAAATGGTAAGTGTTTTTTCATACTGTATCGTGTACCATGATGAGCATGAAATTTTGTATAGTTATTGTAGGTTTTCTTACATGAGAAATGCGAATTTGAACAACAACAAACAGAATTTTGAAGTAAATGTTCGACCAAATTTGAAATAAAATTAAAATGAAATCTTTCCTTGAATATCATCCTGTATCTGAAACAATTCTATAAGGCATGTTGAGTTGGATCTTAATATTTTGGCGTTTATCATCGGTAGTTCAGAGATTTCCCATTCTTAGTGAATCGCCCTCTGTAGATACAGAAGGAACATATCATTGCTGCGTAATCAAGGAAACTACTTAATCATTCCAGAATTACGTCATTTGACAGATTGCTGAGGGGCAAACATTGTATTTTGTGTATAAGTATAAGTGGGATCGTTTTCCTTGGAATCCGAGTTGGAACCAGAAAGTATTTCATAATTTTGTTTGGTGAAACTGTTATTATATTGTGGATGTGGCAGGGATGGCCAGGGCTATGCTCATCAAAGGTAACCTAACAGATAGTTTGTGTGCCCCTCAAGAAACCATGTCAAAAGCACGTGTTCTAGAATGATCGATTCTAAAAAATCTAACCTTTCTCAGCTCCATATACAGGGTGACAGGTGACATTGAAATAAAATACAAATATTTCAAACCCTTAGTAATTTCGACGAATACTATTGAATGGCATCCAAAGAAAACATTTTAGGATCGAATACAAATTTCCATCATTTAAATTGCTTTGAGGTGGCGTATTTTTTTCACTGATTTTCATCAAATTTTCACGATCAAATCTCTCGTTTATTAAAAGAATTAGCAAAAATCTGATATCATGGAAATAACCGTTAGCCTATATTTCATTGATTTGCTGAATATAATAACTCATTTCGAAAACACCTCGTATAGACAAGGAATAAAAAAAAATTCTTATATCGATTTTCACTCTACTCTATATACCTACTATCGATATCGGAATTATTCATACTTGTTCGGGAATTAATCGGTTAAAAGGATGACGTAACTAATTAGTCATTTATTGAACGATGAATCGAACCAATCAGCAGTGTCGTTCTAGACTTCATCGTGTACGGTCGATTCGAGTGACAATAAAAAAAATACTTGAAGTATTTATAAAGAGTGGAAATTTGATGTTCGGCTTAGTGCTTAGTGATTGTATTTTCATTTGAGTGTGTGAAAGTTATATTTTTTCAAGATGGTAAGTGTTTTTTTATACTATACCGGGTGAAACTGACTCATGGTACACCCCACTTTTCTCCTTTGTTTTTCTAGCTATATTTCTGAAATTTGAAACATCGAATATACTCACTAGAGGAAACTAATTCACATTTCAGGATTTTTTTTAACTTCCGGTTTTCCTGGAAATGACATCAACTCTCGATTTTCAAATGGAATCAGTTAGAGATTTTTTTATAACGAATTCAACAATACCGGGTTTGATAGGATTATTTCAGTGTGGTCGACCGACTTTATGTTGTAATCGTTTGAAATAACCCAATCAAACCCGAAATTATACAATTCGTTATAATAATCTCTAACCGATTGTGGAATGCAATACAGAGTGGTACATGTGAAAATCGAAAGTTGATGTCATTTCCAGGAAAACCGGAAGATGAAAAGAAATCCTTGAATGTGAGAAAGTGCCCTCTAGTGAGCATATTCGATGTTCTAAATTTCAGAAATATAGCTAGAAAACCAATGGAGAGGATATACGGATATACCATGATATCTATCTATCTATCTATCTTTGTCATTTTTCGAAAAATAATTTTTCCGTTATAAATCGTTTATATCGAAAACGGCAATATTAAGGTATAGGACATACTCCATGAAAATTGAGGGTAATTTGGATCTGAAACCGTTATTAACGTAAAAAAATACAGGGTGTTCCATTTGAAACAATGAAGTTTCGGCATATTCAATTCAAATCCGTCTAACATTGACTATTATTTTTGGGTGTATGATAAATTGACATTCATCATACAGGGCGTGGAAATGAATTCTGAATTGAGACTCTATCACGAATCTGCGATTAGAGGTCTATAAAAATCACAAGTTTCCATCGTTCAAGTTTGAACCCCCTGATTGGGTATGAAAGTGTTGAAAAGGAATATTCTCAGATAAATTATGAACATACAAAAATGGATACCTATATATTAATATAAAGCAATACATTGAGAATTCGCATTCTCTATATGTGATGAGAATATTTACTCTTTTTCAGTTAATTCAATAGAAAACAACTACTTTCCCGGCTATATGCCACGACGAACATTGAATTATATCTATTGAACACACACGATAAGAGTTTGAAAATAAAATATAAAAATTTCTGAAATTGAGAATTTGCATTCTCCTTCAGACAAAAATATGTATATACACACATCATTCTGAATATTCAACAGAAAACAACTACTTTCCTGGCTATTTGCGAGGCTATTTGCCACGTCGAACATTGAATTATATCTGATGAACATTCAAAAGTGGAACATGAAAAATAAAGAATAAAATCCTCCGAAATTGAGAATTGACATTCTTCTTCAAATCGGATGAATAATATGATGAATAATGATCTAGAAATATGACTTACCAATATATTCAGCATTGAAATGAAAATTGGAATGTATAGGAGAAGTATACTGGCACGAACTCTGATCTTGATGAGCTTGAAAACATCCAAAAAATAATCATTCATATCAGTGATATGGGAAATATTATCTCTCACACTCAGGTTATATGACTTTATTGCAATGAACCCATTTCGGATCTCTGAATCCTCATCAGTAACCATGATGTCCACTTATTCTTACAGCCATTCTTCATGATATACACAATTTTCATCTCTATATAATACGAATAAAATCGAGTAAAACTATAACGAAATGATATCTGAGAAATTTGTTGACATTCTATTCCTGTCATTTGGACGTTTTTGCTTTTGGGTGTATGATAAATTGACATTCATCATACAGGGCGTGGAAATGAATTCTGAATTGAGACTCTATCACGAATCTGCGATTCTGCGATTAGAGGTCTATAAAAATCACAAGTTTCCATCGTTCAAGTTTGAAGAAGAATGTCAATTCTCAATTTCGGAGGATTTTATTCTTTATTTTTCATGTTCCACTTTTGAATGTTCATCAGATATAATTCAATGTTCGACGTGGCAAATAGCCAGGAAAGTAGTTGTTTTCTGTTGAATATTCAGAATGATGTGTGTATATACATATTTTTGTCTGAAGGAGAATGCAAATTCTCAATTTCAGAAATTTTTATATTTTATTTTCAAACTCTTATCGTGTGTGTTCAATAGATATAATTCAATGTTCGTCGTGGCATATAGCCGGGAAAGTAGTTGTTTTCTATTGAATTAACTGAAAAAGAGTAAATATTCTCATCACATATAGAGAATGCGAATTCTCAATGTATTGCTTTATATTAATATATATCCATTTTTGTATGTTCATAATTTATCTGAGAATATTCCTTTTCATTGACTATTATGTTCAATATTTCGAACTGATATTGTAGGAACGAATGAAACACATCTTCAACTCACTCGTGTGAATTTATTTCGTTACAATGTCCAAATGGGAATCACAATAATTTTTTTATAGGCCTCGCTTCATATTCAGTTTTTCACAGAAATAATTGACTAACTTGGCAACCGTGGAGTCGAATATAGAAAACAAAAAACAGTTGTGTAGCAATTTTGACAGTGCATTCGAAAATGCAATTGAAAACAGGGTATCCCATTTAAAAAATTCACCATCAGCCGTTACCTTCGAATTTGTACACCCTATATAACTGCCGTGTCTGAATTTTGTCTATATATCTAACGGTTTGGCAAATATCGAGAGAGAACACAATATTGACTCACCCTATATACTGAAAACGACTCTTGTTTTTTTTTTATTGTGAATACACTCACCGGCAAAAACAACCGGCCACCAAAAATTTTGCCAAATTGT